TAAACAATTTAATACGAGAATAAATATGCAAATTTTTAATAACGGAAATCAATCTACAACAAAAAAATACATTAATTAAATATCATTGTCTTCTTCACTAAGATCCATTAAGATGTGCCGGAAGGATTGCTTTAATTGAGCTCACAAAGAACTCTCTGCATTAGCTGATCTCTCTATCCCTTTAAACATTCATCTAAAAAGAAAAAAATAGTGTTTCTGGAAAAATATAACTTTATGCAATGCAATACTTTTATACCCAGCAGTCCAATCCCTTGTACATTATTAAATATTCTATGCCAAAGGTTTGGAAAGCCTTTCTGATATTTGCAAAGATCCCTTCCCAAATAGTGATCTCTGGAGTTCTAAACAGGTTCCAATCCCCCTCCCCTTGTCAGGAAATTTTCTTAAAGGACCACTATAGGCACCCAGACCACTTCAGCTTAATGAAGTGGTCTGGGTGCCAGGTCCAGCTAGGGTTAACCCTTTTTTTTAATAAACATAGCAGTTTCAGAGAAACTGCTATGTTTATATTAGGGTTAATCCAGCCTCTAGTGGCTGTCTCATTGACAGCCGCTAGAGGCGCTTGCGTGCGTCTCACTGTGAAAATCACAGTGAGAAGACGCCAGCGTCCATAGGAAAGCATTGTAAATGCTTTCCTATGAACTGGCTGAATGCGCGCGTGGCTCCTGCCGCGCATGCACATTCAGCCGAGGACGTCGCTATGAAGGAGGAGAGGAGGAGGAGAGCTCCCCGCCCGGCGCTGGAGAAAGGTAAGATTTTAACCCCTTCCTCTCCCCAGAGCCCGGCGAGAGGGGGACCTTGAGGGTGGGGGCACCCTCAGGGCACTATAGTGCCAGGAAAACGAGTATGTTTTCCTGGCACTATAGTGGTCCTTTAATAACCAAAAATACTGCTTATTATGGTAGCAAGGCATAGCACTAACCAGTTATACTTTACATGTATTACATTATTGTAGCTGATTTTATAGTATACACATAATAGAACTATACCAGACCACCTTCTCTATACTATATTCTTTCATTATTTAAAGCACTGCTTAAGAGGTGTATCGTATTACTAATAGCCAATCCACACTTAAATATTATAAAATTTCGGTCCATAGGTGGTCCTGTATAACACAAACTCTAAAGACTTGTAAGCCAAAACTTGCTGTATGCTCATTATATTATTGAACATAGCTACTGGTATTACTCGTGTGTGGATAGAACATAATTAATAAATATAAAACATTATAGGTATTTTAACAGAAACATAATTATGAAATTTATCTAACATTAACTGGGTTATTTACTAAGGTGAGTCTTGTCAGGTTTTCAAAGTGAATTTCAAATTAAAGGCCAAAGAAGCCAAACTGGAGAGATTCTCAAAGTCAGCTATGCTTCCAGTTTAGTCTCTTTGGCCTTAAATTTGAAATTCCCTTTCAAAGTCGTTTTGAATTTCTAACAATTATTACTTTAGTAAAAAAAAAAACAACTTGAAAGTGTTTTACAAGTATTGGGGTATTGGCTCTCTACTCACATTGTTCCAAACATTCCAGATGTTAAAATTATTATCTGGGGACGTGCTGTCATTCAAAGATGGAAACGATTTGGAAGATGCTTCTTCTAAAGCAGATGGCCAAGGAGAGCTCTCCTCGGATGGACTTTGAGGTTGGTCATTGGTGGCTTCATCGAGCTTGTTCCAGATGTTAAAGGTGTTCTCCGGGGAAGTGAAGTCGTCACTGTCATACAAAGATGGAAAATACAGTGAAGGTGCTTCTTCTAGCCCAGATGGCCAAGGTGAGATCTCATCTAACTGACATCGAGGCTGATAATTGGAGGCCACATCATGCTTTTTCCAGATGTTTAAGGTGTTCTCTGGGAAAGTGAAGTCGTCACTGTCATAAAAAGATGGGAAATACACTGAAGGTGCTTCTTCTAGCACAGACGGCAAAGGTGAGATCTCATCTAATTGACATTGAGGCTGATCATTGGAGGCCACATCAAGATTTTTCCAGATGTTAAAGGTGTTCTCTGGGGAAGTGAAGTCATCACTGTCATACAAAGATGGGAAATACACTGAAGGTGCTTCTTCTAGCACAGATGGCAAAGGTGAGATCTCATCTAATTGACATTGAGGCTGATCATTGGAGGCCACATCAAGATTTTTCCAGATGTTAAAAGTATTCTCTGGGGAAGTGAAGTCATCACTGTCATACAAAGATGGGAAATACACTGGAGATGCCTTTTCTAACCCAGATGGCCACGGTGAGTTCTCCTCTGATGGACATTGAGGTTGGTCACTGGTGGCTACATCATGCTCGTTGCAGATGTTAAATCTATTCTCTGGGAAAGTGAAACCATTGTTATTACCCAAGGTTGGAAAATACAGTGAAGATGTTTCTTCTTTTAGCCCAGATGAACAAGGTGATGTCTCCTCTGATGGGAATTGAGGTTGGTCATTGATGGCCACATCATGCTTGTTCTGAATGCTAATTCTATTCTCCTGGGAAGTGAAGCCATTGTTTTTATTCAAGGTTGGAAAATACAGTGAAGTTGCTTCTTCTAGTCCAGATTGGAAAGGTGATGTCTCCTCTGATGGGCATTGAGGTTGGTCATTGGTGGAAAGATCATGTTTTTTCTGAATGCTTAATCTATTTTCCATGGAAGGGAAGCCATTATTTTTATCCGAGGTTGAAAAATACAGTGAAGATGCTTCTTCTAGCCAAGATGGCCAAGGTGAGGTCTCATTTGATGGGCATTGAGGTTGGTCATTGGTGGCAACATCATGCTTGTTCCAGATGTTAAATCTATTCTCTGGGGAAGTAAAACCATTGCTCTCATACCAGGATGTATAATACATTGAAGAGACTTCTTCCATCACTATACATACACTCACAGTCTCTTCTACATGTATACTCATTTTAAAAGGTATCACCAGGCTTGCTTCAGTGTGAATTTCCTGCTCCATAATAATAATGGAGCCATGATGCAGACTGTAATGTGCTTGCATCATGGTGGTTGACATCATATTTATCTCAATAAGTCTATTAAATATATATATGAAAGTGCTCCCTAACTTGAGTTACACAAGTCTGCTGTTGATAGTAGACGGTTTAGGCTTCTCATTGTTTGAATTTCTGTTTCCATGGAGGTCATGGAACTTTAAAGCAGTATGGGACCAGCAGTTACTGTGCTGGTGTGGAGATGATGTATATCTTATGATGTCACAAAACTTCTCTAAGCTGATATAGATATAAGGCGAATAGGCATTGGTGAATTGCCCAAAGATCTAAGTAACAGTCCCTAGTTTTTAACTGTTGTCATATTATCATATTAAACTTTTATTACTGTTAAACAGTATTTAGATTTTAACCTACTCCAAAAGACGATCAAAATATGATTAGTCTATATGACATTTATATTTGACTTATTACTTTAAATTATTATATAAATAAACAATAAATACACACGAACATATATCAAGACCCATGACTGCTGGCTTTTGTTTTTATATATATATATATATATATATATATAAAATATGCCTGTATCTCTACTCTACTCTACTGTCTTATATACAAGACACAAACTAAGTGCGCAGTGGAGGTATTATAATATCCCCAACTGGCCAATAAGGGACAAAGGATACAATTTTAGGAATCAGTTCCCATTTCTAGTTGCACTGGTCACATGGATGGCCAGATATACATTCTGCATCATGCAGAGGTCCATGTTTATTTTTTTTGTTATATAGCCCTAATGTGTCGATTTCTATTAAAACTTTACAGATAATATTAAAACCTGGAGGTGGTGGTTCAATAGATACATAGATAGTGTTAGAGCAAAGCAGACAAGCTGGAAAATAGCTGGCTTGTTGACTTTGCTAAGGCCTGGCTTTTTGTATATATATATATATATATATATATATATATATACTGAACAAAATTATAAATACAACACTTTTGTTTTTACCCCCATTTTTCATGAGCTGAACACAAAGATCTAAGACTTTTTCTATGTACACAAAAGGCCCATTTCTCTCAAATATTGTTCACAAATCTGTCTAAATATGTGTTAGTGAGCACTTCTCCTTTGCTGAGATAATCCATCCACCTCACTGGTGTGGCATATCAAGATGCTGATTAGACAGCAGGATTACTGCAAAGGTGTGCCTAGGCTGGCCACAATAAAAGGCCACTCTAAAATGTGCAGTTTTATCACACAGCACACCTTTGAGGGTGCGTGCAATTGTCATGCTGAGTGCAGGAACATCCACCAGAGTTGTTGCCCGTGAATTGAATGTTCATTTCTCTACCATAAGCCATCTCCAAAGGCGTTTCAGAGAATTTGGCCTCGCAACCGCAGACCACGTCACACATGTCATGTGTCCTTAACGGGTTAAACACAACTAGGATCCCACAGCAACCATATCAAATTAGTTGTCTTCTTGGGTAGATTGGACATTTTACATACTGTTGGTATGCTAAAAGCCATGGACGAATATACTGTTAAAGTGACAATTCTCTGCAGTGTAAATACTGTATTTTCTGAGAAAAGACAATGTACATCACTTTATAACGTTATGTATGCATAATTTGTATGCCTAACTTTACGGTGCTCCCTTAAATCCCATGTAGCCCAATTGCAAGCAAAGGCTGACTTAGAGGGTTGTTAAAGTTAAATTTGAAACTCACTGTGGATTCAAAACAGTTCCCTGTCAGCGAATAACCCTGTTTAGCCTATTTACAAAACTCAGAATTTCAGCTAATTAAACCTGAATCCCAAACTGTGCCTAGAGCTGAGATGAAGATATTTTTTTTTCTCCTAGTAGGGCTATTTCTGCCTTAATGTCAGAATTTGGATTTAAAAAAAAAAAAAAATTGTTCAGAATCGGAGTATAGTGAATAACCCTGACTGTGTCTGTGCATACAAAGCACCCATACAGGCTATTTAGATCCTCTTATCTTTCTAGTAGTAGGAACCTTGATAGCGCAGACACTGTTTCCGGGGGGAGAGTGTTTGCGAACGCACCGTCAAGCAGGACCTCTGCTTGTGCTTTTCACTTCCTGGATTGGAGAGTGTCATTAAGCCGGTGAGTGTTTTAGTGTCCTACTAACGGGACTCCCGACGGGTTTCACCCTCCATGCCCGTAAGCTAGCATGGTCCCCGGTATTACCGGGTGTCCGGTGCCAGGGGGCTCCCTCAGACCTCAGCAGTAATGTCAGCCAGCATGGGAAGGTCATATCATGCAGACAGTGCTGCCTGGTCCTGTGTGACCGCCATGGATCTCCAGGGCTCCTCTCTGGGCACTCAGAAAGCACTCCTTAATCAGCACTCCGAATGGAATGTTCATAATCCATAATATTCATCATTGGGCATGGAGTGGGCAGGCTTTGAGTACTGGAGTTACATTGTAACAAAATGAATTAAAAGTGAAAGTAATGGAGGGGGGGGGGAGTGATGATATCATGCATTGGCCTGGTAATGTGGAGGATTTGAAGATGCATTTTTCAGGTTTTCATTGGTTTTAAAGAGGTTCTGAAGTAGTTTTTCCTAGTCATCCATAATAAAAGGTGGGATAAGATGTGAGTTTACCAGGATTCTGGATGGTTAGTCATATTGTATTATAGTTTAGCGATACAGGTTTCCCTCTCTAAACCAGGAATTATGGATAATTTACTATAGGATTACAGATTCTTGGGCAAAATAAGCTGTATTTAGAAAGGTTCAGTAAAGGCTGTTAGCTTGAGACTGCATCATGCGGAGCCTGGCCCCAGTACTTACCCTGAAGAAGAAATAATTAAAAAAGCACCCACTGAATCTAAGGAATTGTGAGTGGGTGACCTTTCTACATGTAATAGGCAGCTGGCTGCCTTGGCAGTTAATAGCGTACAGAATACAGGAGCTTGACTAAATACTGTCTTCAGGCTATTGGTAAAGTGGCACTGTCACTTCCGAGTTTTTAAGCATAGATACTGTAGAGTCTCTGGGGAATCTTTCATGGACCCCCATATTTTACTTGTTTGCTCATGTGTGAGTCAACCGAGATGACACAGCTTTTAGTTGTAGTTGGATAAAGTGAAATGGCAGCGAGTTGAAAGAAATTCATCAGATAAGTATGTCTGTCTTCTCTTTGTCACTGAAATGCTAGCATGCAAGTAGTCACATAATCCATATTCAGATCTCAAAAAGCAGGCACCAGACAAGTGGCAGATCTGTTTTAACATCTGCAGCTACTTGTGAAATTGTGTACACTGCCGACATTTTGCTGTGTGCCATTTCCAGCATTGACAATCACCAAAGGCTGAAGGGTTCATTCGGTAACTAGAGAAAATAGAACTGTAAGTTTTAGGCCCAAAAGCTAAATTGTAAGAAATTCAACAACCCAGCTATTTTTCCAGCTTGTCTGCTTTGCCCTAAAATTGTCTATATATCTACTGCACGACCACATAAAAGTTGTTATACTTTCCGTAAAGTTTTAAAGAAAATAGATATGTTTAGGGCTATATAAATAAAATATACATGGTCCTCTCTATGATGCACAGTGTATATCGGGTCTTAACAAATCCAAGGCCATCCATGTGACCAGCACTTAGTTTGTGGCTTCATCTGATGAAGCCCATCTTGAGGGATATCTCTTGCATGCTCCTAGAAAAGCACAGAGCTCTGAGCCATATCACACCAGGGCTTGGAGTGTGGTGATTGAGGTTGTGACTTCTTTCCTGCTATGTTCCATTAGGGGAGATATACAAAATTTCTCACAGTTTTTCTCCTGTTAATAATGATGTTAACTGTTGATCGCAAGACACCAGTTAATTAGGGAAGCTGCCTTTGATATGATCCCTTACTTCTAGCAGCCATTACCGTGCGCTAGAGCAGTCATAGCTTCTCACAGTTCATTGCAATTTGAAGTGGTTCTTGTGGAGAATGCAAGGAAATTATTTTCATATTCCCTCCTCTTCCATTCACATATCGCTTGAGCAGGACCAGCATCATGTGCTGATCTAAGCATTTGTCGCTGCTGGGCTGATACAGCACATCACAGGGTAAATGTGGGTAAAATAAATAGGATAATAGGTGCTATGAGTTCAGGAGAGATAGGAGGGTCATTGACTAGTTTTAAATTAAATATGTTTGTGAGCTACAGGATTATTCACTAAAGTGTAAATTGTCTGAAATTCTAAATTATTTTTAGTATTAAGATCAGTTTAGCCAAATTAAAAATAAACTTGACTTAGTTTTTCCATTTCAGTTACTGTGGTATAAAATGTGAAATTTACTTTTGAATTAGTGAGTATGCCCTGATTATGTGTTTGTTCACCAATTGACCCTTTAAGTGAATGAGACTAGTATACATTTTTCACTCAAAGGGTTAGAAGACTAACCAGGCAGCATGTGGAAACACCCTAGACATTTAGACTTTGTATTCACTTTAAGCAATCTTAATGTTTATTTACATTAGTGTTGTTTCTTGTATACATCACAAAAATGTTCAAGTCTTGTAATTGGTACTCATGCAGAAAATGTTTCAGAACCACACATGACTAAGGACTGTGTATTATGAGGGCATTGTCCTTTTACTACTTTGTTAATCTTTAAATATCTGCGTTCTGGAGGTGAGGAATATGTCTGAAAATTTTATAAAGAGCTTATTTCAAGTTAGGTGGTAAATATAACTTATGAAACACAAACAGTCAGATGTCCATAAGAAAAGTGCCTCGGATCATCTTCATTCAAATGACGTAAAAATCTTTCTTCATTTAAAAAATGGATCTGGAAGAAAAACTGTTTTTCTGGATGATGACATTTTGCATAAAAAAAATATAATTTATTTGAATGAAGCTGATTGAGTTGCTTCCTTGCAGCGATCTAGCTATCTGTGTTTTGTTAGTCTGTGAAGCAATAGGACCTGCCATTGCCTTTCATTTGAAAATGCTGCAAGGAATCGGTAAGCATGCCACACTTTACTGTGCAGTTGAACTTCAAGTTGTTACCTCCGGTCGTTCTTCCTTTTGGTAACTTCTAGTACCAGTATACAAACAACATTGTATATGCATTGTGGGCACCAATACAACTTTGATGTATTTAATAGTTTTTGACCTCGGTAATATACTGTATATTTTTGCTAGCTCCAATTTAAATAGTTTATACGAAAATAAATGTTGCAGAATTCTGCATCTTAGGCCTTCCTCCTTTGCCACACCTTTTCTTCTTATCAGTTCTTTTGCCAGTGTATGTACAGCTGTCTGTCACTCACAGCACTGGGCCCTGTATCTGGAAATCAAGCTACCACTGTTATAAGAAGAGAACCTCCTAGGAAATGCATAGTAAGTATATCACTAGATGTCTGTTATCTCTGTCTTTCTCCCTCACCCCGTCCTCTGATTACAGAGCTCCCAAGCTCCCACCATGTGTGGACACAAGAGCATTGTAATTAGAGCAAGATGCAGGGGAAACGAGGGCACTTAAATAGAGCAGGTGAGTGGGGGACATAAAGACAGAGAAGCAACAGGCATGTTGTGATATATGTGCTATGTATCTTCCTGGGTGTTCTCACCAGATTTGTTTTTTAAAAATCCTAACTTTTTAATTGAAAAATATTGGTAAGAAAGATTTATTTTTCCCATAACAATAACAGTATAAATAATCTTCGATTATTAATGTCACCACTTCTTACCTTTAACCAGAGAAAAAATACCTGAACATATGTATTAAAATAATAAGAAAAAAAGTGCAATTCTGGTGCAAAATGTTAATGTGGTGTAATCAGAAGAAACCTTTTATTTGCTATGTTTGCTTCATGTTAAACACTAAACGTTTCCACAGTTTTTTTTTCTTTCTTATTGGGAAATGTATTATGTGCATAATGTATATTATATGGTGTATATAAATAATCCACCTCTTTCCTGGAGGGTCGCTTTAATGTAACAGTCATACTTTAGTCTTTTCATTTTGAGAAGATTTGATCATTTACTCTGTTAAAGCTTTGTTTACAGTTGTCGTTACAGTTACAATCAAAAGCCACAATGTGTTTTGCATTGTTACTAGTTATTTACTATTATAATGACAATATACCTTTTTATTCCCTAATATCTTCTCTAGAAATGGTTCACACAGAGGCCTTTTCTCGTCCTCTCAGTCGGAATGAAGTTGTTGGACTAATTTTCCGACTGACAATATTTGGAGCGGTTACTTATTTTACAATTAAATGGATGGTAGATGCCATAGATCCTACTAGAAAACAAAAGATTGAAGCCCAGAAGCAGGTACAGGATGCATTTGTATACTTCATAATCTTGTGTAGTACAATACAGTTTAATGTAAAATTGTTGCTCTGTTTATGGGAAATGGATAAGAAAGATAATGAACTAAAAATGGATTTGTGTTTTCAATATTAACAGTTGAGTTTTGGTAAGTGTTTATTATTCTAAATTTACAAAGATCAGTATCAATCTTGCTTGTACAGCTGAACTCATGTAAGGGGATATTTGTGATAATCCCTATTTGGTGATACATCAGGTCAAACTAACTCTTCTTTCAATATCAGTCTTCCAGGCTAAATTTCAATGAGCCTCCAATATTAACCAGCAAGTTATTTTGCCTTCATTTTGCACTCGTGCGTGTCTATTTGGTGAATATGAGTTCAAAAAGAAAATCTTTGCTCTGTTCTTTGGCACCAGAAAAAACATGAGAGCCTCAAAACCATTAAAAGCAAGATAGATTAGGCCAACTATAAACTATGAACGTGCTGTAAGGAACTCCCTGCTTTATGTAAAGGGACACTATATAGTCACCATAACAACTTTAGCTTAATAAAGCAGTTTGGGCATGTATTTAATATCCCTGCAGTCTCACTGCTCAATTCTCTGCCATTTAAGAGTCAAATCACTTTGTTTATGGAGCCCTGGGCACACCTCCCTGCATGTGACTTACAGAACCTTCCTAAATACTTCCTGTAAAAAATAATCTAATGTTTGCACTTCCTTTATTGCAAATTCTGTTTCATTTAGAATTTTGTAACTCCTGCTAATAGCTTGCTAGACCCTGGAGGGGCCCTCTGTATGTGATTAAAGTTCAATTTACAGAGAAGGAGATACAAACTTTTAAAGTAAGGAACATATGATTGAACATGAAACCATTTTGTTTTCATGCAGAGTGTGTCAGTCACAGCCAGGGGTGTGTGGCTAGGGCTGCATAAACAGAAACAAAAGTGATTTAACTCCTAAATGGCAGAGAATTGAGCAGTGAAACTTCAAAACCATGATCTATACATAAAAAATGCTTTATTAGACTAGAGTTGTTTTGGTGACTATAGTGTCACTTTAATGCACATTCTGCTTCAGTTTTCACAACATTGCAGGCAGAAAGAGTATGGCTTGTTGATACATAGGCATTGAAGGACTGCAGGGTTGTTGTTGGGTCAGCGGTTGCAATTTTGTGTTATATAGCTTACTGCCGGCCTGTCCTTCAGAAGGATTATAAACTTCACCTATTGTGAGGCTGTTGCAAAGAATAATTGTAAAGACATTTACAGTAAGCAACTGTGTTATTGCTAGCTACTAGCTAACTATTAAAATTTTCTCACATTCTTTTGCACTTACAAATATCTACTTGGATATGGCTGAAAACTCTGTTCTGTTTGTTCTGCAGGCTGAGAAGCTAATGAGACAGATTGGTGTAAAGAATGTGAAGCTCACAGAGTATGAAATGAGTATTGCAGCCCATCTTGTGGATCCACTCAGCATGCTGGTAAGTCCGAACTACTATAAGCACTTATACCTGGTCATCTTTTACAGAAGAACTGTCATTTTCATAATTTTTTGTGTGTATGAATAATAATAATCTCCATCACTGTGTATGGTTTTGTAAAGTAGCAAGCCTAAGACAGATGCTGCTTCACTACCTGGCTAGATTTGGGGAAATGCGCTTAATGTCCCCATGGTTCCTCTTATGTAAACTTTCCAGGTTACTTGCTCAGCCAGCAGTATGATATTCACACACATTTTTCAGAATCAGTTTTTTGTTTTGTTTTTTCTTCTATTTACTGGAAATGGTGGCAGGCTATTTTAATGTTAATGGGACTGGATTGCTGCACAGCACAACTTGCAAATCAATAGGGCATCACTAGTAATTTGCTGTAATTGGCACTCAATAATAAACCCTCCCATTTTGGGTTTTGAAAATTTAGGTCCAATAGCATTTAGAAATTAGTTGCATAGTTACACAAGCTGAAAATAGACATGCATCTATCAAGTTTAGCCTTTCTCATATCTGTTTTGAGCCAAAAGAAGGGAAAACTATGTTTGAAGTGCTTTCCAATTTTGCAACAAACTAGGAAAAGGTTCCTTGTAAATCCCAGAATGGCAGTCAGATCTCTGCTGCGATCAAAAGTAGGGATCGACCGATTATCGGTCTGGCCGATATTATAGTCCAATATTTGGTATTTTCGGCAATATCGGTATCTGCCTATAGAGATACAGATATTGCCGATAATGCAGACCAGGACCGCCGGGCCCATTACAAGCCTGGCGGCCCTGGAGGGCCCGCAGCAAGCTCTTACTTACCTCCCTTCAGCTCCCCTTGATCTCTCATTGGCTTAGCCTTACTTTGTTCCTTCCATTGACAAAGCCATTAGGGGAAAAGGGGAAAGTCTGGATGATAGTAGAGTTATACTGCAGAAAGCAGCAATTGTTTATAGATCGATAATGTGTCTGAGTATAAATAATATTTTTAAATATGTATTTATTTTTTTTAAACCAAACTAAATAGACTGGAACAGGGTGAAAAACAGTATCATAGTTTCTTGGCATATTGGTGTTAGACAGGTCTCTGATAATCATCTTGTCATGAGTGTGCTGCTCCAATGATCTCCTCGACTGGCTGGATTCATGAACGTCATGTCTGTAGGCTCTGGGTATAAAATGTTTTTTTTTTATGTCATGTGAAAAAGGAATTGCACCTAGAGATCTAAAACCTATCAAATCCACTCAAGTTGTGTCTATGCATGGAGTGTTTCATTAATCTACTCTTACACACAACTAGCCACTCACTCATGCACTATACACATGTAAATAGCCCCTCTTGCATTCCTACAGGCACACAGTTAGCCAATAACCCAGTAAGCTTGCATGCATACATACACAAATTCTCATACATATAACTAAAATTCTCCAGCCCCTTCTCTTACTGCTCACCACTCTGGTGAGGAGGGGGAAGAGATCGGGAGATGCATCAGTTATTAGTAGTGGTGTGAGTAAAATACAGAGATTGGTGTGTCTCTCTCTCTCTTTCTTTCTCTCTCTCTTTCTTTCTCTCTCTCTTTCTTTCTCTCTCTCTTTCTTTCTCTCTCTCTTTCTTTCTCTCTCTCTTTCTTTCTCTCTCTCTTTCTTTCTCTCTTTCTCTCTCTCTCTTTCTTTCTTTCTCTCTCTCCTCTCTCTCTCTCTCTCTCTCTCTCTCTCTCTCTCTCTCTCTCTCTTTCGACATCTTAGGATGGTATCCCTTTCTTTTTGCAATAAGTGAGACTACATATTGTTCGAGAGCTGTGAGTCAAGGTATTTCCTGGTAGTAAGTCAAATTTTCCTGGACCGATTTTTGTGTTGCTGTGGTGGCCTTGTGCCATGGATGTAGTGAGCCTTGTTGCATCCTGCAAACTAGAACCTAAATGCATCTGGTTTTGTACTTTCAGTTCAAAGATTTTGTGAATAATTTCCTCCTTTAACTCTGCACAAGTACAGATTTGCGTACTGCTAATGTAGATTTAAAACCAAACATGTAAGTTCTTGCTCCATCACATTCAAAAGAACTGAATGAGCGACACTACACATGAGATGTTCCTACTCCTAGATGTTGTTCCACAGAGTCTTCTGAAAAGAATATGGCAAGAAACTATCATGCTGAGTTCATTGGAGATAGCTTGTATAACTGCTGCTCATTAAATGGTGATGGTGGCTTGACTGCAATAAAGTTTTTAAATTCTTTTAATTCTGCAGATTTTTTCCTACCATTGTGCATCCCAATTGTTTGTTGAAAGGGCATAGTCCTGACTACTTTCTAGTTGCACAAATCCATAAACCTTGTTAGACAGGTCTCTGATAATCATCTTGTCCTGAGTGTGCTGCTCCAATGATCTCCCCGACTGGCTGGATTCATGAACGTCATGTCTGTAGCCTCTGGTTATAAAATGTTTGTCATGTGAAAAAGGAATTGTACCTAGAAATCTAAAAGTATGTATTTGTTTAGAATATGTAACTTTTCAAGTCATCTTTGCATTTTTGTACTTTGTAGATTCCATTTTCATAAAATTTGCATCTGTCATCCATCAATTATGTGTATGACCTAGTTGTGGGTTGCTATCAACTCATTTACATACTGAATAAAATATAGCACATTCTGTGATGACAAATATTTTAGATATATATATATATATATATATATATATATCTCTCAACCTTATAATTAGCAACGAATACCCCTCCCTGACCAAAAAATAAATAAATGTATACTTTTTTTTTTTTTTTTCATTTTTTGGGGGGTTAGGGAGGTGATATAAGTTACTAATTCTGAGGTTATTGTCACAAGTTACCACATTCTGGTTTACAAGGTGTGGCCACCCTTTTGGTTTCAAGATGGGACAATGATAACTACAATTATCTGTAAACTTCTCCAACCAACAGACAGATTTCCAGATTTTAGTGTAAACAAATCCACTTTATCAAATTTCATTGTTTAAGATTGTGTACTGTTAAAAATCATACAGAGTTAACCACTCTGTGAATCTTCAGGAATTTACCAAGACAAATAGTCAAATTGGAACAACTCTCAGATTTAACTCTACTATTTTGGGCTAAATTGATCAGTTCCTGGGGGAATTCCATTAAGTTTATAGTTTAGTGACTAATTCTGCCTGGTGTTTAGGGCTATTTACTAAACTGTGAGTTGTGTGGGAATCGACAATTCAGTGGCTAATTGACGACAATTCCCAGTGAGTCTTGTTGCAGCTATGCAGCCTTCAAAACCGATAACCAGAAAGACGGTCACATTGTTCCTAGCATTTCACACCATTATTCTATTGATAGTTCACCTACCTAGAACCTGTCATCGATATGTAGGCGCTTTGTTGATATTTCATTATGAAGATTTGTTCCATTCCTTCTGTATTAACTATGTTTTTGATATTTGCAGGTAACGTGGGATGATATTGCAGGCCTGGATGATGTCATCACAGACCTTAAAGATACAGTAATTCTCCCAGTCAGGAAGAAGCATTTATTTGAAAATTCCAGACTGCTCCAGCCTCCTAAAGGTAGTATCTATTGCTATTCCATTTAACTGCTGCATTTGAAGCAGTTTCTCATTTCTTCTGTTTTCAAAGTCCATAATGCAGGGGCATTAACAACAATAGTGTTCCTTATTATGGATAAGCATAGAGCTGTTTGTGAGACCACATATGGATGACTATAGTTATGTGTTCTTCAATAAAGGTTCATTTCAATGCTCCTTAAATTCACTGTATTCTGTCTGCTTCTAAAATTGAAGACTTTTTATTGGAGTAGACACTCTTATAGAGAGACTCCAGACAAAATGCATCTGGCCGCATATCACAAGAAAATAATCTTTCTCCACCAGCACCAGCTAACTTTCCCCTCCTTTTAAAAGAAAGAGAGACACAAGCAGTCAGAAGAATGACTTGGAGAATCTTTATAATTTGGCTATTTTCATGCTAAGTTGCAAATTCACCTTGATATAGTGTATTTTAATTTCCTGTATGAAACAAGCAATATAAAAGTGTAGACAAAGGTTTGAATACTTGCCAATTAACATTGTTTAAACCAGGGCTGTAGAATTGATACACAAAACCTTCGACTCCAACTCCTCAATTTATTATACCTCTTTGTTATTCTACTAAGTAAATTTAAAAAATTAACAGGTTTCCTTTTAACCTTAGTTTAAATAAAACATATATTATGCCATCTGTTTAATCTCTTGATTGTGTTTCAGATCAGATTATCTTGTGTTAGAGTCTCTCTCCATTCCTTTATTAGGCAGTGCTTTTTATTTAGTTGTTATATGAATCCAATTTAAGGACCTTTTATTGATTGATCAAATAAAACGCTAACCGTGCACTGTCTGTATTACAGGAGTGCTTCTTTATGGACCTCCAGGGTGTGGTAAAACTTTGATTGCCAAAGCAACCGCCAAAGAAGCAGGATGCCGCTTCATTAACCTTCAGCCATCCACGCTTACGGACAAGTGGTATGGGGAATCCCAGAAACTGGCAGCTGCTGTTTTCTCCTTGGCTGTAAAGCTACAACCATCAATTATTTTCATTGATGAAATAGGTAATGGTGTCTCTGGAATACGGTAGTCATGGGGAAGCAAGACCTTTTGATTGTGAGTTTGGTTAGTTATGTGTGAGAGTATAGCCAACTTTGTCGGTTCTGCAAAAATTTGTAAAAGTCTCTGATAGAGAGATCATAGCAAATGTACAGACTGTTAGACTCAATAATTTATTGTTCACTTTATCCAAGATGATGATAGTTAATGAGAGGATCTGCGCCTATATGCCCAAATACACAGCCATGTGGGTTACTCCGACCACCATGACCACTTCAGTGATTTGAAATGGGCATGGTGGTAGGAGTCTAGATAAAATACCTCTGTCGTCAGCGAGCACTGCACACTGCTGTCAGACGTAATAATCTTCCCTCTCCCTCCCAACCTCCTTAACTGTAGCCATCCCATCTCCCTATCCTATTCGATATGTTTCTCTTGTCCTCCCTCCTTTTCCCCCCTTCCCTCCCTCCTTTTCCCCCCTTCCTTCCCTCCCTCCTTTTCCCACCTCCCCTCCTCCCCTCCTTTTCCCCCCTCCCCTCCTCCCTCTTTTCACTCCTTTCCCCTCCTTCCCTCCTTTTCACTCCTTTCCCTCCTTTCCCCTCCTTTTTACTCCCTTTCCCCCTTCCCTCCCTCCTTTTCCCCTCTTCTTTCTTCCTATCTCCCTCCTCTTCCCTGCTAAGAGTGTGGTCTGAGCTGGTTAAATGGTCAAATCTCTGTGAAAGCCTTTGATTAGATTTTGGCACAGCTCCTGTGATGTCAGGGTGGGCGCACCGAGCAGCGCTGGGAGCGCTGAAGGAAGGTAAGTAAAAACATTCATTTAGAATGCTTTTCAAGCATGCAGTGGGGGGGACCCTGATAAGTAATGCCAGTAGGGCATTATTCATAGATTGAAAAGAAATAAAAAAAGGGGGGTGTGGGGTGGAGAAACCCTTTAAGGAGGAGGATGTTTCAAGAAGCGTTATAAAAGAACACTGTCTGTACATCCATTCGTTTTTACTTCTAAGCTTGATGACATACAACTTGAAAAGCAAGCTAAATGTTAAATTAATTTGATTTATGCATTTACTTTTAGTTTGTCATAATGTATGTCCTATAAATTGGTGCAGTGTCATCCTATCTACAATATTTTGACATTTTTATAGCACTGGTTGATCTGAATTTTTATTTCGAAAGGCATTTGTTCCACATTTTTTTAAATCTCAATATAGATTCTTTTCTTCGAAGTCGCTCAAGCAGTGACCATGAAGCCACAGCGATGATGAAGGCTCAGTTCATGAGTCTTTGGGATGGACTGGACACAGACCACAATTGTCAGGTAAAGCATTAGTTAAGATTATTTTGATATGGAACTTGCAACAAAGTCCAAGGCATGCCTGCAGTTTGACATAAGATAGGTAGAGATCCCTCAAGGTTGCCTAAAATAACATTTGCAAGTTAACCCATTAAAAACAATTTACCCATTTTTTATTAGCCTACAAATTGTGCAAAAATATATAATGGCTTTTCTTATATTTTAATTGGCTCTATTTTTAGAGAGAAGGAAGGGCTATAACAACTTAACAATGTATATTTAATGCATAGGTTATGGTGCAAGTAATTTCCCTGTTCCTATCTAAGTGCACATCATTTGTTATAACTGCAGAAATTTTTAAAACCCAGTACAGCTACACTACAGCCCTTCCTTACCCAGTTGTCAGAGGAAGAACCTATACTTTTGCCCATAACAATTATTATAAGAAATTCACAGGCTTTTCTACTCCTCACCTGCATATCCTGGAGCCTGAACCATGGTTGCACAAACTATTCACAGCCACAATCACAGAAGTTATTTGTCAATTCAGCCCTGTAGAGCTGATAAATGGAAATGCTGTTTTTTTTTTGTTTGTTTTTTAATACCACAAACCCATGTTTGGAAGCAGGTTATGGGATAAGATCAAAGAACATGGCCAGAATGTGAGTCTCCTGATTGGTGGGAGTATCCATCATATGCTATCTGCTAGTTCAGCCGCTGTAGAAAGAATTTATTTATTTATTTGCAATAAAATAAATCAAGGTCTTCTCCAGCCAGGGATGTTCATTTAATTATTTTTTTTAAACCATTTGATACGCGGAGAGAATATTGGATGTATGAATTATGCCTTTATATTTTTGCGTATTCTTGTAGAGCTATTAATTAAAGCTTGAATAAACCTTTTGGATTGTGCAGTGAATTCAGTGGCATACCTTTTCCTCCAATTGTATGCCATGATAGCCATGTCAGATTTTTCTTTTTGTGTTATTTGACCTAAATTTTGAAATTCACAACAATTCACAATTCACAATTCACTGAATATCCTCATGGGCAAGGACTTTTAAGGACTGATCTGTTATTATCTATGCTGGGACAATAAAGGAATGTTTTATCCAGTTGTAACAACCACTCGAAGAGACTGACACTATTGTTCATAATTACATTTATTCTGGGATTTTCAGTAGCTTTTATTTACTATCCATTAACAAAAGTAACTAAAGCACAAATCTTATCTTATTTATATTGTGATCAATTTAACAAAATTAAATTTCCCCTCTCCCCTCCACCCAAAACTGAACTCTGTTTTATCATGTCTGCTGTTTCACACTGTGCTACATGTATTCCAAGGAGAAAAAATGGTATCTTCTTTTTCATCAATGGATGTATCTACATGTTGCTTACTTCTCTCTTATTATGTCAACTCAGGTGATTGTAATGGGAGCCACCAATCGGCCCCAAGATCTCGACACAGCAATAATGCGGAGAATGCCGACCAGATTTCACATCAATCAACCGGTCAGTCACCACGATTGCTTGCTTACACTCTAAAATAAGCCCTGCGCTCAAACTCACACTACTAGTATCAATGGCTATAGTATGCATCAGGCCAAATACATAGAACCAAACAATTGAAAAATAATAATAATTATCTGCACACTATCACAAATCCCTAGGCGTTAATATAACAGGTTTTTAGTACCACTGAAATGGTCATGAAAGTGTAAACTCACCTACTGAGTTAATTCAAGCCTAGGTTAATCTTGCACTAACAATTCACCTTGTTCGCAGCTAAAAGGCAAAATCTCAAAGACAAACCCTTTATTGAACCAATACATACTTATTAACCTTTAATAATGCACACATGGGTTGTGTTACACTTTAATAGTACCAGTATTCAAAGGTCTTCATTAGGAACAGCCTTCCGCTAGAGTCACAGTATTGGATTAATATAAACCTTGTCTTACATTGTCCAATAAAAAGGTCAATCTCTGTTAAGTGTCCCTTTAAACAATCATAATGGTTTTTTTTTTTCTGTTAGTAAACCTAATAAGTGCAATTTTTAGTTTGAAAATGTTATATTATTTTTTCTATTTGCAGTCCATGAAGCAGCGAGAGGCAATTCTCAATCTCATCCTGAGGAATGAAAATGTGAGGAATATTTAAATGTATTTATTATGCTGTGATTTGTTTTATGTATTCATGATTATCTGAACCCATGTAATAATTTCTACTCATATTCTACCTTAATGGAGTTCAAGCGAAGGAACTTCTAGACCTGGTTGTTGTTTCTTTAAAGAAGCATTTTTATGTCACAATGCTATAATTTTGTAATCCTCTTGTTTCCAAGAAATTGTAGAAAGAAAACCAATAATTTCATAAGCGTTGTGTCCAATATCATAAGCGTTGATGTGTCCATTTTAAAACATAAATCCATTTCGAACACTGTATTGTGTTCCAGTAGTATAAGCAAATATTTACATTCATCTGGCTGATGATTAAAAAGGAAATGATATTTGTTTTGGGTTTGTTTTTCTCTCTTTTTTTCAAAGGTAATGGCACATTTTAATAACTATAAATTTTTAGCTATACTCCTTTTTTGTTTTTTAGATTAAAATATTTTTCCATTTATGCCAATTGCAAAAGTGTAGTCTGGCATCCAGTATCAATCATTTTATATTTTTGTCCACAAGAGCATAAGAGGGTAGAGGATTCAAAGTGTGAATGCGAATATACAAGGCTTTGTGGGAAGAGTGGGGATAATTACCTGGATTTTATACTTTTTGTCCCTGTACTCATTTCACTTAGCATTTGCTGGGGTAACATGCTGATAAGTGTTGGTCCCCAGAACCTCTTGCTTCTGTGAGCAAATAAAGAATATTTTGCTGAATTTACTTCCACACACCTTCTCGTCCGCATATTGTACACTGATGTGGATTACGTTTGTACTTTACATGTAATAGTAAAGATGAGAATAACTTGTATCTAGAAGTTTGTATTTACTTTGACTACGATGACATTTGCATTTTATTTCCATAGGTGGATGGGCGGGTGGACTTAGTGGAGATCTCGAACAGCACTGATGGATTCTCTGGCAGTGATCTCAAGGAAATGTGTCGGGATGCTGCACTGCTTTGTGTTAGGGAATATGTGAACAGTAATACAGAGGATGGGTGTGTATACTTTTATTTTTAGATGTTTCTCACATTAGTAATAGGTAAGTGGCAGTTTGTTGCCACATGTACATATCATACTTACTTGGAATTTTTAAATAGTTACTTCACTGTAGTGGTTATGATGCCAGGAGTACCCTGGCCCAGTTCTCCAGTAATGGGACAAACCGTTTAATAACGATTTTCCCTCTTACCTGGGTCCCCGCTGGTTCTAAGGCTGCCTGCTGCGGTGTTGAGATTCTACCCGCTTCTGCAGAATTGCAGAAAATGTAAGCAAATCCAGGCTCCGTTGATTTGCTGAGAGCATCAGCTGACCCCTCTCAGCCACCGAATGACACATTGCACAAAAAAAATTACTTGCAGGGAATTGGCATTAGCCAGATCTGGAGTTCCAAACTGGCTGATGATACCCCATGACGCTGCCATAGGTGGAGTTACACCTCCACCACTCAAGGTGTTAAACTCAGTAAATGCAGCAAAAGGCTGCACATGCACCCTTCAGGCTTGACCACTTCAAATTAGAGCTTGGAGTAATAATTTTTAGATTACTGAAGACAGAGGCCCAGAAACCATTCCAGATTATAGTTTAGAATTGGTGTAAAGTACTACATATCAGATGTACCAGTTTCTGTTTCTAATCTAAATAAATCCTAATAGTTAACCTAATGTAATCACTGCGCTTACCATTATGCTTAGTAAATTGGTCCCAGTCACTGCACTGGGCCACGCTAGATGTAACTGTGTTAATGAGCCTGTATGCATTAATAAGGTATTTCACTTTTATTATTAATTTCCTGTTAATATCTCACATACACCAGCATGGATAATTTGATTTAAATCAATTCAAAGTACAGGGATTACACCTCTTGTTTTAGATGATAATTTAAGGGGACACTCTAAGCACCACAGCCACTTCTTATTGTGGATCATATGGTGCCTTGAGTCTGGACCCCATTCATTGCAGTGGGTAGCCCAGCACTTTCAGCATATCATTGCTGTCAAATATTATAACTTACTCATTGTAAGTGCAGCTGCAGAATGACTGAGATAGTGGTGACTGAGGAGCCATGTTCCATGTTGTTGTTTTTGTGTCAAACCACTCCAAGGCTGCTTGATGGCTCACAGATTAATGGCACCATAATGTAATAGTTACAGTGCTAGTGTTAAAAGTTACAGGTACTGTAAACATCATTTTTGTTCTAGTTGAGACTTATGTGTGCAGTGTTTCCAAAAGGGATAGTTTGTGCTTTGTTTTTCGTTTTTATATTTTAGGTGGGTTTTTGTTGTAGTTATTTTTTTTATTTTTTTTGTCTTACAGTTTAGAGATTCAATGATTTACAGTATATGTTTGTTTTAGTTACTTTGGTCCAAAATTTTCAATTCATTGTGAATACACCTTTAAGTGGAAAATCTGTGTCGTAATTAACACTTGCAATCTCAGAAGTATTTTCCAGCACACCTCTGCAATATTCATGTTCTATATTGATATAAACGATAGGATTAAATTTTTATCAAACCATATCCTAAAATAGGCAGAACCATTGTCAACTTAATCATAAAGAAAAATGATACTAATAGAGGCTTTGCTATGTGTGTGCCCTTATTACAGTGTGGCTGAATTATATTAGATACAGGGTAAACGTTTATAAATGCAGAAAATGACCCGTGAACACGGATTGTTTAGTAATGTGATATTGCCCCCTCTCTGTTCTTGTGAAAAATATCCATTGCTTTTAGACCATACCCTTGATGGTTTCTATTTAAATTGAATTCTATTGAATGATCAGAGAACTTTAAATGCTGTTATTGTTTAGCAATACTTCACCAATAATTTGTAAGAAATCTCACATTTTGTCCGTTTATATCTCCCTTTAGATTTTATGATGAAATTCGACCAATTCAACAGCAAGATTTAATCAAAGCCATTGAGAAAATGAGGAAATCCAAGAATGCGACAAACCAAGGGGTTTTAATGCACGTTAGTTTGGACTGAGGTCATTCCATAGCTGCCACCATTGCAAGATTATCTTGTGCGAAGAGGTAGCTGGGAGGCGTTGAGCATAGGGAAGAGAGCAGTCCTTCGCAAATGGGAGTCACATTTTTCTTTTTTTTTTCTTTTTTTATGAACTTAAACCCTCTGCTGCTACTCGTCAGTAGGAATTCAGCATAAAGAAAGAGCCACGTAATATTCGCCGGCATTGATAGGTCTCTGTTAATGCAGATGCTTTAACAATCAGTTCAGCATATGGAAAAGGGTCGGTGTAGTCCTGTTTACGTTTGTTCAGTATTTCTATGTGCTTAATGTGGCTTGACTTTCAGCACTCCAAAAGATGTGCTGTTTTACTACACTGACTGCAGAAGCAGCAATACAGCTCAGACATTCAGTTTTGTCTCAACATGTCAGATCCATTTTTAACTTAAAGATTTTAAGATTTATTGCGGGGAAAAGACCCAAGAATGTTGGCACTTGTATTCCTGCTGCTTGTATAAAGATTGAGGTGTATGCATAAAGCTCAAATATCTTGAATTCACGTTTCGTTATGTCTTTCTGATCATTAGACCTGGCAAAAACAGGAGTACCACCACTCATGGGTTTTTAAATTGGGTAATAATGTAATATTTGGTCAGGAATTCTGATCAACTACCAGGGTTGAATGGCTGTAATTGAGATTAGATTTTGACTGATTAACCATTAATACTAATGGAAAACCCATTTGTGCTACTCCTATTGTGTGTACATATATGATATGAAATTTAACAGATTTCCCCCAATGATTGAACATTTAATTTGTTCTCTCAATGTTAGTGATAGAATGGTAGCAGAAATTTCTTACTTTTCTGGCAGTCTGATTAGCAAAACAAACAATTTATTTCAGTCTACGTATGGATACATGGTATGAACAAACAGGATTATGATATTCTGATTGTTCTAGAAGTGGGTCTGTTAGAGGCTCTGTAGCTGTTTTCTAGAAAGGGAATGTATAGAGACAGTTGTTCCTGATGCTGTATTTACTTAACATGTAATACAAGTTTTCCCAGGAGTTAGGAATTCTTTGAGTCTGACATAATTGCAGTAATAACTCAAATGAAAATCTTGCATCTGTTATTGAAAAGAATAGATATTGCAGAACCTTCTCTTTTAAGGATCAATGATAGTTTGGCCATGTGAAGCAGATGGTGCTGTGGAATAAGCCTACATTCTGTGTGTAGCCATGAAAGGCCTATACTATGTAAATAGACACGGTTTCAAAAAGTTTTGTATAACGGATGTTTTCTGTGTGTTTAGGATTTGATGACCTCTGGTACGGGATGTGAGAATAAAATCTGCCACTAAAGTTGAGAACAGTGTTTTTATCACTATGTTTGTCTTTGTGTGTAAATTTAAAAAAAAAAAACACATTCACAAAATGGGATTTTGCAATGGTTTTTTTTGTGTGCTACTTGTTATGTGTTGGATAAAATATATAGGCTAGTGACAGCTTTAATGTATACGAGTATCATCCTGGCTAGTTAACACATCAGCTGTTGATGAATCTCTCTCAATACCCAGAGTTTAATTAAAAAAAAAAAAGCATAATATCACAGTTCTTGACAGAGGACCCTACTAACCCCATCTGCTGTTCTTGTGATAGTTTACTCCTCCTTACCTTTGTTAGCATAACAATAAGAGTTTTACAGACCCTATTTATAACTATTGGTCTAGCTAAGTGGATGACTGTCCCCTGCACAATAGATCTTTTCACCTTGTTTTCTCTTTGGTTCACTCTGTTACAGACATTACTGGGAAATTTTATTATTTCTTCTCCCAGGGACTGGAGCATGTAAGTGTAATTAGGAATACCTTGAGGACTTCCTGTTCTCTTGACTACTCCTGCTGTAACGGAGAATAGTGGTATCCCCTTTCAATTTATTTAGACCCAGCTTACTTTTAAAAATATTACATACTGTAAAGAAATTGTAATCATCCTGCCAAATACTCCAAAAATAATGTCCAGTGCCACATTTTTTGTCTAATGTAATTTATCTAATTTTCTAATGGAAAACTTTCAAACATTACTGAATGAAGTGCTTAGTGTAGCCTGCCAACCTTTTTTTTTAAAGGGAAATTATAGGCACCCAGACCATTTCAGCTTATTGAAGTGGTCTGGGTACAGTGTCCCTATTGCACTTAATGCTGCAGAGAAACTGCAATGATTACATTGCAGCATTAAGTCTGCCTTTAGTGGCGGTCTTCCAGACAGCCACTGGATCCAAACGGACCTCTGGTCCTTTATCTGATGCTGGACGTCCTCACGCTCTGCATGACGACATCCAGCGTCAGATTTTCCCCCATAGGAAAGCATTGATTCAATGCTTTCCTCTGGTGAGGTCTAATCCGCATGCAGCATTTGCTGCACATGCGCATTAGCGCCTGCTCCTTGCAGGAAAGAGGAGGAGGCGGAGCTGCGACACAGTGCCGAAGGATATCAGCGCTTTGTTCAGGTAAGTAAATAAAGGGTTGTTAACCCTTTGTTTACTGCAGTGGGGGATTGGGGTGTGAGGGAGCTATAGTGCCAGGAATATAGTTTTTTTATTACTGGCATTTATAGTATCCCTTTAATGTACGTAGAATATTTGTTCTAAACATTATTGCTAGTGGAAGTTTAGAACCAACCATTAATGTATCTTCTTCTTTAGCAGGCCTCCTATTAGGTATGTTGGTGATAGCGTGTCAAATGTCTCTGATCTCTAGTTTATTTCTTGATATATTAATTGCAGTGGTGGCTGGTGACTTCAAGTTGATGGGACTAGACACATGGATTTGACTCTGTCTCCTAAAGCTTTTTAACCCCTTAAGGACCAAACTTCTGGAATAAAAGGGAATCGTGACATGTCACATGTCGTGTCCTTAAGGGGTTAATCACGAATAGGAATATGTCTATATATATATATATAACTACAATCCCATATATAGGGAATAAAATATGTACATTCCTATTAATGAGTGAAACAAATTACAATTGTAATACAGAGTTTAGCCACAAGATGTCGCCAAAGATTACTGTTAATCTTTGTTTTACAGTAAAATAAAAAAGAAATGTATTTAATAAGAAAGATTAAAATATGAGGAGATTCTCCTTAGGAGAAAATTGTATAACTAAAATATAATAAATAAGCAACTTGCCCAGTGGCTTTAGTGACAGGTCCTCACTGTTGGAGACAGTGGCGTAAACACAACCCATGGGGCCCCGGTGCGAAAAATGATCCGTGGGCCTCGCCTACTTGCGCGGGCTGGTGCCTCTACACATGGCAGCGGGCACATGGTGGCAGTAGTCGCAGGGCACACACACACACTTATTTATTTTTTTAAATTTAATCCCCCCAGCCTCCTTACCTTTGGGAGAGCTGAGGGGATTCACTGGGGTCCAGTGGTGTCACCGGGCGCACGAGGGAGCACTCTCCCTTGAGTGCTTACTGTTCAGCTCCCTAGCGCGCCCCATACTGATGCCCGAGGATGACATCATATTCCTGCTCCGATATCAGTGCAGCACGCGAGGGAACTGAACAGGAAGCACTCAGGGGAGAGTGCCCGCCCGGTGACAGCAGGGCCAGCCTCGGGGGGCTCTGAGGTGGCCGGCTCCTGGGACCCAAGAAGAGGCTGGCCACTGTGGCATACATACCGGGTCGCAGGGTGGGCCGGGCCCGGACGCAGCCGCGACCCCGGTAAGTACGCCACTGTTTGGAGAGGTGCCTGTCACTATGTGGCTATTTGGGGGTGTCAGGGCAGGCAAAGTAAGGCAGGTACAACTTCAAACACTGTGTACCAACCCTATTTTAGTGTTCAGCAGGGAGCTGTGTACAGAAGTGGCAGGCATCTAATGTCAGCATACTTCCAGTATGTATCATGTCACTTGTGGCGGCCATTAGAAAGATACTAACTACGTGAAGGAACACAAACCTGTATTCCTGACACTATAGTGCTGGAAAACAAAGTTTTACTCACCTTTTCTCCCTTGCCACGACAATCTTGATGATCTCAGCCAATCCAATGTTTTCCCAGAAGACAGCATAGGGAGGCTACTGCGCATGCACATCAAAATGCTGCATTGTGTCAGTCGGCATCTTTGAAGAGCATTCAGCTTCTCCATGCAGAGCATGGAAAGAGGTAGGAAGCACTGCTACTAGAGGTGTTACTAGCCAGCAATGTAAACACTCTCTTTTCTCTGAGGCAGCGTTTACAGTCCTAAGCCTGCATAGACAGACTATAGACACCAGAACCACTACTTTAAGCTGTAGTGATTCTGGCAACAATAGTGTCACTTTAAATCTTCATGTCTTTAAAAACTATCAGAGTGAAATTACAGCTTTTAGAAGCCGTCATGGAGGAAGGAATCTGTACATTTCTGCTTGAAACATTGTACACCTAGAGATTTGAGCTAGGGGCAAAAAAATTAATTTTTTTTTGCAATAGTATGCTTCCTACCTGGGTCGGCTCAACAGCCCTTCTGCAGCTCCTGACAGTCATTCATTGGCTGAGAGTATCAGCTCAGTGGAATATTCACAGAACTAATGAGCCCAGAGGAACACCCATTCTGTGCTGGCTAATCACACTTCTGAAGGTGGAAATACACCACCAGCAGCAACATTAAAGGAGCACTATAGGGTCAGGAACACAAACATGTATTCCTGACCCTACAGGGTTAAAACCACCATCTAGCCACCCTGGGCCCATCATGCCTTTAAAAATAAAGTACAATCTTACTTGAATTCAAGCCTGCAGCCGCATAGTGTGTCCATGTTTCCTTTAGACCTGCTGACATCATCATCAGAAGTGGTGACCTGATCCAATCACAATGCTTCCCCATAGAATTGGCTGAGACTGACAAAGATCAGTCAGGGGCAGAGCCAGCATGATTCAAACACAGCCCTGGCTAATCGGCATCTCCTCATAGAGATTCGTTGAATCTCTATGAGGAAAGTTCAGTGTCTGCATGCAGAGGGTGGAGATACTGAATGTTTGGATGCATTTTAGGCAGCCATGACCCAGGAAGGATCTCTAACAGCCACCTGAGGAGTGGCCAGTGAAGTTCTCACTAGGCTGTAATGTAAACACTGCATTTTCTCTGAAAAGACAGTGTTTACAGCAAAAAGCCTGACGGTAATGATTCTACTCACCAGAACAAAATAAATAAGCTGTAGTTGTTCTGGTGACTATAGTGTCCCTTTAAATATTGTGATATGTGCAGTGTTTCATGAAATGTTGTGCATGCATACAGGGTCATCAAGTAAATACAGAAATGTAATATTGTGAGTTGATATGCATATCACTATTACAGAGACAAGCAATGTCTAAAAGAAAAATACACAAGTCCTGCTTCGTCTTTAATAAATAGATTTGGATTTATTTTTTTATATAAAATGACAAATTTAAATGTAATCAAAATACTATACATAAAAATCAATTGTCTAGACTTTTTTTGCACAAACGCAAATCCTTTAACGTTATAAACAAAACATTTTTTTTTATATTGCCTACAATTCCTGCCAATGACTGATGTTCTGCATCCTTATAGACTGGTCACTTAAACTGGGATACCCATAATGCTTTGCTAACTGCGCACAAGTATTGTGGTTGTAGTTTAATTGCTAGAGGCTTATTCACTTCACTGCCTCCTCTAAAACTACATCTGTTTTATCTCTTCTACACCAAATTAAGCCGGTAATAATTTACTTTGAGTAGTGTATCCAGCTCTACTATAATTTATTTTTAATAATAATTTGTCGTTTAATACACAAACACCTCTAGACTACTCAAAGTATACTTTGAAGCAGTTATAATTTCAATAACTATTCTACATGATACAAATTTGGTCCATTATTATAAAATGAATTTGTCTGCACATTTCTTGAAAAACTGCAAAAATGATCCATAAAATGTTCTATTAAATATATAGATAATTGTGCATATAATTTTAATAGTGTAAACAATTTTTTTTTTTAATCTAAAATAACTATATCCAATTTCCATCTCATCAATAGAGCTGGGAAAATCATTTATTAATTATAATGGGATAAAAAATATGGTGGAATTATTGTACCTTAAAGTTTTCATGTGGATATGTAGCAAAAAAGTTTGGGGTTTTTTTGAGGTCTTGTACTTGTGTTTCTAATGTGCATTAAACCTGTTAGCAGGGAATATGTCACAAACAAAAGGTTCTGTGATTACTTTCTTTGGGCGGTTACAAGCATCTTGTAGGGACATAAAATAATCTGATGCAGGACAGCAATTGTTTAAATGGACCTCTCATTGCACAGTTTTCAATTAAAAACTTCAAATGAAATATTTAAACACAAATCTCATTATTTATTTTGCTTTACTTAAGCTTAGTTTTACATTTAATTAAAATTCCACAGATTTCTTTACAATTTTTCTCCAGCTCAACCAGTGGTTCTTCTGGTGGGCATATCCATAAACAAACACACACCAAAAAAAATAAATTAATGGCTTTAAATAACAGAGTAGTGGATCATATTTGAAACACTACATTGGGGATGACATAGGGGGGAAAAAGCAATGATGGGACAATTTCATTGGTTTTCACAGTAATTACTCACTTTTTAAAACTTCTTTATACAGAAGGCTTTATGGAGCAATTATTAGAGTTCTATGATTGAGCGGTCTAAAAGGCTTTGAATTTTTGTGACACTTGCTTGATCCTAACTTCTTACATGCAACAACTTTTACCCTGAACCTGTTAAAGCCCCTCTTATTTGTGTTATTTAATTAGTAGGCACACGGATTGAAGGTAGGATAGACTATAGATTAACATGAGTGGGCCAATTAGGTGAAAGTTGTGTTTTTAGGGTAAAAAAAATATATATATAAAAACATTTTATACTGTACTCCTTCAACGTTTATACTGACTGCCTCAAACAAATATATTTAATTGGAAGCCTGTTTGGATGTCGACTTAATAACCAAATACTTTGCTTGTGCATAGTGTATAAATGCTGTGTTTACACAATATAATGCTATCTGAGAGGATTCGTCTTATTAAATTTAAACAACATCTTTTTTTTCTTTTAACTTGGTATACTATTCTTTTATTTTTTTCTCGTACAAAAAAGAAATTCAAATGTGTTAAAAGCTATAAAATACATTTTTCTAAATTAGCGCATAATCTCATTTATAAAAAAAACTAGGCTATTGCTTCCATAATTCCGTTGCTTTCAGATCAATAGTTTTTTTCTAGAGAACAGTAGTAATCTGTTAACACTTTCCATGCCAAGGGAGCCATGAAGCCTTCTGGGGGATTCTCACCTTCACGGGCAAGTTTTCTCATCCGAGTCCCAGAAATAAAGTCAAACTCGCTGTGCCTACATGCAACCAAAAAAAGATAGAAAGACAAATTAAACTCCTACCAGGTATAATGATCTGTTGCCTTAGTATGGGGTGGTCAACAGCCCTGCAAAATATCATTTATCTTCGCAAGAGCAAGAGGGCTTAGTCTGTCTTTCTTGGTGTTTTAGCCATTGAAAAGTGTAACAAAGTTTTCCTCCAATTGTTGAGCTTGACCGGTCACATTACAAATTGAAAACCAAATACTACGTATAGTCATCTAACTTTATATATATTTTTTATTACTTGTTTGGGAGTTTTTACATTTCCAATCGTTCTGTCAAATTTGTATTTTGTTTATAAACGTCATGGTATTTGTATGGAAATTGGTAGAAGGCTATGAAAGGTCTGGGAAATTCATTATTAATAACTACAGGTCCTGCGCTTACTTCAAAACAAAAATGTCAACGGTCATGGTTTCATTTTTAATAGAACACTCCTCACGCCTAAAGCACTTTAGATTGCTGAAGTGATTCATGTGTGACCTTTTTGTTTGTGCAGATTTCAACCGAAAATGGCCCTTTTATTACGTAGCCTTGATTTTCCTTATTTGGGCAGTGGAGCGCTTTTTAATATAAAAGCTGAATAAAATCAGCCCAAGCCATTCTCTGTCCCTCTGCACACTGCAGAGAAACTGTATCATGATATAGAACAAAGGAGTACAGCAGGCACACTGTACTGAAATGTGGTAAGCAAATTTAGTGAGGCAAGATAATGCACGTATTCCGGTATGGCTATTAAAAGAAGATAAAAGCCTGTGTATCTTTTTTTTTTTACCTATAAGTAAATGTCTGTTTTTGGTATCTTTTCTAGTTTACCCTTAATCCTTGTGGGAGACCATTAGTAAGTCTACTGTACTCACAATTACCACTTATCTGACCACCATCCATGCAGGTGTCTTGAATCCTGACCTTATGAACCCAGACCAGTCACATTCAAGCCAAAATGGTGGCATTGGAACAATTCTCCAAATCTGCTACCGGCCCTAACTTGGCCATTTGATGTTAAATTCTGAAGTATTATTTTCATTTTTCCATCATTAACGGTTTAGTAAATAAGCTCTAAAATGCTCTTTTTATGAAAGACTACGCAAAGCTCAGCTGTCCTAAAACAAGGGGTGCGTTTTTTCAACAACCTGATGTCACAACTAGAGTGGCAAGTCAGGAGTCTCAAGCAGAGCAATTTGGAAATCTAAAAAATGCCTTACTACTCTTTACAATGCCATTTAACGTTCAAAGATTTTTGTTTTTTTTTTGGTTTTTTCATTTTGTGGTTGGGTTTTTACCCCCTGTCTAACTTTGCAATTTACCACAATATGAATTTATGAATAAAATCAACCAAATTACTAGGCCAAATTAGCTGACGTGGGATTTTTTTTAATCTGCTAGTTTGGCTATTTAACGGACCACTATAGGCACCCAGACCACTTCAGCTCAATGAAGTGGTCTGGGTGCCAGGTCCAGCTAGGATTAACCTTGCCTGCTGCAAACATAGCAGTTTCAGAGAAACTGCTATGTTTACATTAGGGTTAATCCAGCCTCTAGTGGCTGTCTCATTGACAGCTGCTAGAGGCGCTACCGCGCTTCTCACTGTGATTTTCACAGTGAAAAGACGCCAGCGTCCATAGGAAAGCATTGAGAATGCTTTCCTATAAACTGACTGCGCGTGGCTCTTGCCACACATGCGCATTTGGCAGAAGAGGGAGGAGAGTCCCCAGCGCCGAGGGAGCCCGGTGCTGGAGAAAGGTAAGCCTTTAACCCCTTCCTCCTCCTAGAGCCCGGCAGGGGGGGGGCCTATTAACACTATAGTGCCAGGAAAACGAGTTTGTTTTCCTGGCACTATAGTGGCCCTTTAAGCATAAAATTTGCTTGCCTTTGATTAAAATTGATTCAATTCACTACAAGTGAATAAGACCAATATATATATTATTTATTATATTTCTATCCCATCTAAAGGTCTCCCTTACATTCAAGCAATAATCCCCCATTTTTTACCAGCAATAACAAGCTCTGAGGTTCTGATCGCAGCTTTGAGGAAACTAAAGCACCACTATTCTGCTTTTTGTTTACCCCCTTGGTGGTTAAATATTTCGTTGTGTTTTTTTTTTCCTTTCTACAATTGTTACTCTTTACTGTTACTTTTTCAGTGCTATTTTCTGTACATGCAGTTTGCTACTATTTACTGTACAGGCGATTATTCCATTTCTTGGGACATACCATCAATTGGGTTAACTTCATTTTTAAACTCCACATGTTTTGTTTCTCCTGTCCATTATCTTTAAATGTCCCCCTGCTCCCTCTTGTCTCATGCTTAGTACTTTGTATGAAAGGGCTACAAATGTTAGTTTGTCTATATTGTATCGTCTACCTTCCCTGATTGTACAGCACAATGAAATGTTGGTGCTTTATAAATACCAGTAATGATACGAATACTGTTATAGAACAAACTATTAACAATAGTGCAATTGAAAGATAATGCATGTTATGTTGTGACCTGCGTGTCACCGATATTTGACTGAGCGGACATCACTTCCTACTAAAATTGTTCTGGTTTCATTTTGAAGGGACCTGCGTGTCCTAATTGTCGCACATTCATAGCTATTTGAAGATCTGAAAGATTGCACGCTCAATAAAAACGTATTTACAAAAAAAAAAAGAAATATTTTCCCTGCCATAAATGTCCCCTCCCCAAAAGAATAATTTTGATCTTTTAAACACAATGATAATGGGAATTAAAAATAATAATAATACATTTGCCCCAATTTATACTGTAATTCTGTAAAATGATGGTCATGAGAAATGCAAAATGTTCCTTTTATATTACAATGCAAACGGACAGGGTGCAAAAATAAAGACAACTTTCAAGATGAAAGTTTATTTTAAAAAAAAAACAATAGTGCAATTGAATAGCCAATCCAATTAGCCAAAAAGCACATTATAAGAAGTATTAAAAAGATAATATTTGAGTGACTCATTTTTCAATGACAATACAAATATTGTCAAAGTTTGCATCACAGCGTTATCTGACAAACACATGCTGCCCTCCTGCTCATGATGCTGTTTTGAGAGAATACTGAATGCTTTGTGTGTCAGGAACCAATTATATTTACACACTTAAAATCTGCAAATAATGCCTGGTTTTTTTTCGTATTTATTTGGAAGTGTGGGGAAAAAAATATATACATATCTATCTTTTGCAATAAAGGCTCCGTTAAATTTGGAAACCATATGCGTGCAAGTCAAACTTTTTGGAATATAGCTCTCCTCTTTTCAGACATCTGGCAAATTATAATTATATAAATCATAATTTTGTACTACGAGCCCCTTGTCTCTCAGGATCTTTCTCCCAATGTCTGAAGGTGCTGTAGTGGTTACGGTGCCAGGAGTACCCTGGTTTCCCCAAATATAACTTCTTATCTAGTGTATGCTTGCTGCCAGTCAGAGGTTCAGTTAGCTCTCCTGGGTGAAGCCCTGCAGTGCATTTAGTTGATCGCTCGTAGCCATTAATGGGACACTATAGTCACAAGAACAAATACAGCTTATTGTATTTGTTCTGGTGAGTATAATCATTACCTTCAGGCTTTTTGCAGTAAACACTATCTTTTGAGAAAAAAAGGCAGTGTTTACATTACAGCCTATGGATCCCTTCACTGGCTTTTCCTCAGATGGCTACTAGAGGTGCTTCCTGGGGCAGTCCTGCCTAGTGTACAGCCCTGCCATTCAGTGTCTCCACCCTCTGCATGAAGACACTGAACTTTTCTCATAGAGATGCATTGATTCAATTCATCTCTATGAGGAGATGCTGATTGGCTTGTGCTGGCTCTGTCCCTGATCTGCCTCCTTAGCAGTCGCAGCTAAACCTGGAAGAGGGATTTGGCTGTCTCAGACTGATTTTAAAATGCAGGCTTCAGCTATTTTATAGAATGCCTTTCACATTGATCACAACCTTTACATAAAAATCAGACTTGTGTTACTGACGTTCTACCTTTCTTTGTCGTAAAACTCCATCGCTTTGTTGTTCTTATTGTATGCAGCAACTCTGAAGGGAATGATTTCCACGGATGTCAGTCCCGGCGCCATGCTGAGCACCTTCCCACCATGTGTTGGCTCGTATAAGTCCGCTTTGGTTTCAGGATGTGGCATTCCAGCTGGGTCACGTCCGACAATGTAAAAGTTGGAACCGGCAATCATCCGAGATCTGCAATGCCACTGCACCTAGGTGACGGTAGGACAGACAGTGGGTGATACAAATAGCACAATGCAATATGCAGACAACAGGATCAGAAACTAAACGACTAAACATAACAATGCCAACTCAGTGGTTTATTCCCGAAACAGCGAGTTGAGTTGAATCGTGCCTGGCTTGAATAAAGTAAGCCAAAATAGCTTTTGAAAATAAATGTTTACTGCCCCTGAAGAAGAGGATTTTAGTTTTGCATCTGTAATATTGTAATAGATGAAGTGGAACCAGCAATATTCACTTAAAGGGACACTATAGGCACCCTGACCACTTACTCTCATTGATGCAATAAGTTTCCTCGTTGCAATGATGTGAAAGGAGGTGGAGATAGAGCCAGCACTGAGGGACTCAGTTTTTAAAGGGTTTTTAACCCTTTGATTGTGGAGTGTGCAGGAGGGGGTACGGCGGCAGAGGGATATTATAGAGTTAGTAATACAGCTTTTTATTCCTAATACTACAGTGTCCCTTTAAGTCTGAACTACGACAGCAAGTTGCAATCAAAATGGCAACATTTCAGCCAAAATAGCTGATCTGGAGATAACCTCTAACTCAACCACAGTCTTAATCACTACTCAATGTTGCTATTTGGATTTAATACAGTTAAAATTAGCCAAGCTGTTATTATAATTTGACCAAAATCTGCAGTTTTGATTTAAATTTAGCAATTATTTTTTTTAATTCACTGCTTTGTGCATAACAAAAAAAAATTTACAAAAAAATTACATTACCTCTGTAGGCCCAGCATACAGCATCGGAGATGGAAATATGGCAACAATTGTTGTTTTTGGATCCAAAACCCCCTCTTCAAGCACTGCTGCATGTTGCTTCATGCGCCAATCCAAAGGTACATCATCATCTTTTGTCCACCCTCCTAACGGGTGGAGCAAAAGCACAGGGCATTTGTAGCCTCTGTCCAGCAGATGGCGCCTGGTGTCCTGCATCAGCAAAGCATGTCCGTTGTGAACAGGGTTGCGTAACTGGAAGGCAAACACAGCATCTGGAGGAGATAAAAAAAAACAAGATTAACTGCATTCCCTCCAATATTTTCTTACAATTCATTTTGTTAAGTGTCAACACAAATTTCCACTCTATACAGTGGCAGCCAGCTAACTCTGGAAATTCTTCAAATCCGCATGTTTTCAGCTTGAGAATTTTGGCTTAAACATTGCGATTCTATGTCAGTTATTCACAGTCCCTATTTTAGAGAATAATTGTGTAGTAGATCTTGCTATGCAGAGGGGAGATGGTTTGTCAATATAAGACGTATTATCTCTAGAACATGGCTCTAAACTCGGCAGCCCAAGAATAAAAAGTATAGACAATTCTCAGTAACCGGTATAGCTCCATTCTATTTAAATAGTTAGGAAACCTGACCTTATAAATCTCACTGTGGGTGATATACAAGGCTGAACTCTCACTAAGTCAAAATAAGTCAATAAAGTACAATGAAAGCTTTTAAGATTACATTTATCCCCCATCTCCCCAAAACCAGTGAAAACACTGTAACCCAGCGTCAACTGACCACACTCAATCAATGAATGCAATTCTGGGTATAGGAATATGCACAGAATTCACACTACCCAGCACAGAAGTCTTGTCACTCTCCAGTGCCGCTGCCGCTGCTGGAGTTACACCTCTGGGATCATAGGGGTTAAACAGTGTTTGTGTTTTTTTTAAAACAAAACACTACACTTACAGACTCCAGGCACCATGACCACTTCAAAGCACTCAATGGTCATGGTGCTTGAAGTAACCCTGCAAGGTCCAATGGTGGAAAAATTCATATGAAAATAGAACATCACACTCGTAACAATAACAGCAAAGGCTTAATAAGCAGGACGTTCCATACTGAAATAAGGTTGTTAGAGACCAACTGTGGTGGTAACAGCATGAATTTGTTCCTTATGGGATTAAACCTAGGTAGTTAGTATAGAGTTAAGTCAACCTGGCGATTCATTAGATTCCATTATATTTAATCACTGATCTAATGTTGTTTAGCCTTGGTGATCAGTAAGAATTTTTGGCCGAGTATTTTTGAAACGTCGTCCATATTGATCTAGAGGGAGTGTTGTTTACAGTCAACTTTGATATGAAATCACTTTCTGAACCTTGGTCAGGAACATTGTTAAATATCCCACAGGATTTCTAAACATAGTCCAAAAAAAGTCAAGTGTGTTCTATACCGGATAGTAATTATTTAAAAAGTGTAGTAAATTAGCTGAAATGTTGTAATTCTAATCCTTGAAGCATCATACTCACAGACTTTTTTCCATGTAAACAAATGAATGGAGACCTTCCCGAACCAATTCAAACGTTGAAGGTGCCAATAATCCAAAATAAAATCTGAATTTATTAACTCCTTAGAGTGTAAAAAATCAACAGACACACACTTTTTGGAATACTCATGTTTTGCAGGTGATATGTCTATTTGTTAATTACATGCACCACAATGAGTTATTCTGTACCTGAAGATTTTATTTTGGAATGACGGTGGTACCTTCACCTTTCTTTTTTTTTTTTAATTCTTTATTTTGATAGTGCAATAAAGTAAACAGTCGTGCCCGCAGTGCCACAACAGCAACTGCTGGCTATTCATGGTATACAATGTCATGACATATTTGTAAGCTGCACAGTTTTACAGGTTAACTGGTCGATATAAATCGTACTATGGTATCGGTAGCGATTAGTAGTGAGTGAATAGCTAGGTATCATTAACATTTGACTTTGGTAGATAGTTTGTAACATTTTTCAAAAATAGTAAGTCTAGACGTTAGTGTGATAAGTTAAACATATGAAAACATGAAATTAGTGATAATAGTGTCTTGCGTGTGAGTGTGATATGGTCGGTGCGGGGGTCGGCCTATGTCTGACTGAGAGTAGGAGACCTGTCCGGCTTCCCTTTAGGCATGCCTTGGCTGCCAGAAGCTTGCAGTGTTTGGTATCTTGTATTTCGTCGTTGCTAGGGGTGGGTTAGAGATTTGTCACATAGATGATTATTGCTGGTGTGCGCCTGATAGTCTATAAGTATATCGCGTCTGTCCATGTTATATGTCTTCTTTGCTTCCTTTGGTTTACGTTCCACTTCAGCTATACGGTCGTCTGGGGTGCACTTTTCCCTGCTAAGGTGTCGCGTAACTAGACTTGCTGTGTGGTGCACTGTGGTGGCATGATGTTTGCCCTCTCCTTCCACCCCCCCCCCGTGTGTGTATAGTGTCCGTCTCCTACCCCCTCTCTCTAAGTGCCTGTATTTCCCCATCGTCACGCATGTCTCTGTTGGGGGTCGTGTGTGTCGAGGTGTTTTGAACCCAAGGTGCCAGGCACCATGGGGCCATCTATAACTGTCAAAAACAACAGTAATTAAAACAACTTTAAATTAAAACAACTTTAAATTAAATGCTAGATGCCTGAGGGGCTGTAAGGGGTTCAGTTCTCCCAGCCAGGTAGGTAGGCCTGTGATCAGTCCTCTCGTAATCTGACAGTTCTATGGGGGGTTCTGCAGGCCTGGTCTTCTTTGTGTCTCTGACCCCTCAGGGCCTTCCTCCCGGGTAGCGTTGTCGCGGCGCTGGGGGTCTTGCTTCTCCCCTGTTCCGGGGGTGCTGGCTGGGGGAGTTGGAGTTCCTGTAGGAAGTTCTTAGGGTCTTCCTCTGCTGATAATGAAAGTACTCTGTCTTTGTATGGCACCACCAGCGTGCCAGTTGCACCCCATCTGTATCTGATGCCATGTTCTCTCAACTGTCGGGTGATCGGCATGAACCTTCTCCTCTCTAGCAGAGTCGCAAACGGTAAGTCGTCGAATACCTTGATGTGGAGGTTGTCCACTATGGCGGTGGGTGTCTTTCTGGAGGCAGCCATAATCGCCACTTTTACCGTAATGTCTCGTGCGATTGTAATAATGTCCCTGGGTGCGTCCGCAGGGGCGGCTGCGGCCTTCCGAATCCTGAATGCCGCTGTGATGGGCCGCAGTTCACCATTTTTCTTTGCTCCCATCATGGTCGCTATTTTATTAGTAAACTCCAGTAAGGCTTCTGGGCCTATAGTTTCAGGTGCGCCACGGATGCGGACATTTCTCTTGCGATGTCTGGCCTCTATCGCGGTCACTGTGCGGGTAAGTCTCAGGATTTGTTGGGTCAGGGAGGTCATTTGGGTTTGGGTCTCGGCAATGAGAATGTCTCTGTTCCCTTCCCTATTTTCCACTGCACCCAGTCGTGCTGTGACTCCGGTTATTTCAGACCGTATCTCGTCCAAATCCGACTTCCATACCTTCCGTAGGTCGAGTAACAGCTTTTTGATATCCCCCTTGGTAGAGGGCGAGTCGTCGGAGTCGGATTCTCCTGTCCGATAACCTGCATTAGCTTTCTGTGTGGTCGGGGGGCCCCGCTCGTGGGGCGATGCCTCCGATTCACTAGAGCTTTGGTCACTTTCCTGCGCCATTTTGGTCTGTGTTAGTCTTTGCGGCCTACTGAAGGACCGCCTGATGTCTGGCGTGTTTGAGCCCTCCAGGCAGGTTTGTTTCTTGTTTTTTCGCTCCATCTCGAGGTTGGGGGCATTTAGATCACTATTAGTCTGGATATCTGTTCTGGTTGTTAGGATTTTGTGGCAGTTCGTCGTATTAAACGGTGTGTTTAGCCGGAGCTCCACACTTGCACGTCTTGTTAGCTGCTCAGCTAGCCCACCTTCACCTTTCTAACTGAAGTTCTACCCAATTTGTTTGCACAAATGTTCCTTATGGAGGGACCAACAATCCCAAATTCTACTTGTGATTGTGGTATTATTATATGGTTCATTAATCTTGCTTGCTAACTATGCCTGGTGTTTGATAGAAGCAGTAATAGGCATCCCTGGGCAGTCTTATCTCGTATTTGCATTGCATTTTTGTTTCCCATGTACTTCTCCATGGACGTGCATCAATGTCACTGGTTGGTAAGAGAGAGCTGTGATTCTCAAAGAGGGAGGGATATGTTGGCATATACTATAGTAGATAAGATTATTACACAATCAGAGCTGGCAAGAAGACTTTTGAGAACAGAGTTCACAATGAATGAACAAACAACACTTAGAAATAATAAAAATAAAAAAAAACAGTAGAAAATGATTCACTCTGGGGCTTCTGAACGGATAAGAATCACTAATTATTTAGCTGAATATTCATTGTTTAAATATCCTCGATTTACAGAGAATTAAGAAAGTATGAGCATGTACACCTGCATTGCCATATTTAAACTGTACCGTACATCTAGCAAATTAAAGTTAGTACGCACATTTTTATTCTTTATTCCTTTACTTTTGATACATACACATTTTCATTTTTATGTCAAGCTTTTAGCTTGTACCTCTCCCAGCATCCATGCCTCTTAACAATGCTGACTGCAGCTGCTCGCAAAGCATGGTGGGACACGGATCTTTACAGCACAGTGTCGCAAAAATGCTCACCTATTACTCTGACCAAGAAGCAAATTCCAAGCAAGTATAATAATTAAATTTATATACTAGCTGGCAATTTTACTAGTAAGATACAGAAATTAATCTTTAATATTTGCCTTACGTAGCTATTGCCATTCACGTCTTTGCAAATCCAGGCCAAAATAGTCAAGCTAGAAGAGTTACCGGTTTGAAAAATATATTTTAAGTTTGGCTATTTTGGTCTAAAAATTGTGATTCCTGGTCATTCCTGTCCATTCTAGTTAAGTGAGTAAACTCTAGTGTGTGGTTTTGCGGATCCAAGCTGGGATTTACTAACACAAGAAATCCTCCCCACCCCTAGATTGTGAGGATATATATATCAATATTAAATAATCTGGCTTACCTGCATTCAGCTCTTTAGCCTTCTGCTTTAGCTCTAGAGGTGTGAGGCGATACTGATCTAGACCATCTTCCCATCGGATTCTTTCTAGAACCTCAAGTTCTCCACCAGCCAGCCAATCTCCACTTTCCAGGACCATCTTAATGATTAAAATATCAGATGTATAAATATAACTTGCATTCACCATCTGGTAATAGTCAGTTCCGAAAAAAGGCACATGTACAGAACATCGCTATCACGTGGCCGTAATGAAACCAGTTTAGTGATGTTCTCTTTCATGAAACATATACAACAGGGGTGCCCAAAAGTTAGATCCCCCCAAAATACAACTTCCATGATGCTCTGCTATTGCAAAGACTGATAATGGGAGCTGTAGTTTTACAGCATCTGGGCATCCAGCGTGACATACATTGTGTTATATTGTGGACACCTTAAGTATGCCTAAAAACATATGTTTATAGCATGTTATCACTGTTACCACACACAGCCAGGGTTGTTCACAAAGGTATGGGGTGCATGGAATTGAAAATTAATTTTCCAAACTAGCTTATTTTAAAATAAAATTAATTTAAAAAAAAAAGAAATCTCTTTAGAATTCTCAAAAAAAAAAAATCAATAAATCACACAGTGAATAACTCTAAATGTATTTAAAGAAAACTAACAGAAGTGGTAAACATAGTTAATTAAAGGCGATCCGTAAACAATCTTTTATTTTGTGAAATTCTATTTTATAAAGATGTGATTTTAATTGCTTACTAGTTGTGCATTCTGCAAATATGACGTAAGCTTGTGTCCTAATCTACCTAGAATGCGTTACTGAAAAACACACACAGACCTGCTGAAATGTGTGTACTGTTGGGAATTAATTTAACATTGTAGGACAACGTAGGTGAATGAGAAAAATTCTCCACGTCAGCTATGTTTTCAGTTAACCTTACCTGAAAATGTGAAATACACTTTGGATTCCCAGAAAGTCACACGTTAATAAATAACCTTGTATGAAGCTCTGATAAGGGTTCCACAAGAACACAAATGAGGTTCTGCCAAAATTTCTAAAAACAAAATGGCCGCAGGCAGCGAGGAAGCAGTGGGCAGTGATCTCCCTGTTCAGCTCCCTCGAATGCACAGCAGTGATGCCGGAGCCGGAATATAACGTCACTCCTGCTCCGGCATCACTAAGAGGCACGCAAGGGAGCTGAGCAGGGAGATCACTGCTCCCTCGCCGCCCGCACCCCAGCTGCTCAGCAGCCCCACTGGACCCCTGGGACCGGACACTAAGCCCAGCAGCCCCACTGGACCACAGGGACATAGAGATTCCATGCAAGCACTCCCAAAGGTAGGGGAGGCTGGGTGGAGTAAAATGTAAAAAATAAATTGTATGTGTGTCTGTTAGGGAGTTTGTATGTGTTTGTGTGTCTGTCAAAGAGTATATGTATGCTCGTCATATAGTGTGTATGTGTGTTTTTCAGTGAGAGTGTATGTGTGTCTGTCAAATAGTGTGTGTGTTTTTCAGTAAGAGTGTATGTGTGTCTGTCAAAGAGTATGTGTGTCTGAGTGTGTCAGTCTGTGTGTCAAGGTTTGTGTATGTGTCACTGTGTGTATGTCAGTATGTTTATCTGAGTGTTTCAATGTGTGTATATGACACTGTGTGTATGCGCCGGTGTGTATCTGTGGGTGCAAGTGGGTGTATATGTCAGTGTGTGTATGTGTGTGTCCAGGTGTGTATCTGTGTGTCAGATACATACACACACACACACACACACACACAGATACACACTGACACAGAGATACACACACTGGCACATACAAACACAGATACACACATCTTGACACACAGATACATACATACACACACAGATACATACTATGTGCCACTATGTGCCAGTGTGTGTGTGTGTGTGTGTCAGATACATACAAACAAAAACATACAGATACACACTGACACACAGAAACACACACTGGCACTTACAAACACAGATACACACATCTTGACACACACAAAAAACTGCACCTTTTTTTTGGGGGGGGGGGGGACCCCTGGTATATAGGGAAATATGTGGGAAGGTTAAATAACAAAACAACAACCCACTAATAAGTGGGTTAAAAAGGGACACTGTAGGCACCCAGACCACTTCAACTCCCATCACCCTTAACCCTGCAAGTGTAATTATTGCCATTTTAATTACCTTGCAGGTTTAAGTCCTCCTCTAGTGGCCACTAGAGGGACTTCCAGCTTCTTAGACGACTTTTGGTTGTCGAATTGACGCTGGACGTCCACACGCTATGCATGAATAATGCTTTCCTATGGGGAGGTCTAATGCGCGCGGCCATTGCCGCACATGCACATTAGGTCTCCCACGCCGGGGGACGTCGGCTGGGGAGGAGGCAGAGCCTGGCCCAGCACCGAGGGACATCCGCGCTGGATTCAGGTAAGTGTCTGAAGGGGGTTTTAACCCCTTCAGTGACATGGGATGAGGGGGCGGGAGGGAGGGGGACACTGCGGGATTCTACAATTCCAGGAAAATGGGTTTGACTAGAGAATCCCTTTTATAAGACACGTATACACTTGGGGAATTTTTTACCAAATCAGTAAATGTGAATAGGTGAACAAAGACATGGCACATTTTAGACAACAATAGCAAAACTTGGAGAATTCTCCAATTTGTCTGCATTTCAGTCTCAGCTATTTTGCCCTGAAACTTGTAATCCCCTGGGAAATTCCCTGGAGGGTGTAGAGATGAGTGGTAGGTTGTAATTTTATGGTCAGTGTAAAAAGCAATAATTAAACATATGGTAATAGTCTGCCTGTGGTTTGATCCCACTCAGCAGAAACTGACTAAAATCCCCATCGTAAACGACCTACTTGAGTCACAAACTAAAAGCAAACACTTTCCATTTTACTCATCGAGTCTTAATCACAGACAGAATGGAAGAAGCAGATACAAGATAAATTAACTGATTTTAAAGTTCTGAGAAGGAAAGTCTCATCAACAACCACAAGTAATAACATTCCAAGCTGCCCTGTGGTCCTCAGAGTCATCATCACCTACAACAATGCTTTAATAAATACACTGTAACTGCATGAATGATGGACCACTAGTAAATCAGGATGGCTGGGGTCCCTGCCAAATAATGTACTGAAGTAGGGGTGGGACTTGTGTAGCATTGATATGTTTATCTGTGATGTATGTACCTCGTGTTAAAAAAAATATATTTATGTAAATTTATGTATTTTTAAATCACTAACGGTTTTCGGTGGGAGGGGGCAATTATGGACAGATCATTTGGACATCTTATGGTCCTCTTATGATTTATTTAGGGTCTGGCAATGCCATTGCTGATACCCCATCTGCAGTGCATTGGGTGGAGGAGAGTGAGCACAGCTGTCAGAGTTAAAGGACCCTGCACCCTCATGGCCCCCCTCCTGCTGGGCTGAAGGGGTTAAAACCCTTTCAGCTACTTACCTATCTCCAGCACCGGGCTCCCTCGGCCCTGGTGACCTCTCCTCCTCCTGCCGACGTCGGTGCCGAATAGGCATGCGCAGCAAGAGCCGCGCGCGCATTCAAACCGCTCATAGGAAAGCATTACTCAATGCTTTCCTATGGACGTCAGCGTCTTCTCACTGTGATTTTCACAGTGAAAAGCGCGGAAGCGCCTCTAGCGGCTGTCAGGGAGACAGCAACTAGAGGCTGGATTAACCCTCAGTGTAAACATAGCAGTTTTTCTGAAACTGCTATGTTTACAGCTGCAGGATTAAAACTAGAGGGACCTGGCACTAAGACCACTTCATTGAGCTGAAGTGGTCTGGGTGCCTATAGTAGTCCTTTAATGTGGCATTTCTGTGCACTGAACCCACCCTTTTTTTTTCTTTTTTTTTTAAATAGTATTGAGTGGAGTTATAGTAATGCTCATATTTCACTGTTTCCACATTTAAGCAGGTTCCATCACTGAGTACATCCATTATTATTATTACTACACAATACTTCTGGTTCACAATCCAACAGTGTACAGCATAATGTGCAGCTTCTCTCTAGCATAATCAAACCAAATGACGACTATGCTGTGCATCGAACCAGTCGTACATTATTGATGCACACAGGTAGCTTAATCTATAGGGATCGCTGACATCAATACTAATGACAGTCATTGCATGGTGTGTTTCTTGCAGTTCACTGTTCCAAGTGTCCACACATGAGAAAAGGTTTTATTGAAATACAATTTGATTATGTTCCATGGTCATCACATTGCTATATTGTAAAACTGCGGGATAAGTTAGGAATGAACCCAGAAAAAATGTGGAATGCCACCATTTTGATTAAATTAAGACCATTGGAAAAGATCGACACAGTTTAAAGAATCATCTAACGTAAGCATAGAAGTTGAATCTCTAGACTGTAAGCTCGTTTGAGCAGGGTCCTCTTCAACCTATGGTTCCTGTAAGTTTTTGTAATTATGTCAAGTCTCTTTTCAGCTATGTAACTATGTAAATCACTATATAAATGCCAATAATTATAATAACAATAAACCTACTTTGACATGAGGATGCTGAGGGCAAGTTGTTCCCCAAACACGTGCACATCTCTCCTCCTTTCTGTGCTCAAAAAATTCTGGGTTTCGTAGAATTGCCACCTTCCTACCTTCATACTCCAGAGCAAAGGCTTTAGTGCCAGACAACCTTTCCTTATCGTTCGCGGATACTGGCAGCACGATGGGGATGCTCAAGTTGATTACCCCTCCTGAAACCATAACCTGTTCATTAATACCTTAAAGCGCAGGCAGACAACATGAGTGTAAAGGCTTTATTCAAAGTGTGAATTATCAGACATTCAAAGGGAAATATTAGTCTGAAATGGCACATTTATCCAAGTCAGCTATGTTTGTAATTTAAATATATTGGCCTAAAATAAGAAATTTACTTTGAATCCATGATAAATCTTTTTTTGTGTGAATAACCACGTTTACGCGAGGTTTCTGTTCTAATCCTTGAATTGCAGAGAACTGAAAAGTGAATTTTCCATATTTCGGCCATAACTGTTACGTTGGACAACATAAAAATCAAAATGTATTAAATAAATTTGTGTTACCCAAGTAGAGGTATTATCTGCGGGTGGCTGAATGCACGATGCTGGTACAATGAATTGGGATAGCTCATGTGTTCATTCAAAGCACTTTTGAAAATAAATAATGGGCATTATGTATGAGATAGCAACTGGGCAATATAAATGAGATAATTGGCTTTGAAAGTAAATAAGAACTAGTCTTTATGTGAAATTTTGCATTTTGAAGTGTAGCTTTCAAAATATTGAACGTGTTAATTTTCTAAAAAGGGAACATCAAAGTACATATGGACCTTTGGCAGTGTGATATTAATACTATTTGGGATGTAAACAGCTGCTTTGGCACAATACATTTTTAGGTATTTGTGAATTAAACACAAGTGTGGTTAAACACACTAAAATGAGAAATGTAACAACTTTGGGGAGTTGCCAAATTGTCCCAATTTTATGTTAAGTGAATTAACCTACAAAGAGCTGGAGATAATCTGTGCTAAACAAACAATGCAGAAACTATTCTATGTTACATATATCACAGAAGCTGGTATGTGATTTAAATCTAACCAGGATCTCACAATGTGTCATTATTGGACTGGACTCAATGAATATTACTACTGAATTAACTATGAAATTGCATAATGTATTCTTAACATTGAGAAAAGTAAGAAAGATTAGGTTCATTGTGAAAACAGAAATCACATTTAAAATGACTTATTACTTACCATTAGTAAATGACGTAAAACATTGATATAAAGTAGCACACATTATATAGTGTCTGGTGGTAGAAGTTTCTGCATAATATTGTAATTAAATAGGCCATATTTCAAGCCAAGGTACTGGCATTTGTTTTCTACCAAACCTATTTAACCATACACTATAAATGTAGTCTGAGCCCAACTATATACGAATGACCTGATGGTATTTCGCTCTTTTATACAATGTTGTCAAATTAAATGGAAAGGCTCAGTATAGAACTCTTTATTTAAACCCAGGCAACTGGTATAAATCAAAGCATGTTGCACAATTATTGTCTTGCCAAAGAGATAAAACAAATTAATGTTTTTTTTTGTTTGTTTTTTTAAAACAAGAATTAAGCAGTTTTTGCATAAATACATCAAACTAGTGGTATGGTTTAAAAGTGGTTAGATTTACAAAGGCAAGCAGAACTCTAAAACTAAAACATATTTAATATAGTAGGCGTCTCATCTTGGCTTTGCAGTTAAATGTAGTCACTGGGATTAAACTATATTAACTGCAGCATATTGTAATCCCAGTAACTACATTTAACGTCACTTTATTTCATTAAGAGAAAGCTAGTTAAACTGGAGGAGGGATCTGCCACTTTAGCCATATAGCTTATGGATAACACACAAAACGGAGAGTGACAGTCATTTAAACCCAATAAAAGATCTATTATGACGTTTTGAAGCAGGCCCTGCCTTTGTAAATCTCCCATAAAGATTAATAAACCATTACCACCCCTTGATGAAACTGAGGCACTGTAATTCTACAAATAATGACAAAGTACAATGATGGTATAGTCAATGTAATAATGTATACAACTAAAAGCAAAGTGGGCAACACTTATATTGTATTTAAAAAAAAAACAGGTTATCAAACTGTAGACATTTGGCAGCTGTTTAACAGATGTTTGAAGGACACAGCTTGCAACTTATTTTTTAATACCATCCTTGTGCCTTCCTTATAATAGAAGTATCTGACAACACAAATTAAACAAAATGAATCATGATTAATATTTATTTTAAATGATCATTTTTGCTTGGAATTAGGTATTTAGTGGGTTGCATGTAAGAGATATACACAAAGACAAGATTTAATGTACTTCTAATAAAACGTTTTTTTCTCCACAAGTGCAAGCCACTGAAATCCATTAAAAATGAAAATGGTGAAAAAAATTTTATAAAAAATAAATTTTAAAAAAAGTGCGGACCAATTTTTTTTTTCCTTTTTATTATTTGGATAATTGAAGTATTTGTAGAATAAGTTTACAAATAAGGTAACTCACCAAGATACCTTGAGAATGATAAATCTGAGTTATGCTTCGTATCTAAAGAAAAGTTTATTTTAAAACATCAACAGCAGGCATACATTTTTTAAAAAAAAATAAAAGGGGGTTCAGTCATAATTGGGGCTCTAGATTGCAAAAGTCCAAAAAAATTACCAAAGTTGCAACTCAGAGGTTAGTTTGTACTAATTCAATTCATAACAATTTGGGATTTGCGTTTAAAAAATAAAAAAGGGGCACTTAGAAAGGTCATCAACAGCAAGCCAAGCCTGGAGCCCCCTGAAAAACATTGTTGTTGCACACTTTGAAAATATTATATTTTAAAAATCAAATATTAGTTCATTGTTATTTTTCCAATAGTGCCTGCGTTTTAATCTTTTTTTCTTTAACCCTGCTAAATTAAATAATTGATATCTGCTTAGATTACTGTAAACATCGTACATCAGGGTTTAATAATCCATATATCAATGATCCATTTATCAACAGACACATTGTTACTATGAGTCTGTTCCAGTCTTATTGACATCTGGAGAAAACAAATCATTGAAGAGGCAATAATGTGAAAAAAGACTGTAATAAGATGTTAAACATGGGGCAGTTGTCAAATGGTAAGTCAACAGGAAAGTAAATTGCAAGATTGTATCATAGCACAACAGTCAACAATGGTACACCACACAGAATTTCATTTTTTTTTCCTGATAAGTGCTTCTCTAATGCTCTACCAAAATATATAGAAACACAAAATATCAGTTACCTATCAATATGCAAACAGATAAGAAAAAACACACAACTGTTGTAATAGTTTGTTTGAGCAGGGTCCTCATCAACGTGTTGTTCCTGTAACATTTAGCAATTTGCTAATTTATTGTTACATTTCCCCCTTGATAATATTGTAAAGCACTGTGGAATAAGATGGCGCAATATAAATGCCAATTATGCAAATAATAAAATAGTTTAAAATCTGAATATAAAAAACTGTACCATCCAAGAGGGTGTCAAAATGAAGAACTTGTAGATACTCCCTCTCACGCATGAAGCCTTTTAATGGAGTGGCCCATCCTTCACTCAGAACCTGCACCCACTGGAGGTCCAACTAAATGAAAGGGAGAAACCACATGCAGTTGTCAACATAATGTAAAGTTAATGGAGTGCTGCACACAATTAATTTTACGTGGGAGCTCCATGGAGGGGGATCTGCAGCCCAATAGGAACAACAAAAAATAGAGGTACACAGGCATTGTGATGCCTGTGGACCTCAACTTTTTTTCTCTAGGTGTCAACATATTCGTTATGCAAATAGGTGGACATAATGTTACTCAGATAAGAAAGTCTTCACAAAAACAAAATGATAATACATTTTATTTTTTTAAATCTTTTCAGGTAACAACGCTTTCAACTATCAAAATGCCTATAAGGTAGAAACTATGATCATGCAATCCTATTTCATTGGTGAGGATAACTAATTTGTCTAACTGCAATTCTTGTAGCCTTGACAAAGTTAAAACATGCGCGTATATCCTTTAAAAAGACCCCAAGTGGCAGAAGTAGAGTGACAGCTGCTTTTTACCTTGGTGATGTTAACAGCGGGTATGTTCTTTGCTTCTTCTCGAGCCTTATTCAGCTTATTCTCTGGTACAAACAATTCATGGACTTCTTTAGTAGCTCCAGATGGGACAATGGCCTGGAAAGAACGAAGAGATAAGATCAGTTCATGTAGAAAGCATTCATATGATACATTACAAAAAAAAATCACCATTTAGAATGTCAATCAAAAAGTATGCTTGCCTAGAGAACTCACCTGCCTCCTCCAAGATGGCTGCTGGAAATTGCCAAATTGCCTACATGCAGCTGTAATGGCTTTAATTTCTGGAAGCCATCATAGTTATTTTTCCCTGAGTACAGCAGCTCAGCACCTTGTTACAGGAAGCGAGCCAGTTGGTAAACTAGTTAAAATAACTGTGCGTGTATAATGCTAATGCAAAGTATATTTTAAATTAACATTACTACAAAACAGGAATATGAGTTTTGCCACAAGAGAGTCCCTTTAAATGTTGTCACAAGAGGACCCATACAAAATGTTTTATTTTAAACAGTGTGAGCAGACAAGTAAATAATCACGACAGGTACATTGTCGCCATATGGACAGGAGGAGCTGTCTACTACCTTGTACCAACACACCCCTAATAAAATACTGACACTCTTAGGTATGGGTCAATATGTCCACAGCTTTCATTTTATTATAATCATAATAATAATAACAATAACATATACATAAGTTTTTAAAGTCATTGCCCACCCCCAAATCCTCAGCCATCCAACATTATCTCTTCCACACATATCAAATCATAAGACAATGACCCATAATATATAACATAACATAGTATAACAACACATAAATATAACATAAACAGGATCCAACTTTTCCAAATGATCCTGGCAGGGGAATACCTTGATACCCCTACACCACCCGGGTTCTGAGCTACCAACGAGCTCGAAACCCACCAACATCTTACTAAAAGGTAACCAACCATATTAACCAGCCAACTAACTACTCTTGCTCTTCTCTTCCCTAAGCAGGCCTGTTACCCCCTTAACCTTCCTTTTACCAGCCCGCCGCTGTGACCAAACGGACAAGACTTAACCCATACATAAAGAGAGGGAGGGACCAACTCAGCCTGGTAAGTCAAATTAGTAATAGGGATTTCTAAAATGGCTGACATTTTTATCAGTCCAACCCCTAAACCCTACCCTACACCCTACCCCACCAATCACCATCAGGCTCCCCCTAAGCCCGCCTCCAAGCCCTGTCAAGGCCCCCTCTGCTAAGCTGCGCTTTTCTCCTTGGTACTACATTCCAGTCAAGAAGATACGAAAAATAACATATTGTGTTACTGGTTCTAAACTATAGCAACAAAATTCTTCCACAATAACAACCTGTAATATAAGAATTGTATATTGAACTACTATAACAACTTAATCTAAATGAAGTTGTTATGGTGTCAGGTGGTTGCCGGTTTAACCCCAAGGGTAGCCTCCGTCATGGGATCTCAAGTTCCCACAGCGTCATCAGGCTTCATCATCAATGACATTTATTTTCAGGAAGTGTGGGATGCTGCTAGACAGATGCCCCGCTTAGTGACTAAAGCCGTCAGCTGACACTCTAAGCCACTAAGTCGCACCCCATGCATAAAAAGATAGATAGATTGATAGATAGATGGATAGATAGATAGATAGATAGGAAAATATATGCATTTTCCTCACCGCTTCTTGCAGTAGCTCTACTATCTGATGAATACAATCAATTACACTGTGAATATTGGTTTTTAGTACAAGTTCAGGAGCCTCTGGCTTCTCATATTCAGCATCAATACCAGTGAATCCTAAAAAAAACAAAAAACAAAGATATCTAAATTTACATAATTAAGCCCAAGCTAAAAACTATTTCACCCAATATACTACAATTATTACAGTGTTAGATATCTTGTAACGTAGACTTTTATCCAGGAACACTTCTGTTGAAAATAATATATTTATTAAAACATATTTTGATGAAAGATTTCAAAACTCACATAAAGTGCACAAGTGTAATGATTATGTATGAAGCAGTGAGTGCCAGTTTAAAGTATTGCTACTCAACTGCATTCTCGGTCAGTACGTGGCTAACAGGATATTGCTACTCTATGTTTAATATTCTTTGTAAAGAATGCATGTAATATATGCAATCCTAAATAAATAAAATTAGATGCATCTCATTATTAAGATAAATATAACACTCTGGCAATCAGTGGCCTATGTGAATTGGATTAAATTACAAGTTGTTTAACTTCAAACACGCCATCCTCTGTGATGCTCCTGGCATGATTGTTGGGCTAAGACTCACATATATGACCTATAATCACCCTGACTTCTTTTAAATATGGGTGTGGAACACATTTAGCAATATCCTGATATGGGTCCTTGAGCCAAATGTTTAACATACAGATCAAGAAAATATAACTTATATTTGCATTTTAATCACCATACATTGCAAAGTAATTAGTGTTTTACGACACACTTTCTAAACATTTTAATAACTACTTGTAGTCTTTTAATTTAGCTGTACAAATCTAATTGTGGTGTGTTAGCTATACGGTTCTAATCGTGGTGTGTTAGCTATACGGTTCTAATTGTGGTGTGTTAGCTATATGGTTCTAATCGTGGTGTGTTAGCTATACATTGATCAGCTACAACATTAAAACCACCTGCCTAATATCGTGTAGGTCCCCCTCATGCTGCCAAAACAGTTCTGATGCATCAGGTCAGGTTTTGGACTTCACAAGACCTCTGAACATGTCCTGTGGTATCTGGCACCAAGACATTAGCAGCAGATCCGTGAAGTCCTGCTAGTTGCAAGATGGGGCCTCCAAATATCAGATTTGTTGTTCCAGCACATCCCACAAAAGTTCAGTCTGGGGAATTTGTAGGCCAAGGCAACACATTGAATGTTTGTCATGTTCTTCAAACCATTCCTGAACAAGTTTTGCAATGTGCATATCCTACTGAAAGAGGCCACTGCCATCAGGGAACACCATTGCCATGAAGGGGTGTAAGTGCATATATGCAGCAAACTGCCAACGCATTGTGTGTTCTGACACCTTTCTATCATGGCCAGCATTAAATGTCTCAGCAATTTGAGCTACAGTAACTCTTCTGTAAGATTGGACGAGAACGGCTAATATCAACTAGCCTTGGGCACTCATGACCCTGACACCTTTACACTGGTTGTCCTTTCTTGCATCCCTTTTGGTAGGTACTAAACACTGCATACCAGGAACACACACAAGACTTGCCATTTTGAAGATGCTCTGACCCAGTTGTCTAGCCATCACTATTTGGCACATGTCATTTTGGCCCTTGTCAAAGTCACTCAGATAATTTCATTTGTCCATTTTTCCTGCTTCCAACACATGAAATTAAAGAACTGACTGTTGTTGCCATTGTCATAATATAGGCAATGTTATTCACTTCCCCTGTCAGTGGTTTTAATGTTGTGGCTGATGTACGTTTGTTATGTTAGTTAAATGTTACAGTCATTGTATGTTAGCTATATGCTTCCACTTGTGATATGCTAGCTAAATGCTTACAATAATGATTTTAAAAAATCCTTACCCCATGTAAGTTTATTGTAGCAAATAGCTTACATAGACTCAGCCCAATAAACTACCTTTTAAGCCTTATAATGTTAGCTAGAAAATACTGCATGCCATTGGTGGAATTGAAATGCATCCCATTACAGCACACTTAAGAATAACATTATAGGTTTAAATAAATAAATCCATTGGCACCTAAAGGCTAAATCGGAGGGTGGGCTAAAGAGCTCACTGGGGAAGTTCTAGTAGAATGGTACAGAACACTGAATGTTGATGTGTCAGAACAGAGCTTTTAAAAATGGAATTTCAGTAAAGTAATGCCAGTCATTGTATGTCCGCTAGGAACTTAAATTTTTACGATTCTTCTAGTGGTGCCCAAGTACCATGCTTTTACATACGTGTGTGTATATATTATATATATATATATATATAGTATCAAGTACAGATCCTAGCACACATGTATGGTCTCAGCAAAGACTAGGTAAGAATTTTTTCTCATCTCCATCCAATATTTTTAAGCACTATTTTTCACATGTGAGTAGATTAGTCATTCCTGCAGATTTAAAATTCAATCTAAAATCCCTATTAAATATCTATATATATAGATACCAATCACCACAACTACATTGGTAATCTACCTTTGATTTCTCCAGCTCTGGCCTTTTTGTATAGACCCTTTACATCTCTGCTTTCGCAAATATCCAGAGGGGCATCAACGAAGATTTCAAAGAATGGAAGGCCTACAGCATCGTGCACTTTACGCGCCTCTAGCCGATCCTACAAATTGAATAGTCAAAAATCACAAATTATATTTCCAAATTGAAAAAATGTATGCTCAGTGGATGTTCTCAGAATTGTGCATGACATACAGTGATGCAAATCCAAATTAAGTAAAAATATTAAAAAAAAACTGATTAGACATGTCATGTAAACTGGTATTCAACCCATCGGTCATTCACAACAAACAACTGAACTTGAATTTTATAGCCAAACAAACTTTTAAAAGTGGAAAAAACATTTGAATAAAACATACACATTCCTTCATTCGGTACTACGTGTAACATTTTACACACTGGTAACACAATTCAAAACTATTTAATAAAACATGTATTTCCTGCACTTCAGTACTACATAGCCTGCAATATTTACAAGACTTTTAGAGCTTTTTCTTTGTTAAACAAATCCTAACTGGTTTTGTGACCTACAATACAGTACACATATTTTATTCTAAAACACTATTTTGCTATTATTATTCAGCTAGGATGCACTTTTTTGTTCCGAAATAAAGTATAATGAGTTATGCACAAGTGAATAGTCTCCTTCTGTATGGGGAGTTGTTTGTTTAACTTGTTAATGGCAGATGATGAACCAGAATTGACATATCATTGGATCTGCTCTCCTGAAGATATTAAAGGGACACTATAGTCACCAGAACAACTACAGCTTATTGTATTTGTTCTGGTGAGTGGACTCATTCCCTTCAGGCTTTTTGCAGTAAACACTGTTTTTACAGAGACCTAGGGATACCTCTACTGGCCACGCCTCATACGGCTACTACAGTTGCTTCCTGTGCAGCACTGACATTCAGTGTATCCACCCTCTACATGGAAACACTGAATTTTCCTCAGAGATGCATTGATTCAATGCATCTCTATGAAGAGATGCTGATTGACCAGGGTTGTGTTTGGCTTTAGCTGGCTCTGCCCCTAATCTTCTGAGAGCATCTTCTGATGATGTCAACCAAGCAGGCAGATCAGGGGCAGAGCCAGCACCAGCAGACTGGAATAAAGCTAAGATTTTACTATAATTAAAGAGAAATGGGGATGGGGGAAGGAAGTCAGGAGGGCTAGGTGGTGTTTTTAAAACTATGGGAACAGGAATACATGTTTGTGCTCCTGACCCTATAATGTTCCTTTAACCCCTTAAGGACACACGACATGTGAGACATATCATGATTCCCTTTTATTCCAGAAGCTTGGTCCTTAACCCCTTAAGGACACGCGACATGTGAGACATATCATGATTCCCTTTTATTCCAGAAGCTTGGTCCTTAAGATGTTAAAGGTTCCAGTGTCAAAGTGACTAGAAGGAGGTGGATTATAGTGGGTAAAATTTCTCAGGGGAGAAACCTCCCAGACATGCATCCCTGAAAGTCCCATCCCCAAAGCCACAACTACGCAGAAGGATAACGGCTATGACGCATATCATCACTCTTCAGAATAGTGTAGTGAAATTATTTTTTTTTATTATTATTTTAAATGTAAGACGAAAAAAAATCCAATAAAAGCACCATTTGTTTTCATTTTGTGATTATCGTGGTTTATAGTTGTTATCAGGAGTAGACATATTAAATTATAAAGCATATAAAGGATTGTATTTTATTTGTTTTCATTTTCCAAAACCAAATTTTTTTATTTTTTTTTTACATTTACATGTATTTTTTTTTTTAATGTAGACAATAAGGTATAAAAAAAAAATAAACTATTGGCGCCACATTTTATGAAATGCGAAACAGTATGCAAAGAAAAACTGGCTTCCAGTTGTTTATTTAGAGCAGATGTTTCTGTTTCCTAAATACGAAGGTTTCAACTGGGTGAAGATCAGATGGTGGGTCAGGGATGGCTGGATCCCAGGGGTAAAAGCAACAAGCTGCATAACAATCTCCCTGGACTTATAAAAGCAAAGCACAAAAATAAATAAATGATTTGTACACACCGTGGTCTAAGTAATTGTTTCCATTCACCAGCAATAATGATCAATGAAACTTGTTTTTTATGACAAATAAAAGACAATTGGTTCATTTAGGGGTCTATTCACAAAGAACCAGTGTACTGAATTGAAGTCCAATTTAAACATTTAGGGTAAAACAATGTCTTTGAAAAAGTCTCTGCTAAATGTAGTATAAGTGTCCTGCTTGGAGCAGATAAGCAGTGATACAAGTACATGTTAACATTTGTTAAAAATGATCATACTCCACTTTGGTGAGTAACCCAGAAATATTTATTTACTGAACTGTAAAATACTTTGAATTGAAAATGGGAAATGCAAAATTCAGTCTAATAAACAGCCAAGATGCGACCCATTGAGTTAGACAAATTTTACAAAATCAGCCTTTTGGCCTAAATTTTGAAGTTTGTTTTATAAAGGGGAACAACAAGCACCATAACCACTACAGCTGCTCCCCGTCTCCACTACTAATGACGGAGAGCAGGTATTTCCTAAGCAGGAATGCAATACAGGGCTTTGCTCATTGGCTGATAACTTTCAGCCAATCAGCTGACACACACGGTACACATGGAGAGCTAACAGAAGTTCATGCTAGGAATTTCTAGCTCTCTGGTATTAGTAGTGGATGAGGGTTGTTGGACCAGTTGGACTGCAGGTAAGAAGTCACATTTTTAAAATGTTTTTACAATGGGGAGGGGTACAACAGCACACTCCTGGCAACCTGAACCACTGTAGCGAGCTATATTTCTTTGTTTATTGAAGAAATCCCGGAGTAGAATAAATATGAAATGTTTTTTTCCCACTTTGACAAGAAACTTAGTGTATCTTTATCCACGGATATGTCAATGGACAAAGGTATTTCAAAACTAAGATTATCGATGATAGTGTTATCTGTTAATGAAATTGTAAAACGTACAGTTTGCATAAACTTTACGCAGATATATAATATAGGGGTGGAGACAGAAGGGTTGAAGGTCACTGCTAATCTTTAATAGGTCTTTCAATCGATAAGAAGTCTGTTTAGTAGACTTTTCATCTAATAAATGGTAATTTGGTATTGGAGACTCCTCTGTGTACACTTACCTCATCGTGGTATGAGGAAGTCTATTTTGTTATTTATTTATTTATTTTAGATCCTGTGCAATTTTTTGAATTTGCTGTAAGGGAGAAATGTAGAAAGAGGTGTCTTCCAATTTGTTATACATATATATTCTGGTGTCATTAGCAACAATCTGGTATGTTGCTATTCAAGCTAATTTTTGCTCTGACGTAAAAATTTCTCAAGATTTATAATATATAAAATCTGTCTGGAAGAGAAAATGCAAAGAAAGACAAAACACTGGCAGAAAAAATTAGAAAGAAATAAAGAATAATATATAGCCAGAACTCAGAAATCAAGAATATAATACAGATTTCATATATTATTAATATTGGGTTAATTTTATCCTGAGAAATTTTTTGCTTGAATAGCAACATACCACAATGTTGCTACAAATCGAAATTAAGGAATTGAAGTCAAAACACTTTTGGTTTGGCCATTAGGCCCTGGCAATTAATTGCAAAGCCTCTAGGTCAAATCCTTAGTTTCCAGGCAGCATTTGGAAAGAGAGACTATTGGTTCTGGAACTTCTGTGTCTAAATCCACATGGTCCACCCAGTCTTGACCCAAACAGCATTCTTTTCTCCATGACCACCTCATTACTACCCTTGAGGAAGAAGGTGCATTTCGTCTGATAAAGGACCTTGGAAATTTTCTATGTATGAATATACTAACGCTGTCCCAGGACAAAATTTCCCAGGACTAGCTGATTTTCTTGAAATTATGGGATAGACCAATCAGTTTGACTGCCCCGAACAAACACTAGTTACCTTGGTATACGGCGAGATAAAGCTTGTGATGCAAACCAGGCCTGCATCTGCAAAGAGCTTTGCAACCTCAGCGATACGTCGGATGTTCTCTTCTCGGTCTTCATTGGAGAAACCCAGGTTCTTATTCAGACCATGCCGAATATTATCTCCATCCAGGGAGTAGCAGGGAATGGCATGTGTCACAAGGTACTCTTCCAAGGCAAAGCCCAGAGTGGTTTTACCAGCTCCTGACAAGCCTGTAACAAAACATAATATGATATTTTCCCAAATTCTGCAGCATTTAAAAAAACCTGATGATTTTCAAAGCAAAAACAAAACAAATGAATACACTAACAAAAAAACATACATTTTCCAAGGGAGATCTACTTTATAGAACTAGTGCTAAAGTGTACTTGCCAGCAGCAAATGCTTGTATTAAAAGATAATCTTCTAGTGAGCATTAAAATGTAATCATATTCCGTGGAGATTTTGTTAGCACAAAAATTAAAAGACATGACATTACAAAAAATAGTTGCTGAAAGTTCACTGAAGTTTCACTAAGGTGAGAGAACCCACATATTCTGAACAAAGTTCCAAAAGACACCACTAAATGGGAGCAGGTCACCACCAAGACATTGGTTTAAATCAATTTTTATTGAGGTTATACAAGACACAATCAATAAAATGCGTGGGAGAATGTTGATCATAGACATATCAGAACAATGGGAAATATGATGGAAATACCACTTTGTTTTATTTGTCTAGGACCACTAAAGGCACCTAGACCATCTTATCTCAATGAAGCTGTCTGGGTGTGGTGGTCCTTTAGTTTTATCCCTGCAATGTGAAGCATTGCTGTTTAGTACATATGGCAATGCTTACTTGCAAGGTTAAATACACATGTAGTGGCTATCTAACTGTAAGCCACTAGAGGCACTTACGCTGTAGAAACCGAATCAAGCTTGGTTTTCAGAGCTAACCTCCAGTAGGAGCACAGCATTGGCCGACACACACTTTACGTCCCCAATGCAGCTGCACAGACTCTATTTCAATGCCGGGGGAGTAAATACCCCTTCTCCAGATTTTATTTAGATTTAAGAGGAGCCATGAAACTAAATAAATCGGAGAACACAAGTGCGTATTCCAAATGCTATAGTGTTCGTTTAATGAATAAATCCTCTAGGAGTTTATTCACAAAGCAATGAATTGTGATGACTTGAAACAAATTTGATAAATGTAGAATAATATAAGACTGGAAATAAAGCACAGAAAGATATATTTTGCAGCGAAGCTACTTTAGCTTAAATATCACAAATTCAACTTTAATTCACTCGAAGCATAGTAACAAATCCCTAAAGCTGTCAATGCGTCTACCAACATTCTGTATATTTCATTTATCTGCGTTTATTTATTTGATTCATTACAAATGGATTATGACAAATGTGCAGATGTAAAATTTCCACATTCTCTATAAACTCTATATGTACATTAATCATTGCGATAATATTCACAGCATCCTATACTTAGTGTACCTGTTAGCCAAACTGTGCAGCCACGGAAGCCTGCTCTGGTGCCCACAACCTGTCCTCTCTTGCTCCTGCTCACGTGGTGGGACTGATACACCACATTTGTAGACCTTTGTACATGACCCTGTATTAAACAGAAGGCAAAGTTAGTCAGAAGTAGGCTATTTGTGTGGCTTTGGTATAGTTGTCAAATATTAAACGAAAGAAAGATTTTATATATATATATATATATACACACACACACACAATAAAAAAGATAAGTTCAACAAATAGCAGTTTCTCCTCCGGTTCACTCCGTAATACTCTAAAGGCAAATGACCTTTAATATAAGTGTGTAAATTAATGGAGAAACGTAATCTGTGTGATGTGAGGCAATTGTAACAGGTGCTTACATGGATGAACAGAGTTTATACAAAGACGTATATCAGCATGTTATCTAAGCCACATTGGCCTTGTAAACATTGTATTCAAAAGTCAAGGTGGCCAATCCTTGGGGAGGTCAAGGGCAGCATATGAGTTCATTGAACTGGTGTTACCACGATTCTAGAAAACACTGCTAACAAACCTAACAAAAGACAATTTGAAGGACAAACTGATAACTAAAGTGAACTATCACTCTAAATTTTTGTTACATAAGGTAAATACAAAATTCGCAGAATATAATATTTCTATAGTAATCCAAGTTCTAGGAAACTAGGCTGTAGTAAGCACTTACAGTGGAACGGCCTGTTCATAGGATTTGTAATATTTTCTTAACTTATCCCTTGTATTTAGCAAATATGTGTTTATGAGATGTGAAAAATAATATTACATGTAGAAATTCACTCTTTTTTTTATCTTGCAACTTCCTGCTTTTTTATCTTAGCTTCCTGGCTATGCTTGGATTTCAAATGTTAAATAGAAGTTTAATAGAAAATGAAGCATCATATGGAAATTAACAATTACAAATAAATAATAATAAAAACTTAAAGCAACAAGGCTGATGGGAGCTTGCATGGACCTATAATCGTTTTGATGGTAAAGAATGCCCAGTATCGTCAAAAGAACCCAGGATTAGCAAGATACAATAGAGTTATATATTAAAATGTATTTATATCTTTTATATGCATTGTGTGCAAAGCAATCATATATTAATCAGTAATAGATCGTTTGTAGCCAGCACAGGTAGGCCAACAAGGTAATGAACAATGAAGGTTTGTTTGAGCAGGGCCCTAAACATCCTCTATTCATGTGCGTTCAACTTGTCTGTTAGTCCCCCTATTGCACGGTGCTGCGGAATTTGTTGGTGCTTTATAAATAATAATAATAATAGGCTCCCGCTATAATAAAATATCTCAAATTCAGACTCTGATGACAATCAAATTTGTTAATTAATGGGTGACCAGTAATGGAACAATCTAGACATCACTGCTCCAAGGACAATCTATGCAAAACATTTTGGAAGGATAATGTTTAATACATTTGTTTCCAAAAAGTAATTCTTCATTTTGTGCCAGGTACTGCACATTTTTATAATAAAAGTGATGTAGCATTGATCGAAGAAGGTATGCGTGGCATTACAGAACTTAGAATAGTCAAAAAGTAAGTCCAACACACAAAGAGTATGAAGATAGGAACACCTAGGTGTCCAGCCTCATAATGGAGCAAATATAATTTTTTTTATATAACAGCTTAAATAACTTATGTTAGACTATAGTGTAGGGACCACACTACCCATCTGCTAATCCTATATTTGGGGTGTACAAAGTTATTGTTAGGTCTATTGTTGGGTCTGGGAGTTTAACACCTGGCTAGGGAGTTGCATGCGGTATCCGGCTTGTGTCACAATCACAGGCAGTGGGGTATAAGTATGTGATTGGGTGACCGGTTGAAGGGAAAGTGAGGATTGGCTACAGTGTTGTGTTGAGAGCTAACCGTACTGTGTGAAGTAAACTGAGAAAACATATATACATAACAGAGTATGGCTGAGGTAAGAAGGTATAACATGACTCAGTCAGAGATTCAAGTGGTGACCGCTGCAGAAGTAGCCGGTGGGGGTTTCCGCGGGACAAATGTCGTCACTTTGGTTGGGTCCCAATGGTGGACTGCAGGTTCGGCCACTCGAGGACTGACTGGTGTCAATTAGTCCATCAGGAGTCCTAGTGTGACCAATAAGGCAGTTACTTCCGCCATATTGTGGACATCGTATCGGGCGTCTCTGTGGAGGATCAACAGCATACGAGTCAGTTGCCAGTGGTACTGGATGTCTTTCTTCCAGAGGAGAGCAGTGAATGGTCTGAGGGACCTCTGCCACGCCAGGTTTCCTCCTGAGAGATCAGGATAAAAGGTGAGTTGCATTCCCTCAAAAGCTGAGGGCCGTGAGAACTGCTGCTTTATCCCTGCCATTGTGGAAGCGGACTATCAGGTCTCGCGGAGTTGCTGCAGGGGCCTTTGGCGATTTAGGGATGCGGAAGCAGTCTTCCAGAATCATTGACTTGGCCTGCCGCGGGGATAACAATGCCTCCATGAGTCGTCTCAACATATGTGGCCGTTCCATGGGAATGTCCTCTGGGATGCCCCTTATTTTTAGATTGTTCTTGTGCCGCATTTCCTCCATCGTAGCGAAACGATGGTCATATAGTTCATTCTGCTTTTGGAGCCCCAGGATTGTTTGCTGCATAGAGGCTAGCTTTTGCGTGTGCTCTCCTGTTGTTGATTTTTTAGTTCTGTTGGTGTGGTTTATCACATGTTTTGTCACATCTCCTGCAACTGTCATTAAAAAAAAAAAAAAAAAAATCCCCACACTAAATCTTCAGTGAACACTATTCTACCAATCTACTTCCCTATACGTTCCTTACTTTTTGTGTCACTTTTGTGTCACTCTCCCTCTAGCATGTGAGCTCAGTGAGTAGGGCCCTCAACCCCTCTTTTCCTGTGTGTCAAACTTGTCTGTTTACAATTACATGTTTGTTAGTCCACCCATTGTAAAGTGCTACGGAAATTGTTGGCGCTATATAAATATAATAATAATAATAATAATAAAGCACCTACCTGTATATAGTAAGTTCTAAAACACACATATCTTAATATGCTATCTGATCTTTTAAAATTCACATCTAAAGCATTGACTCAACCAGCTCTCATACTCTCAAAGTGTTAAGAGCACTAAGATGGAGTTCATTAATCTCTTTGAAGTTCATTGAACTGTTTGTGTCACTGAACACATTGTAAAAAGTTTATTTTATGTGTGAACTCATCAAAGGGTAAGATTCAACCCTCCATCCATGAAAAATGGTTCAGAAGACGCAAGGGCAAAGTAACCTTCACTGTTAAGACTCTGAGCAAGGGGTTTGTGCCAAGGGACATTCTATGCAGAAAAAAAAAAATTCTCTCTTTTCCACCTACCAACCAAATGTTGGTATCATTTCAGGATTAGATTGCTACCAGGCTGAAAACATCATGTACAATAAAGGGACAGTTTAAACTTTAAAAAAAATCACTGTCTAGTAATCTACAGTCAATCAAAAAGCCATCAGTGACTTCAGTGTAAAATAGATTTAATGATTGACTCTAATTTAGGTCTACAACAGCATGCAAAGTATGTGGACATTGGACATTCATGCATTGTTTCTCTGTAAAGACCAATGCTTTTGGTGGAACGCACCAATAGCTAAGCTTGCTCTGTATGTCCACAATGGTTCTCCATGAGAAGCATTTGATTGGACAAAAGTTATCATGCCTGGTGACTTCACCGAGACTGAATCAAACTGCTGGGATTTTTTGGGTTGTTGTTGTTTTTATTTTTTTTAAATAAAAATGGTTGCCTCTATTTACGTATATCATACTGTGTTTTAATTATCTTTGTATTTACCTGGTTATTAGTAAAGCAAAAATATGGAAACCTACATTTTAAATTAGCAAATTTTAGGTATGATATAGATTGTAATCTACACAAATAATGGTTTTGTTTCAGGTTGCTTGATGGTCAGCATTTAATTACATTCCCCATGGTGCTTTGCCAGCCTAGGATTCAAAGCACCATGGGAGCGGAAGTTACATGATAGCGGGAGAGCTACCTGTTGTTCCTTACTTAGGAGTTCTGTATTGTTGTGCTTATTTTCATGTTGTTGGATGGATGACATCTCAACATCCCCTAAACATTCAGAGTATCACAGTCAATAAACAAAATCTCAGGATCACAAATTGTCATTCATATTTATTTGATCATATTTTAGACTTTTGCAGAATCTATTAGTTTCAATTTATTTTTGGATACTGAAAAGCTCCTTATTAAACACTTACAAGCTACAGAATTCCTATATGTAATAATATTGGAGCTTCTACAAATACTGGCTACTACAAACAGCAAAATGCTAAATTGAAACATCACAAAGATCTGTTAAATAGTTAATATTTAAAAAACAAAAAAACTGATGGTGTACCAGGGGTTCCATATTATGGTTTGATTTAGTAACGATTACGAAAAATACACACTTTAGGGTTGCATTCATTGGCACAGTTTGAAGTTTGTATTTATTAACTGGCGTACTTATATCATCTGATGACCTAGCAACTAGTGGGTCAGCACTGCCAGATATTTCCCAGAAATGGTCAACAACTTCTACAAGTACCGCACACCAAGTCCAAAACATAAAATTTTTGTTTTGGTTTATATAAACATGATGATGCCTAGAATAATGTTTTATTTAAAAATATAAATGCATTAAAACAAATTATTTTAATTCTAAAACCATTACTGTTTCTTCATATTATGCTGTATTTTAAAAGTTTATGGTGATGACACAGTAAAAAAACAAAAAACAAAAATGTTGACTTCAGAGAACAGGGCATCACTTGGGTCATTTACATAAAATAACTTTAAAGAACATTAAAAGTTAATTTATCCTTTGATAAATAATTTGAGTTTTAATTCACAGTTCCATTAATACTTTCTTACTTTTTTTTATCAAGTTTTATTGAAACAAAAGTATTTATTTATTTATTTATTTATTTTTATTCTTTATTTTTGTGTGCATGAGAGTGACAGACATTCTTGCAGTGCCCCAACAGCAAAGGCAAGATAATGAGCTGAGCAATGCATAACAGTTATAAGGCATTTGATTATACTACACATTTTTTATGGTGATAAGTACAGGCTAGGCAGAACATGTCTAGAGGAGATTCTAGGCGAGATCTTCTAGTCTATGCATGCAAGTTCAAAGACATGTAGGTATATAAAGTTTGTAACATAGATTGTGAGACATGCTATAGGTACTGGGTTAAAGCAGTGAGACAGCAAGGTTATACCAGGCTAATGATGGGTTCTGGCGTGGGCTCTAGGTTGTCAGATGGTATGGGACCACTGGCCTCCGGGGTGTCTCAAAATTGGAGCAGTAAACAGTAAATAGTTAGCATCGCCCTCGTGTTATTGGCAGGAGAAGGAAAGTATAAGGGAAAGAGGGAGAGAGAAAAAAAAAAAAAACGAAGCAGTAATGATATGATTACAGAACATAATAGCAGGCAGTGTGGTATTGTGAGTGCCAGTCCAAGAGGAGACAACTCTGTGGTCCCCACCCTGGGAGCGATGCTTGTGCTGCGTCTGGTTCATCCGATCCCCGCTTGTGGCATATGTGGGGGTTGTGCTTGAGCATTCCGGTGATCGGTGTTGGCATAACGATGCAAGACTTCGTTTCCGCCCCAGGCTTGGATGAGTGCCTGCTTTGTTTTTATGCTGACTCTGGTGTTCGCTGGAGCCAGGCTCTTCCTTCTCTCTGGGTGAGTAGTGGGTTTAGGTTTTATGCGCCTGTGCCGGCGGGTGATCCTCCGCTTTGGCGCCTGAAGCGTGGGGGTTGTGCCCTGAGGGGTTCTCAGCCGGGCGGGCGAGCAGACGAGTGAGTGGGCGCAGGCTTGTGTGCTTTGCCCGGGGGAGGCCTGTTTCCTCTCGGCTGCTCTGTGCTCTTAGGAAAGATTTCCCTCTCAGCCATGACTGTCTGCTCCCGCTCCAGGATCCTCCGCCAGAATCTCTGAAAAATGTCATCCAGGCGCTGCAGTGTAGATTCCAGGCTGCGTTGATTCTCTATGGAGGGTTGTAAGTGCTTCGTGGTCGGCAAGCAGGTAGCCGCCATTTTGTGGCTTGGTGTATCAGACGTTCCTCCGGGAGCCAGTCTGTGGCAGGAGACTGGCGCCGTGCTTGTTGCCCCAGTGTGTTCGGTATGGACCGGGATATCCCCCACCGGTCCGGGGGGGGGGTTGGATCGCTGCCGAGCCAAATGGGGGTTTTCAAGGCGAGGAGATCGGCCGCCTCTCCCCAGCCCTCTCCCAGTAGGCCGCAGCAGCGTGGCTCAGGTCTCCCGAGGGTTACAGGCTAGATTCAGGTATCTGTGCGTATCACACGAGCTCGGCTTCCCGGTAGTGTCCCCCAGTGTCAGGGTACGTCCGATTAATCGGGGTTATCACCCCAAAGAGTGCTGAAAGCCCGGGAGCTCGAGCACCACACGTCTATCCTGCATGGATGCCAGGCTCCGCCCCCTCGAAACAAAAGTATTTTTTGATATTCCAGAATATCATATATACTGACCAGCCACAACATTAAAACCTCCTGCCTAATATCATTTAGAGTACTCCTTGTGCTGCTGAAACATCTCTGATGCATTGAGGCATGGACTCCACAAGACCGCTGAACGTGTCCTGTGGTATCTGGCACCAAGAAATTAGCAGCAGATCCTCCAAGCCCTGCAAGTTGCGAGGTGGGACCTCCATGGATAGTATTTGTTGCTCCAGCACATCCCATAGATGCTTAATTGGATTGAGATCTGGGGAATTTGGAGGCCAAGACAACACCATGAACTCTTTTGCATGTTCTTCAAACCATCATCAAACTAACAATCCGCATCACATGGATGTAAAAATGGGTTAAAGTTAGAATCTTTCAAGAACGGTTTACATTTTTGAAGGTGATGACCCTCGAATACTAAAATAAGTCACTTCTATTGCATTAGGATGCAAGGAAAGATTACAGAATATTCTACATATTAAGGAATGCAATAACTGAAGCAGCTACTTTAGTCTTAGAAGTTGAATTAGGAATTTTTTTTTATATTTAAAATCCAATGGATGAACCGGACAAGCCCGACAAATAAGTCCTATCTCCTGCTTCACCTAAGCATAGAGATACTTTTAGCATTTTACTGAATGAGTGTGCAATTTTCAGAACACCAGGACACTGAATAAAACATTAACAAATGCTGGGGTCTACATCTGTCATTCCTAATCTTTTTTGGACCAAGGCACACCTATTTTATTATTTTACCTTAATCAGCAACTTATAAATGGTCATCATATTTTTGGGAAGATATGCTACGTATTGTGACTCTAAAGAACTAAAATAATACTGCTATGATTTGAACAATCGACGTGAGATAAGAATTTAAAACAGAATTTTTTCATTTTTTTGGGGACGCAATCTTTTCACATGCCACCTAGGTCACTGACCTCTGCAACACATAAACACGTAATACGAGGCATAGTTTAAAAAAAATTTATGTAAAAGGTGAACGATGTGTTAAGGATCCATATAAAATGTTATCTGAACCCTTCTTTTCCCCTTGTAAATTGTACATCCAGCCCTTTGAGTTGCTCATCGAGATGTTTCTTAAAGGATTTAGGGCATTAACACAGAGTTCAATGATCTTATCATGATCGTAAACTCTGATCTGTGTGTGTGTACAGATCAGAAGTTACCACTTAGTTCCTTGACCTGGGGCAAAGTGCAAACTGATGGCATTATGAGTGCTGTAAATGGAAGAATACTATATTGTGCATCTAATAGCATGCTACTTTTGTTACATATATATATATATATATATATATATATATATATTAGAAGGTTGCAAACCTCCCATTCAGGGAAGGGAATTCATCTTTGTAGACAAGGGACTCATCCCACCTCCTCTAGACTTAAAGATTGTTTGAGCAGGGTCCTCAACTACCTATTGTTCCTGTTACATTTTGTTATGGTCTCATTTGGTAAATTCCCCCTTTATTGTAAAGCGCTGTGGAATAAGCTGGCATTATATAAATACCAATAATAAAAATAATAATAATCTGCCATTACTTCCTTCAGAACAGTCAGTTTTACATCCATAGATATTGACGAACTACATCTACCCCTTGATGCTGTGCCATTCTTGAGGCTGGAAAAGGAATTTTAAGTTTTTCTATAGATGGGGGTCTACCTTTACCCTTCTCCTCCCCCCCCCCACCTCCACTCCCCCCATCCTATTATAACCGAATGTGTATTTAAGTGAACATGCTGCATTTTTCTATTTTTTAAATATGGTGGCATGACAAAAAAGTACAGAGCAAAAGAAAATGGTTCATATTTAGACCATGTGCATTGACCTAATAAGAAAACTCATAAATTGTGATAGCATTGTTAATCCAAATGTTTTTACAAGTGAATCTTCACCTTTACATTCCGTTAAAAGGGTGGCAGTAAAACACAAGTGTGACCCAAAATGGTTAAGTTCAATGTCCTTCACCTGAAAAGGAAGAATTCCAACCTAGTGAGAATTAGCACTATCTTGATAAAGGTCATTGAACCAAAATATAAAAAAAATAAAAAAATAACACTTATTGATGCATTAGAATGTTCTTGTGAAGTTCTACTGCTGGAGCAAGGTGATGCACTGTATACTGAATTGTATTTGTACATGCACCTGAACACATCCCCTTTTCACAAGCCCAAATATGAGACTATAACAAACAAGGTTATTCACGCTCTTAATCCGTCTCTAACTCACTATCTGTACCCATCTAATTTGATACATTTTTCCCCAAAACAAACGTTTTTTTGGTTCAGCAAGATACAACAAAGTGCCAACACTGGCCTCAATTTAATATTTTTGGATAAACTTTTCATATTATTTAAATATTAGATAAACTTTGAAAATGATGTAATATTTTAATATGTTTTAATATTTATTTATATATGAACATATTTGTTATATATATGATATATTTTTTGAAAATATTAATATATTTAAAAATATAATTTGAGTTTATGCAACAACATTAAATAATTGAGAGCTTATCTAAAAATATTGAATCGAGGCATTATTATTAGACCATTATCAATTATAGGATTAAATGTGTAGAAAGAAAAGTCGGAAGAGCAGTTCATCAAGAAAATAAACAGAGAATGATACATTGTTTATTAGAAAGAGGATTTTGGTTGTACGCGCGTGACTTCTTTTTGGTTTGTATAAAATTAAACTCTTAAAAGAACACGCAAGCCTTAGTATAACAAACATGTATTTCTAATGCTATACTGTCCTATTTCCTAGTTCGATTCAGGTCACCCCTATTAACCTGTAAAAAAATTAAGATAAAAAAGGATTTACTTTTCTCTTTTTCTAGCACTCATCCTCCTGTTAAGTCATCATGGAGACATCACTTCCTCGATGAGGGGCACATGTGCAGCAAGCTCTGTATGCATCCAGTTAAATGCTTCTCACAGGGAAGCATTGAATCCACTGTTTCCCTATGAGCTGCATTTGTTGACATCAAACTTTACACGACTGATTGAACCGCGGGTATTGCAGAGGAAGCACCACTAGATGTGTGTTTAACCCTGCAATGTAAACAGTGTAGTTTGTAAAAAAAAAAAAAAAAAAGGGAAATCTTTTTCATTGCAGGGTTAAAGTTACAGGTTCACTGCACCCAGAGCACCTTGTTGAGATGTAGTGATCTACGTAAATGTTGACCAAAATTATGCCAAGCATGTCAAGATATAAACAGACCTGCCTAGTCCTTGCTCCCTATAAGATTAAATGAAAAAAAAATGGGGACAGACAACATAACTGCATTCCTTGGATGTCACCTGTCAAAGCTAATAGCATCTCTATATGAAGAAGAATTGAGAACGTTTGTAAAAAATGTCCCACTGATAACAGAACATCCATACAACACAGTTCAAGATTTGCAGAGGGATCATGTGTGTGAGTCTGTGCAGACAATGCATGAACTTTGACAGGTTTTGTGAGTAGTCAAACAGGTTCCTGACCACTCTACAGTTTCAATGGCACGGACAATAAATTAACCCCAATGGAAACAAAGTCTACGATGGTGAGAACACCTTGTCAAGTCACCAATCAAATTCCTTGTTTCCCCTTCCACAATACCTTTGTTAATCTACATTCCCTATTATAAAACCATGGCCTAGTTGGGTGATGCACCATGACTTTCTGGGCCAGTAGGAATGTAGGTGGTTTGGGATCATCTTGCCCACAGTCGCTCAAGTAATACGTTGGCCAAAATTTGATAACTTTTTCACATCAGTCACCCCTCCTTGTGATAGCTTATTGTTATTGTTGGTATTCATATAACCAACATATTGTGCAGCACTGTACAGTTAGATGAGGATATAATTGTAAATAAGAAAATCTATTACAAATGTTAGCACAAGCAAAGAATGAGGGACCTGCTTGTACATGTTTACAATCTAGAATCTGTGCACCATGCTTTTTTTTTACATTTGTATTATTATATAGATACAATCATATCTGGGAATGGAAAGGAGAACAAAAAATGTCACACAACCTTGACTCAAGGCATAAAAGGTGATTCAATGGCATAAACACATTTTGGAATTGTGTTAAAACCTGTGTAGCAATTAAAGGGACACTATATTCTCCAGAACAGCTACAGAGCTTACTGTAGTTCTTCTTGTGAGTATAGTCAGTCAGTGCAGGCTTTTTAACATAAACACTGTCTTTTCAGAGAAAAGGCAGTGTTTACATTACAGCCTAGGGACACCTGCACTGGCCACTTCTCAGATGGCTACAAGAGGTGCAGCACTGACGTTCAGGGTCTCCACTCTGCATGGAGATGCTGAACTTTCCCCATAGAGATGCATTGATTCAGTGCATCTCTATAAGGAGCTGTTGATTGGCCAAGACGATGTTTGGCTCTTCCTCCTCACCCTGCCTCCTTGGCAAAGATCATCAGAACAGACAATCTCAGCCAATGCAATGCTTTCTAATGGGAAAATCTGATGAGTTCAGCCAAGGAGGTGAACCGGGGGTGGGGCCATACGCAAGATGTCCTCTGTGGCGCAGGAAAAAGGTAAGTAAATCCCCTTTCTAACCTGGATGTATGGGGAATTCCAACACAGTCAAGAGATATACTGAGACAAAGCACCCGAACTGAAGAGGGCCACAAGAAGAAGATGGTGGCGCCTGCAAGGAAAAGGTTCAGGTAAGTAAATATCACCTTTACTGGACCCCTGTGTCGATGTCACCCTTGGTGTCTTTGGGAATTCCCCAGTGTCGCTTTAACTAAATTCTGAGTTGTAAACTTTAGGCTTATATAGCCATTTTGCAAAAGACCATTTTTCCTAACTGTTGAATTATAACTCGTGTATTAGTGCACAGGTAGGCAACCTTTTAGTAATACTGTGCCAAAACAGGATGTTGAAGTCCCTTAATGTGCCGGTCCTATTTTATTTTTTTAAACTGAGGTGTGTGTTCTGCTTGTGTTATCTCAGTTGCTTTGTAGGGTTGTATTTGTGTGTATGTGGGCTGTTATATAGTATGTGTTCATGAGTAGTTTGTGGTTTTGTGAATGATACCTATGAATATGGGCTGTTTATGGGGCCTGTTTGTGGAATTGTGTGTCTGGAGTAGTTTTCTGTGCATGTAGATTGTTAATGGTTTTATATTTGTGGTGACTGTGTGTGTTTGTGCTGTTTGTATTATTTGTATGAGGGGGAGGCTTATTTTGCAGTTTGGTGAACATCTATCAGTGTGGGTGGGTTTCCTGGAATCCAATGAGGATAGAGCTGGCCCGGTACAGGTCAAGGACACGAGTTGCAATAGCTGTGTTGGGCTGCTATACTCCAGTGCGGATTCCCGTTCACATGTGCTGGGAGGAAGTGATCTGACATCACTTCCTCTAAGTGCTGCAATGCGGAAATTGAGGATTTCCCCTCACCCCCTGCAATCACGGCTCATTTAGCGCTAGCAGATATCTGAAATCTCAGTGGGACTGCAGCCTTGAGTACCGTGCAAAGGTTTCTGACCACCGCATTAGTGGATAAACCCCTTGATTTTTTTTTACTGCTTTAAATTTTCATTTTGACGCAAGCTGTTTGAGTTTACATAAAGGATTGAAGGGACGGTATGTTAGGGGCGGAGTTTAAGATGTTAGATTGGCATAATCAATATACGCCCCCCAGAGCCGCTATTGGTTGTGGCCATCACGTGATTGGCAGTTTCTGCCTGATTTAAGGAGACCCAAGTAATAACTCTTTTGAATGCCCCAGACGAATGCGCTTTGGTAGCCCGTCGGCTTGCTGTTTTTCTTTTTAAATCAATCACTTCACGTTTGCTTGCACAATGGGTATGTAGTTAGCAGGAAGATATGGGGAAATTTTGAGAGCTCTAGATAAACTGTGTGTGGACGTATTTGGAGGGAATCCTGCTGTTGGATTGGAGAATCTATAGTGAGAAGTTTATATGAACTTTTTAAGTTCATTAAGTATTTGGCAGTATCAAGCCTTCTTCCTTTTGCAAATTTTTTTAGTCAGCGGTATTGAAGTCGAATCTTATCTTGTTAGTTTATAGGAGGCTGTTGCATATATTTTTTCCTTTTTAAAGGTGCCATTCATAGCCCACTGGACACTGGTCTCAGATAGCAGTCTGTTTGGATTTACTGTTACACTGGTTATATTTGTTAATCCTGGTTTCTAATTGAATACAGTTTACCCACAGTAGTGGTGCTGATCTATAGGGCCTTATTACTCCCTTTCATTACAACCATTACTGGTTCACTACAGTTTTCAACCCGATTAGGTTCTCCCACTCTCATCCCTATCATCCTTGGCCAATATCCCATCCAGTCTACAATAGAGTCTCCCCCACCTGCTACTATGCAGAACTTTCAATTGTGGCTCTTTTTAATGGGTTTATGAAGGGGAGGGCTGGAAGCCTTAGGCCTGGGGGGCAAATCCAGTCCAGTTGCCCACTGCACCAAGAGGAGAATAAAAACACCTTTCCCATGTGATTGAAGGGGGGGGGGGGCAGTCACCTAAACAAACACACTCACTGATGGGCAGACAAACACTTGCAAATTTGAAACACAATAAAAAACACACACTCACTGACAGGCACACGCAAACACACACACACATACAGACACACTGTTACAGGCATACTGACTCAGACAGACACACTGACACACACACACAGGCATATTGGCTGACACACACACACACAGACAGACATACTGACACACACACAGACATACTCATACACACACACACACACACACACACCAGCCAGTAGACAGGGGCTGAGTAAGTGGACAGGGCTGTAATGGGAGGTATGAGCTGTAATTGGGGGTAAGGAAATGTAGTAGGGGATGGTGGCTGAAGTAGGTTGATGGCTACAGTTTGGGAAAGGGGCTGTGGTGTGGGTGTTATCAGTTGCAATTGTGGATGTTATGGGGGCTGTGGTGGGGGGGCATGGGGCTGAGGAAGGGAAGCAGGAGCTGAAAGGGGGGGACAGGAGCTGAGAGGGGGACAGGGGCAAATAGAGAACACTATTGCTGTTCCTTTTTATTACATATGACCTTCCCTCAGACAAGACATCACCTCACATATCCTATAAGTGGGGATTATACCACTGTACGCACTTTATACTAGAGCTAGTCCATTAGCTCTATAAAACGTGAGTAGGATCATATAAGACTTTTACCAGATTAACACCTGATTGTTGAATATATTGCACCATTAGTTGTCACTTATTTTCACATACGGAGTGTAAGAACATCTTCAACTTACGGAGCAGTTATCCCATATTCTACATTTTCGTTGGCTTCTACATACAGTCCCCCAAATGACTTTCCTGAACTCTACTACTGGATTTCAAATCCCATAGACTATACTACAACATCTATCTATTTTACTCTCCATTACTTGCGCCATCTACCTACTACCCTCTACCCTATTGTAGATACAGTCTAGTAGTACATTAGTTGTATATTCCTCAAGGGATCCTTTTGTGTCCATTTTATATCCATTGGTCCTTTATGTATTTCTCTATACATAAAGGATTGTCCTAGTTATTCACTAAAGTGAGAATTCAAAGTGGATTTCAAATTTAAGGTCAAAACAGCCGGACTGGAAAAATGACCTAACTCTGCTTCCATTTCAGCTCACTTTACATTCTCACTGTAGTGAATAACCCTGCGTGAGTTAAGCACCATAAGCACCGCTCTATTACAACATATCCCAAATGGCAGGCAGAATACACCATTTGAAATGTACCGAGAAAAATAAAACAAAGATCATTAACTGCAGGATTTTGTGTTTCACATTTTTTTTAAATCACATCACAAATTTGAGGCCTTTGAGAAACATATTAAGGTTTTTGGTCATAACATACAATGCAAACAATATGCGCTCTCTCTCTCTCTCTCTCTCTCTAGTAAACTAAGGATCACTACCTCTACACACTGTAACCTTTTAAAGGTGGAAAGCAGTTATGCATATAAACTTTTATCAACAGTGCAAGCTCTGGCATGACTCGTCTAACTGTTTAGATCTGTGAGCTGTATTCTTTTTTCAAAGATAGCCATTACTCCCATTCAGCTTGACAATGCCCATCAGCACTTGTACTTAGGGTAGTTGGCACCTGGGGCGACGATTCCGACTATTGGTATCCCCCCACACTCAATATTTTAAATGGTCTTACAATAATGTTAGGTTCCTATGGTACTCAAAGTCTTAGTTTAAAATGTTTTAGTTTGTTTACAATTCATTACAATTTAGAGTTTAAAATGAATTAAGCTCACTGATGTGCTACAACATGTATAGTGATTTTTATTACCATTCCAGCTTTAGTTGAACACTGTATACTCCACCTCCACCCACCTAAATGTGGCTTTTTTGTGGGTTTGCCACATTCACCAGGTTTTTCCAAACTGATAGGACCTACTTGATCTCTAGGCTAGTACAAAACACAATCAAAGCAGTATTCCATGGAAACTGCCTTGATTATTTAATTTCCATCATGTAGCATATTAATGCTACATACAGCAGAAAAACTATTGTCACATGTTGGCCTTCCATTTAATTTCCCGGTTCAGAAAAACCTGGTGGATTTAGAAATCCTGATTACCTACCATAACTTGTGGAACGGAACACACAGATCAAACATTTGCGGTTACAAGTCAATAAAAGTTCTATTAATCTCCATCTGTATTATGGAATGCAAAGAAGGCTGACAACGCATTATATACCAGGATGTCAAGATCCCAACAGCAAAGCAGATTCCCAGGATCTCATTACAGGAACACAAGCTGCCTTTTCATTAGCACAGGTGGCCTGGTAAAATGATTTAGTCAATGATTGAGCTGCCTGGGCTCAGGTAACTATGTCTCTCTCACAGCGGATTAGCACAGAGAAATTGGTTTTATTACTTCATTTTACTCTTTCCTTACCATTCTAATTAAAAACAAGTTCTGAAGGATCTAGATAATTATAATCAAGGGGACCACCAGCACTTTTATTTTTTTAAACGGTCAGTAAGGGGTCCTGACCGATTATTTTCAGGGGATCATCTGGGGGCTTGATTATGTGAGGTGTATCCCCCATATTTTTCCAAGACACAGTTAAGTTCATGTTGAACAGTGCGTGATTCCTCCATGACTAATGATGTGAATTATTACCCTGGGCCTGACCGTGAGTATGCCTACAAAGCCCGCCCATAAGTCCATCTACATGGCCCACACCTGAGTTCGCTTACAGGGAGTGGAGTGTATGTGTGTAGGGGATATGTTATCGTAGAGGATGCAATGTGTGTGTGTTCTTATGGAATGTAATGTATAGGAATACCAGTTTGTGTACGGAATGTAGTGTGTGTGTGTATAGGGGATGCAGTGTGTTTGTGTGTAAGGGATAGAAAGCAGTGTGTGTTTGTGTATAAGGAATGCATTGTGTGTTTCTGTGTGTAAGGGATGATTTTTGTATATACTGAATGCATTGTGTGTGCAAGGGCTGCATTGGGGGTGGGTGTTTGTGTGTGTGTGTAGGATTGTGTGTAAGGCTGAGAGTGTAAGGGAAGCATGGTGTGTTTCTGTGTGTGTGTAGGATTCACTGTATGTTTCGGTGTGTGAGTAGGGATGCATTGTATGTTTATGTGTGTGTGTTTGTGTATGTGTGTAGTGTGAAAGAGAGGGTTTGCGGTGTGTCTTTCCCCTCCCACCCCCAGGTTCCTTTGTGTGTCTCCCTCCTGACAGCCTCTGTGTGTCCCTTGCTTCCCTGTTCCTTAGTGATCTCCAATGCTCCTTAGTGCTCTCCCCTGCCCCCTTTCCCTTAGAGAGAATCCCTTCCCCTGGTGGTCTCTCCCCTGGTGGTCTCCCCCCTCCCTTGTATGTCTCCTACCTTCCAGTGTAGTTGGCCAGTGGGCGAAGACCGTGGTACAGGAGCTTCTGTTTCCTTTACCAGGCTGGACTGACAGAAAGTGCTCACTGAGAAAGTACTTCCTGTAAGTACGGCCGGGTACAGGAAGCTCCTGTACCGCGGTCCGCGCTACTCAGAGTAGCTGTGCGCTTCCCTCCTGCTGGGTCACTCATATCCTGCACCCCCAGAGCCGTTGCGCCCTAAAATATGCTCCGGCCCTGGTGTCACTCCCTCCTGAGGCACACCCTGGTGCGGTCCGTCCAATTGTGACGCCACTGGAATTATCGAGTTATTTAGTATTCTAAAGCCATGATCAGTAAAACAAACCAGGAAGCAGAGTATCTACTGAAAGCACTGCATGTCACTAACACAAATCGATAAGATCTTACAAAATGAAACCGAACTCTGTAAGACCCTTAGTTACTGGATAACAAACAAGTGTTCTTAAAGAAAAAAATAAATCTGTTTAATTTGATCAATAAGTAAGATAGCTAGGGAGAAATAACACTCCATAGAATTCAATATTCACTTTTTTTTCCACGGCTAGGTACACCACTGGAAATTCTGTTCTGTACGTCAATTCTGTGCATAAAATGCGACTGTTTTTAACACGCACTGCACGCTGCCATCGGATGTATGTAACTTCACTTTTGCAGTCAGAGCCTGTTTTAAAAATCAATAACGGTCACATGGGAATCCTGTAATACAGATGATTTTCTTAATTAAAAATGCCAAACTTTAACTGGATAAACACGGAACAAATTTAGTAAAAGGCAAAGACAAAAAAAATCACATGTTTTGTGCAGGCAAACTTACAGAAACACAGATAATGGAGTGAACTCTTAATGTCATAGAATTGGCTATAAAATCTTACAAATCCCACTGTTTTGTAATGATAGCTTCTACTACATTTGGCAGCACTCTGCCTGAAACTTCGGTTGGAGTGAATTTGTAGGTAGAAAGCTGAAATTTTGGACCAACCAGTCACATATTTCAAGCCATTCAATAGCATTTGTAGTGAAAAGCCAAAGTACCCTCACATTCATTTGAAACAGGCATCACAAACTGTTTCACGCCAGTTCCGGGATGTTGATGAACTACAATTCCCATAATCATACCCCACAACTCCAATATCCAGAGAATCGGGATACCTGTAAGAGGGGGTAAATGGGGTGGGCCAGTGATGCATTTGTGTCATTGGCTTTATCCAAAGGGGATGGGTCTATTCACAAAGGGGGCTGGTCCACCCATTTAGCTGGCAGGTCATCCTGGTGTGATTGCACATCAGGTGGCCTGTAAATCCCACAAGCCAGCCAACTAACGGCAGCCTTTGCAGGGGGCATTGTTTTAAGTGTTGCAGAGTCCTTGTGCCCTGAGCATAGAGCAAGCCTGCTTAATGCGCTATTCTTGCTGGTACCCCCAAAGCCATGGAACAGGGTGTGGAAATCGTGACTTTCCTGCCAAAATTGTGACTTTGGGGAGGTCTGCTCGATTCACTAGCCATCTATTGCACTCAAAGAATTCTGACAATTGTAAGCCATTAAAATCTGAGGTTTGGAATTCTTGATTTGGAAGTCATCTTGCTCTATTTGGTAAACGAAGGCCACTGTGATTGTAGTCTGGATTTTAGCCTACGAGTGACATAAATGAGCTCTCAGATAGTTTCAGCTATTCCTCAAGATCCATTCAGACTTTTTTAAATAAACCACCCCAGAGCTCCTACAACATGCAATTAATTTAACCGGAGCAATCACTACCATGAATTTAGAATTTGCCAAGACATATATTATACATAGAAACAATCCATTTTCATCTCACTTTATATTTATAGCAATGTGATCGCTCAGCGGATGAATGTACCAGCTGATATATCCTAAAAATAGCAGTTTTGATTTCCTATAGATCCACCCCAACCTTTCATCATTTGGAGCTTGAAGCGGACTTCACTGATAACTAATAAATAGAAGTTCCTGGGGCAGAATTACCTAGACCAGTTATTCATTACGATGCATGCAGATAAAATGCATGAATCAAAGTTGAACTACAGTCAGCCGAGCACAATCAAGGGCTCATTGAGAACATCCTTCATTCCCTGCGAGATCTGGTAACAATTAGAATTCATTTGACCATTTTAGAATGCGCTCTAACTAACTCATGTCATATTGATTTCACAGTTCCATGTCAATGCTTGCAAGGAGAACATGGGGGGAAACATTCACTAAACAGGGAATTTTTATACCCTAACAGAGTACTTGAAAATGTATGTAAAAAAAACAAATACTTGGTTTACCAATATTTTCAAAGTATTTCTGCCCATGTTTGTCAATTATGTCATAGATAACCATTTTGTGAATAAATCCCAGGGGTTTCCAAAATAATCTGCACTTTCTCAATTTAACAATTAAACTACATGTATTTGCATTCTTGGCAAGTACAATCATTTAAACGAAATTCGATGTAATCCTTTAACACTCACCTTTACACATGAACAATTTACCTTCTATGTAAGGTCATGGTGAATCAAATTATCACACGTCTGGTACTGACATTTTAACAAAGAAGAATATCTTCTGGGGCTAAAATGTCCAGATCTACCATCATATTATACATATTGATATTCATCAGCACTAGGAAAGTCCTGCGGTATGTAGAATTCAAAGTTGTTAATCAAAGATGAAAAGTACTTTCCAGGTGCTGACCCTTACGTTTATGTAACATCTGTTCTCTGGAAAACATAGCGGATCTGGTAACCCAAATTGAGTCACTCCATATGGATAAAATTGTATTGTACAACATGAATAATGCTTCGCTAGCAATCTATTCTGGTACAAACACACTCTTTATCTTCTGCAAACAATTCTGGAAAATCCCCATACCTTAAGATTTTTCCATTAATTTTGGGGTTGCCAAGCTGTTAGGGAGCCTAAGCTGGTTTAGTGGAGATAGACGACTTATGAGCACTTTCGTATGGCCAAATCCTGCTGAACTGTACAATAATTTTGTCCAACATTAGCTTTACGGGACTCCGGTGGGCAGGGTGACAGTAGTCAGGCCATAACTGCGAACTGCATCACTGGCAGTAACCCAAAGGAGATGGATCTACCCAAAGAATAGGCATGTCAGCCTGGTGTTAATGCATACTATGTTTACTGCCAGTCATGCTGGCTAGACACATAAAGGGCGCACCATGCCCAAAACACAGAGACAGAAGTAATTCCACGGGCCTTTAACACAACGTGAGCATGTTTAATGATGTGCTCAGACTACACTTTCTGGGGACAGGTCACGGAAAAGCGAGACAACGCATTGAAAAATGGACTGTCCTGATACAAAAATTTGTACAATTGGAAGGCCTGATTTTATAAAAATAATTAAGGAAATACACATCTTTATCGCTTCCCAAACACACGGTGTGGGGGCATTAGGTTGTCATAATCCTGAACCCAAATACCTCATCACTGTCTAAACACATACTGCATGCTACATCATTACAGTGCTGGACACTGTGTTTTTCTTAATTATGAGTGTTATTACAAACCACACTCTAACAGCATCCCGATAATTGTTCAATGGGTTACCTTAACAACTTTCTCCTTTTTTACGTCAACATTTGCAATGGGAATACTATGGACTTCCATGGCTGTTCCTTGGCTCGTACACTGTGCAAAACTTCCCCGATCCTCTCCCAATTCACTAAATCATCGTTAGTGAACTGAAATCAGGATTGCACAAGTCAGGCTAAAATTGTGACTAGAGGGGAGTTTAAAAAGGTTTCCATAGTTTTTGCCTAAATTGTTCCATTTATTTAGTAATTTACTCCAAGTCAGTGTTTTGTATAAACTCAGGGCATTGCCAAGCTGTATTCAACTTTCAATCCAAGGCGCAGAGACGCAGTGATGATGTGGCAACATGAAGCAGCGATGGGATCCCTATTTCCCTGTAACACAAGTAGTGTTTGTCTACTAGGAGGAGACCAATGTGAACTTATATTCCATCAGCTTTACCTTGGCACCAGGAAAAGTTTACCCGTACTTTTGGCTGATGTAAATTGAACTCAATTTACATCTGGTATGAGCAATTGAAGAAATGTTTCAGGGAGACTAAATGACTCAGACTGTTTGGTCATTTAAAAAAAAAAAAAGGAGTTCTTTCACCTCATGTACAATAGCCAGCTTCAGTGAGTTGCAGGAGTTGTAGAGAACGAAGCTAGCAAATGCGCTTCTTACCCTGGGGACTTTGCAGTTTGGTTTCCACTGGCAGAGCAAAATGCAAAGCCTCGGATACAGTTAAGGTCAGTAATGAATGCAGCCACGTTAGGGGAAATGTATCCCCGGTGTTCTGAAAAGTGATGGTTAAGTTCCGATATTATTTTAAATGTACTAAAGTGCTCTAAAAATGATCTAAAATTTAACGGTTTTCTCTATAGCAAATGTCTCCAGTTTTCATAAAAGTTTCTATTTCAATAGACTGCCATATTTAGAGTGCTAAAAAAGAAACAATCCATTGCGGCATTGAAAAAATAGTGTATATTCAGAAATTATGGGGCAAAAGGAACAACACATAAACCAGCAGATTTAATCAAATGCGCTGGAAATTAGATATAAAGTAACGGCAAAACTTTAAGAAATTTCCCTTGTTTCTTTTCCTTTTTATACATTGAATTCTACGTTAGTAAATAAGCCTTTGCACACTGTAAGTTAATTCAAAGTGAATTTTAAATTTAAGATGAAAATAGCTGAACTGCAAAAATTCTCTCTGCCGGCTTAAAGGACCACTATAGTGGTCTTTAGGTCCCCCCCCCCACCCTCATGGGCCCCCTCCCGCCAGGCTCAAGGGGGCTGAAAGGGTTAAACACTTACCTTTCTCAAGCCCGGCGCTGGGGAACTCTCCTCCCTCTTTTGACATCCGTGCTGAATGCGCATGCGCGGCAAGAGCCACGCGCGCATTCAATCAGTCCACAGGAAAGCATTTCTCAATGCTTTCCTATGGACGTCAGCGTCTTCTCACTGTGATTTTCAAAGGGAGAAGCGCGGAAGCGGCTCTAGTGGCGATCAATGAGACAGCCACAACAGGCTGGATTAACCCTATTGTAAACATAGCAGGTTCTCTGAAACTGCTATGTTTACAGCTGCAGGGTTAACCCTACATGGACCTGGCACCCAGCCCACTTCATTGAGCTGAAGTGGTCTGGGTGCCTATAGTGGTCCTTTAACTTTTAGTTTGGCTACTGTACCCTTAAATTTGAAATTCACTTTGAATTCTCACTCTGCTAAATAAATTAGTCTCACCCATTCTTCAAGTTTCTACAGGCACAATATTTGATTATTCAATCTAGAAGAGCAAACATTTACGTTTTCAATTCTAAATTATTTAGATTTGTGACTTTAATAGGTACTTCCCTTTAAATATGTTTTAAATTAACCATGTGTGGGCACAGGTGAATGAGACAAAGATAACTTTAGGTCTGACAATATAGGCTTAAATCTTTCCCCTTTGGTCTAAAATTCCATGCTCTCTGATATTATAAGTCTTATCTAAGTGTCTGGTCACTACACTGAATCCTCTGTATTTGGTTGTTAGAGGGTTAATGTTTTAAATAACGTCACAGATTTTTTGCATGAACCAAAGGTTTACACATCCGACAGACAGACAGACAGAGGGAGACAGACAAGCAGAATGTCAGAGCATCTTTGGGAAATTTCCCTGGGGGGTGCAGGAATGACAGACAATCTCACAGATTGCTTGCCCAGAGATTCATGTGTAGTTGCATTTGGTTTACCTGGTCCTTGACTGGCCCCTGCACTCCAAATTAAAGTATTGAACCAGGATTGGTTGGCACCATCCCACATTTAACTTACGTGCCTTGTTTTTGATTGAAGTGTCTTTGCCAACAATATACTAAGTTCTGCATATGAGTTTAACCAATAGGCTGGTCTCATCATTTCAATGGTTAACTAAGAGTAGACCAGAAACGGAAGAACAGGACAACAACCTCCAGAAAAATGACATCTTCCGTGACTGTCGTATTGGCCATGAGGTCTCTGGTGACTACAGTTTGAGTGCCTAAAGATACAGCAATGCATTGTACGTCCTGCTAGTACTCACACATAAGTGGTTAAATTTAACCAGAAACATAGGTTTGGAACCTCCCCCAGTAATTTAAAAGATGGCCATAAATGCTCTCTGTAAATAAATGGATGACACGGCTTACTTCACTAAGGTTTTGTAATAATCTAGCAGGGGACTAGCAACACACAGAGCCATTCAGTGCTCCTTGATTTGGCAGCACTCCAAGGCTGGACTCTAGTGCTGGCTGCATCGAGTAAAAACTCAAAGGTTCTTTTTATAAGTGTAATGTGAAGGCCTCACTGTAAGCCTGCTCCCGATAGACAGGCTAGAATAGAGTGTGTGGGACATTCCACTTTCAGTATTGAATATATACAATGGATCAGTGTCCATGGAAACAAATCTTACTGTGTGCAAGCCTTTCATATGCTTAATCACAATGTATCAAATATCCTATATTAGGAATGATTAACCTGAACCCCAGCTGCAACAGTGGATGCTAATCTACAATTCACATCATCCTCAGGCTGCTAAATCTCCATGGCAGGAGGACAGGAAATATCTAGCAGAACAAAATAAAATGTCCATCTCTACTCCAGCGATTAGAACTTGTTATCCAGCATTACACAGCAAAGGTTTAAACCAAATATCATGGTACTCACTGCTCACGGTTTCAACAGTGCAAATTGAAGGACCCCTTCAAATGAACCAAAGTTTTCATATAATAATAGAGACTCTGCGATCTTAATAAAGGCGCAAATGTTCTTAGAAACATAGAATGTGATGGCAGATAAGAACCATTCAGCCCATCTAGTCTTTACTGAAATTTCAAATAAAAACAAACATGTAAAAATCTTATCCAAACCGGGTACAAGGGACAAAATCATGTTTAAGTGGCTAAACATGTTTTGTGTCTAAGTGATGCTTTCTCAACAGCTGTCGATTTTCTATTACTTTTGAAAGTTTGAATTTTAGTAAAGAAGAAAAATGTTATTTTTATTCCAATCTCAAAGTCTCCAGCTTTCAGTAATAGGATAGTTTTGTGAATTCAAGTGAATTCAAGTGACACTTGAAGCGCCTAAGGTACAAAAAGGCTTGTGAAAATAAAGCATATACAAAATGTCAAACCAACAAGAAGGCAGGTGGACTAGATAGCTCCGTACATCCCTACATTCATGGGTTCAGCAGGTCAGACTTGAAGTCCTGCTTCTTCCCTGCTGTCCCAGGATTGCTCTCTGGTGTCCCACATATGGGGAGAAAGACACAACAGAGGATCCAAGGGTCGGGTAGAAAGACACAACAGAGAGGCCGAGGGTGGGGAGGGGGAGAGGAGACACACAAAAGGGGATGGACATATTTTTTTTAGGGAAGGCGGCAAAATGCATCTTTGAATGTGTAGACACAAGTCCTTGCACCAGCCCTGTTTGCCAGCATGCTATAAGTGCTGACAGACACAATCTATCACAATCCTATTGACATTAAGATCTCTGGCACTGGCGGATCCAGGGGGGGCAACAGGGCAATTGCCACCTCCGAGGCTCTCCCCTGTGGGTTAATGCAGGGCTGGCACTGTCCATACGCTAGCCCTGCAATGTGCCTTCACGGACCAGAGCCCTCCCCGGTCCGCAGGCACCGTGCTGGCAGCTGGCTGCTGGCAGCTGGCAGCTGGCAGGGGAGGGAGGGAGAGAGGACCCGGGAACTCAGCCTGCAACTCTTCCGGGTTCTTCTCTCGCGAGCACAAAGCGTTGCCGCGATTACCATGGCAACGCTCTGGATCTTGCGAGAGTGAACTCTAGCCATGGAGCTGCGGGCTAGAGTTCACTCTCACCACTGGGACCACCAGGGATTTCCCACGGACCACCAGTGATGGAGAAATGTCCCCCGTCCTCCCTCAGTAAAGGTAACAAGGGAGGGGGGACATACATTTATTTACATTAAAAAACAAATTATATAAAAAGCCTCCCTACCCTCCTCACCACACATTTACACTCTGCCCCCATACATACATTGCCCCCCCCACATACACACACCATACACATTGCCCCACACACACATACACAGCCCACCATACAAACATTGCCACACACACACACACATTTCCCCCCCACACACATACTGCCACCATTACACACATTGCCCCACACACCCTACACATTCACACACACTGAACCTTTCACACACACACACACACTGCACCCCTCACACATTGCACCGCTCATACACACCACTGCTCTTATGCCCTACTACAGCCCCATTTCCGAGCAGACCCCAGGTAAGTTGTCAAACTGTTCTTAAACGGTTTGACTACTTACTCTGGGAGGGGGTCCTGGCACTCCTGTCACCATAACCTTTACACAGAGCTGTAGTGGTTATTGTGCATGGATTATTTCTTTAAATAATCTACAAGTGCCGAGATCAGGCTCTGGATCCGCCACTGATCTCTGGTCCTCATTCCAGTCTGGCGAATGATGCTGCCTGCTATGGTAGGAGCGGTTTACAACTGTTGCCAGCACGTAGTGTAATTTTTGCACAGAATTAACTTGGGCAGAGCCAGGCACAAAAGTGCACATGTATGTGCAGTGTTTAATGCAAAAATGCTACACGTATAAATCCCTTGCCCCATGACCACTTCTAAAATCTTTACTAAACACATGACAGACACCTCCTGTTATTTTACTAGTATGGATTTAATTTCCTTTGTTTGAGTCTCATCTTACAGATCACGTGATTAAACAGCAAACTAGAGTCATCTCAAAAGCGTAGATATGGGAAACTGAAACGGATCATCATTAAACTGTACAAAAAAACACACTACTTCTTAGTGAGCCTAACCCTCTTTTAGTGATGGTATGGTATGCAAGTTAATTTTTAGCATTTAGCCTGTGCGATTCACTGTACAGTGAATTGTTGATAAGTTAAAGTTGATTTTCATTGTTTATAAAATAAACAATAATGAGGTGTTTTTATTGTACGTCTTGTTATCTAGATATAAGTTACAATAATAATGTTATATGATATGCACAGGTGGCACTGAGTCCATTTAACACAATTGTGCGCTGTTAATCCACTCCAGCCTGTTTTTACACACAAATTTGAAATTAAATCTTCCATTCCTTAGTTACTTACTTAAGACAATTATCGTATTTTATCTCATAATGGTCGCAGATTTTATGCCTAATTCCTTTCCTTAAAAATGAGGGTTCGACCATTATGCGAAGCTTTATTTTTTGCGATGTTATATATGCAAAGCTTTGTTTTTTTAACAGTTTTGTAACAGTTGCTGGTAACATTATAGTTGATAATAACATAACACAGCATATTTTCTAATGCATTATATAAACTCTGGTCCTGATCCCTGACATCCTGTCATTTATTAATGCATTACATAGATGAAATGCAATAAATACAATAAACTAATAGGTAATAAACCCTCTCTTCAGTATACGATCAGTAGGATATTAGCAATTCGTTTTCAGTAATAACAAAAACAGCAATTATGCGACTATTACGTGATGAATTGAGTTTGAACCAATTTTTGGACTGAAACACCAGGGTGCGTTGCAGACTATTATGCAGTGAAATACGGTATATTGGATGGTTTTGTGGCAACAGAACTTATTTAATTATATTCAGAAGAAAATTCTAAAAGGAAAATGAAATTAATGTTTAACCCCTTAAGGACCAAACTTCTGGAATAAAAGGCAATCATGACATGTCACACATGTCATGTGTCCTTAAGGGGTTAAGGGATGAATAAAGTCACTCAGACCACATAATGAATGAAGTTGTCTTGGTGCAGTGGCCCTGTAGTTCTAACCCTGCAATATAAAACACAACTGCTTGGCAGAAACCGCGTGGTTTACATTGTTAGGCTAAGCAGACTTCTAGGGGCTGTTTAGAAGCACTTTCTCAGTCATTTGACACTTAACAGCATCAAAAGCAGCTGCAATGCTTCCCTATGAGAAAAATTGGATTACACGCGTGCAACACACACCTTGTCCCCAATGCTCCTCTATGAGAAGCATACTATTATACGATCATTGTGAAAGCGATATTTGCAAGATGATTTTGCTGGAGGCGGGCTGCAGAACTATGTGTGTCTTGGTGCTGCAAAAAAAGGTGGGGCTGATTCTAAAATCCAAACATGCACTAGGACACTGTAGTTTTAAGGATATATGTTTGTAATCAGAACTCTGCAGTGTTCTTTTAACGGTGAATTAATTTACTTCCCCAAACTTAGAAATTAATATTGCCTGCTTACATGACATTCTATTTGTCTGTGCACTGGGACCATTAAGAAGTCTCAAATTGTACCAAAGTAACTCCTTGAATAAAGATTGAATTCTCCTTCACACAGGCTGGTATTTAAGCAGGTCAGGGTTAAACATTTCAGTTAAAGGGATACTATAGTTACTAAAACAACTTTAGCTTAAGGAATCAGTTTTAATGAATAGTCCCTGTGGTCTCACTGCTCAATTCTCTGTCATTTAAGAGTTAAATCACTCTGTTTATGCAGCCCAAGGCACATCTCCCATGTGACTTCCGCTGTCTTCTTAAACACTTCCTGCAAATAGTCATCTAATGATTGCACTTCCTTTATTGCAAATTCTGTTTTATTGAGAATTTCTTATTTCCTGATATGTTCATAGCCTTACAGACCCAGCAGGAGCCTTGTGAGGGAAAACAGTTCAGTATACAGAGCAGGAAATAGTAAGTAAGTTACATCTGATTGGACATGAAACTATTTTGTTTTAATGCAGGATGTGTCAATCATAGCCAAGGGAGGTGTGGCTAGGGCTGTATAAACAGAAACAAAAGTGATTTAACTTCTATATGTTTTCCTACGGGGACATCCACCTTATGTGTCCAAGTTTTAAACAATCAGTGCTGCAGAAGCATCTCCAATGGCTGTCATTGTAACAGTCATTGGAGGTGTGTTTAACCCTTTAAAGTAAACATTTTGTTTCTGCAAAACCGTAATATTTACCTTAAATGGTTAAATTGACAGGATTTCTGAAACCAAGCTACTTAATTGAGATGAAATTAGTGTTCTTATAATTAAATGGACACTGTAGGCAAAGTAACCAACCACTTTGTCTCACTAAAGTGATTATGGTGAATGATGTCCCCCTGGTACCACCCACCCATTCAATGTTAAATAGTTTTTCAATGAGATTGATGCGCACCCTCAGTCTCGATGATTTCGGCAAGGGAGGCGAGGCAGCCATGGCAAGTCCAGCATGGCGATGCAGCAAAGCTAAGTATAAACTACCATCTAAACTCTCACAGGAAGGGGGAAGGCAGACATCTAAATACTTAGGGTAACACTACAGCATTAGGTATACATGTTTATATTCCTAACGTTATAGTGTTCATTTGAATTAAATCCCTTGTATACATATTAATTACACCCCCCCTGCATACAATTCTACATACATTTGACTCGTTGTCCATCGGTATTATAAAGCGATGTGACTAACTTTAAGGTTTCCAGGTAAAAAAAAACTCTTGTCTAGGTAGTCGGATGGGATGGGTCTGTCATATGTAGCTGCTTACACCCTATATGCCTGCCCACAAATAGAGAACCTACAATCAATTTAGGTGCAGGAATGCATTTTATTCTCTAAACACTAATTCGTGTACAGACTGCCTCGTTTCTACCACCGTAAGAATTCATATATGAACATCACAGGATATATGACTTCCCATTTTGCATTAAATAATACTATGCAAGCATCAGTTAAAACAGTATTCATTTATAGCTTCAATTTCTATTAATACATTTGGAAAGGGCAATTAGCATACACAATGAGCCATGCCCTTTTAGAATAGTAAATATATTTCTCTATTTTTGGCCTGGTTACAATAGCAACAAAGTTAATCCAGATAAGAGTGCGAGAACAATACGACACTGACTAGGCTATTAGGAGAATTCTACAGCCTTTTGCCAGCAATGGGTGATTACCCGCTTTAATAAAAACAATAGCTGAAAGATGTTTTTTTTTCCCTAATCCCAAAATTGTAGATCAAGATGACCTTCTGGCACCATTGGCATCATGCCTTTGCAATCACAATTATTTTTATTTTATTCTATAATTCATATATATATTTAACAAAATTGGGTTTTTTAATATTTTTTTTTAGTTCTGGTTACATGTTTTTGCATTTTGTTTCAATTTGTTTTTCTTTGGTAGGACTGTGTGCCTAAAAGATCCACTCAAGTCAACCAGACCACTTCATCTCAATGAAGTGGTCTGAGTGCAGTGGCCCGGCCATTTTAACATGATAGAAAACAGCAATATTCACATTGCAGGGTTAAATACAGATCTAGTGGCTATCTTCCTGACAGCCACTAGAGGAGCTTCCATGTCAAACTTGGTCCTGGAATCAAATGCTGCTGATAGAAATATTTGTTTGAAGGAGTGTGGCGTTTGCCTGTGAACTCCAATTGGAGTAAATCGCGGATGATGTCAGCTTGGATGCTGACATAACTGAAGGCGGAGCTGAAAGATTTGATGCTGGAAAAGAAGTGAGTAAGCTTTATCAAACCTAAATTTCATAGAGGAAAGTGGGTTGGAGAATGCTGACAAAGCTACAAGGGACCCCAGAGTCCCAAACAACAATTTATATTTTCTGGACTATAGGTTCCCTTTATCCATTTATTCATTTCTATCTTGTGAACACAGTATTCATATACATGTACTGTATATGTGTGTTTAACTTATTCCATAAAAAGAATAAAAAGTGAAAATGCTGAAGGACAACAATAACATTGCTGACCACAACCTTTGCACTTTAACCCCTTAAGGACCAAACTTCTGGAATAAAAGGGAATCATGACATGTCACACATGTTATGTGTCCTTAAGGGGTTAAGGGACACTTACATCATGAGTGAGACACAGGAAAATGATGTTTTAGTGTGCGGGTTAATGGAGTCCCAAGCTCCCCATCTCATGTTTTAACATTTGGTTTTAGTTCAATCCAAATATGCTGACCGATTATTTCAAAAATTGCTGTCTTGAACTTTAAACAATGAAGACTAAATATACTAAATAATATTACATTCAGGCAACATGCGTTGGCCTACTGTGTGTATAAAGTAGGCAGTGCACCCAGGAATTCTATTTCATTCACCTAAGGTAGTGCCACCCATCATATCTCCTACCAAAAGCTGAATTATCTATCAGGCTTAGACAAATGTCCAAGACTCCAGACTCAGACAGGGGTAAAGCGGGCAACTGCCAGTGCCTGAAATGCTGGCTCTGAATGGTAAGGGGAGACCTGCCTGCAAATACCAACAAAAAGATCAGGAAGATTACCCTATGTGACCTTGTGTACCTCCACTACATTGAGTAAGGTGCATTTTACATGCTCCCCCGATGGACCACCAGGGACCCCATAATATCCTCAACAGACCGCCATGGATTCTAAACCCCTCGTGCGAAAAGGTAAGCAGGAGACAAGGAATGAAACAGACACACAAATGCACAAAATATTCAGCATCTTCCACATACATAACACTCAGCCACCACACGTACAAAACCCCCAGCCATTCCCATACTCATAAGAGAACATATTTGGCCACTGAATATGGAGTTTCAAAGGTTTAGTGCAAGTGGTAGAAGAGAGAGCACACTAAAAGCAATTTAGGTTTGATTGTAAATAAATTGGTTTACCCGGTAACATGTTTTATGGTGAAAAGCGAAGTCATGATGGGTACAAAATGCAAAGAATAAAGAAAGGAGAATGTTATCAAAGAAAAGTGAAACACCTCTGGCATATGAGAATATTTAATATAATGAACACTACCAACTTTGCATTGTCATTTTATATTATAGTTGTACTATGGTAATTAGAGCAGGAAATACGAGAAAGCTGAATGGCAGTTTGACTCACTCATTGCTGTCCATGGCTGAGCTGTGTACGTACACTGATAAGGAAGTCTTCTTCTTGAATGAGGGGGTGTGGTTAAAGATGCAATCTTATGGTGTAGCGTTCTTCATTTGTTTTATATTTTTTACAAAATGTAAAGCAAAATCAATATGCAAGAAATGCAGCATATTCATGCATATTTTTTTTTATAAATCTATTAAATGCATTAAAGTTGTGTTGGTGCCTAGAGTATCCCTTTAATTCGATCAAATGTGTATCACCAAAGGGAATGTGGATGAAATTAGGAAAAGTTAAAGGACCACTCTAGGCACCCAGACCACTTCAGCTTAATGAAGTGGTCTGGGTGCCTGGTCCAGCTAGGGTTAACCCATTTTTTAATAAACATAGCAGTTTCAGAGAATGGGTTATGAATGGGTTAAGCCTTCCCCCTATTCCCTCTAGTGGCTGTCTCATGGACAGCCACTAGAGGCGCTTGCGTGCTTCTCACTGTGATTTTCACAGTGAGAGCACGCAAGCGTCCATAGGAAAGCATTGTAAATGCTTTCCTATGCAACGGGCTGAATGCGCGCGCAGCTCTTGCTGCGCGTGCGCATTCAGCCCAGGAGGAGGATCGGAGGAGGAGAGAAGGAGGAGAGCTCTCCGCCCAGCTGGAAAAAGGTAAGTTTTTACCCCTTTCCCCTTTCCAGAGCCGGGCGGGAGGGGGTCCCTGAGGGTGGGGGCACCCTCAGGGCACTATAGTGCCAGGAAAACAAGTATGTTTTCCTGGCACTATAGTGGTCCTTTAACTTTAAATTAAATTAAAGGTTTAGTAGATAGCAAGTTCTAAGGTTACAAAGAGAAATATAATTTAAGGAATATAATTAAACATTACAATGACACTCTCTTATTCTATTATAAACAGTAGGCACCAATACAGTTTGAAAATGTAAGAATCAAATTAACTATCTGATATGTGCATCGAATATATGTCTGCCTGTTTATGTGCTACCCCTATAACTCTACACCAGTTCTATGCTCTTTATTATTGAAAAAATCTCAATAAAGAATTTTGTAAAAAAACAAAATATGACTGGTATACTGTGGCTGTCCAGAACTGGAAATACAATGCTGATTTAAGGAAGTATATGTTACAGATGGGAAATGGGAATGAGTTGATTGGTACTTATGCAGCGTCAAGTAAGGGTGTTTATTGGATCAAAGGGTAATTAAGCTATAGTTATATTTTACCACACCTGAAAAATGACCTATATTCTCAGAAAGGTAAACCAAAGTCTAAATTGTAAAAAAAGAAAAAATATATTTCTTTACAGAGATGAGACAATTTGTGTCATAGCATAATTTGCCAAACTGCTCTAAGGTCTGCTTTACAACAATAGAGCTTTATTAATAAGGTCTGTCTCATGGTAACATTTTGAAAAATCTATACATTAATGAACAAACAAGGCCTTTCATCTGTTTTTCCTATGATTATGTCACTGTGAATTACTGGCCTAACCTTTGACTGGAAGCAGTGAATCCGCACCCAAGGATCACAGCCTCACAGAGACTGTTAATCTGCACTTTGCCGAGTTCTCAGTGGGACATTCTGTGACATAGTGGATGTACACACCATATGTTTTATTATGTTTATGAAGCTGTAACCTACTCTACAGCACTAAACATCTATATATACAAAAATCGTCTGCAGTACATTTGGGCAAAGGTGGCCATCTTGGCTGTTCCAGAAGTAAACTCCCAGCACCCTCTGCAAATTAAAGGCAAAATTTACTTTTCCAAAAGCTTGGATACGGCATGTATTGCAGATCTGTGAAATCTGCAAGGTTATATATGCTATAAAATATGCCATTTTGATGTATTTATTTTTCATGGCTATATTGCTGATGATATCAACGGAATCATACTTTAAATTGCCCAATTTAGCTTGGTAGCAATGACATCATATACCAACAATGAGTCAATGAAAGAAAGGGTGTGAAGTCAGGTGATTTTTTTCTGATATCATTAGTGCTTCACCCACATTACAAACAGATACTGTTTGAGAAATGAAACAGTTTATCCCTGTCTACTTTGTAGCAAGATATTTTACATGTGTTCACAGTTAGGGAATGAATTGTTTATCTTTATGGACCATTAAAGGATCACTATAGTGCCAGGAAAACATACTCGTTTTCCTGGCACTATAGTGCCCTGAGGGTGCCCCCAACCTCAGGCTCCCCCTCCCGCCGTGCTCTGGGGAGAGGAAGGGGTTAAACTTACCTCTTTCTCCAGCGCCGGGCGGGGAGCTCTCCTCCTCCTCTCCGGCTGAATGCGCATGCGCGGCAGGAGCCGCGTGCGCATTCAGCCAGTCCATAGGAAAGCATTCACAATGGACACTGGCGTCTTCTCGCTGTGATTTTTTGAAGAAGTACATTTTTGGAAGTGGATTTTGCATCTTGAATGCTATTGAAGTTAATAAAACCTTTCCTGTCCCTTTAAGTGTACACAGACAATCCTAAAACCAAAATAACTTAATCTTAATGAAGAGATTTTGGGGTGCCGATGCTGCACCTTTAGCCTATGTAAATTTCAGACTAAAATACATGTTCGGTGTCACCATACACAGTTTGTGAATTTCTGGTTGGAATAGATTTAAGAAATGTATGATTTTAAAAAACACCATCGGTATTCTCGAAGAGAAGCATTGGATTAATGAATTGCTTGTGAGGAGTGTTTTCAATGCTTCTCTTGAGAAACATCTATTTGGACAAACATCTTCATGACTTCATCAGAGAAGAATTGGGCTGTTGTGAGGAGACTTTCCTAGTATTGGCTAACAAGTACATTTTATGGCTTAATGAAAATGTTTTGGTTTAGAGATCATGCCCCTGTGGTCTCACTGCTTAATTATCTATCATTTAGAAGGTAAATTACTTTGTTTATACAGCCCTTGTCACGCCAGCTTGCATGTGTCTTGCACAGCCTTTCTTAATATTTCCAGTAAAGTGAGATATAATCTTTAAACATATCTTACTGCAAATTCTGTATAATTTAGAATGTCTTATCTCCTGCTCTGTTAATGGCACTTTAGACCCAGCAGGAGCCTCCTGTGTGTGATAAAATTTACAGAGTGGGAATTAAAAACTTCTAAAGCAAGTTAACACCTGATTGAAAAATAACCATTTCATGCAGGCTATGTGAGTCACAGCCAGGAGATGTGTGGCTAGGGCTGCATGGACAGAAACAAATTGATTTAACTCCTAAATGGCAGAGAATTGAGCAGTCAGACATCAGGGACATGATCTATACACAAAAACTGCTTCATTAAGTTAAAATCCACAACAAATACAAAACAAAACATTAAAAAGTTATTAATCAGGGTTGTTGAGTGAGTGAATCGGTGAGTGGTGTCGGGAATTCCAAGTGATTTTCTAATTCTTGGCCAAAGTAGCTGAAATGATCAACTATGCTTTCAGTCCAGTTACTTTTGTGGAATTCAAAGTGAAAATTAAAGGGAATTTCAAACTTAAGGCCACATTTTTAGTAAATAGCCATGAATGTGTTTACATAAACCTTTTTTCCCACTAACTTACCCAAATATACAACTACCCCACGGTCCATTAGTTCCCTAGCAATTTATGTTAAAATACCAAACCTCATAATAGCCATGATAAAATGAAGCTGCACCCACAGGAGCCCAGCGTATAGCCCAGCATATAGGCCACCGGTGTACTCTGTTTTGCATCCTTCCATCATATAGGCTTGGAGTGTAAAGTATTGTAACCCCAACCCTCTTGGTTTCTAGACTGAAAGTCTGATGACTCTTAGCAAACAGTGGGTGGCTGAGAATGATGATAATTGCACTTTCTAGCATAGCCCTAGGTTCAACCTACCACCACTAAAGTGAAATGATCAACATAATTCTCAATGTGCTCAAATACTGAATAACCTATAGGTATAGTCTAATGTAGGAGTGCCCAAAAGGTAGATCCTCAGATGTTTTAAAACTACAATTTTCATGATGCTTTGTCATTCTAAAGGCATTCATAGCATCATAGGAGTTGTAGTTACACAACACCTATGGATCTACCTTTTAGGAACCCCTGGTCTAATGCCTTGCCAACATAAGGAACTTAAAATCACATGTATCACAATTAACAAAGCCAATATATTTAGAAGGCAATAATGAAATGTTTGTTTTATATAATTAGTGAAGAATTTTCAGCATTTCCCCTGCCTCTAAGTTCAAAGTTAGCAGATTCCAATCAGGAAATTATCCTGCTGAGCATTCATTCCACATCATTAAAATCTGTAGGATTTGAGTTAAGACATTTACAAAGTGGAAGAATAATAGAAGAACTAACAAAATTAATAAAACAAAAGTTGTCAAAATGCTAAAAAAAGGATAACACAACATACAAATATAAAAAGAAGAAAACCATAATGAAAGTATTAATGACATATAAAGCACAACTAGAATTCGATCATTTCAAGCTGTTCTCATGTTGCAGCTGTAGGTTATACAGTAAAGGAATGTTTGCATTTCATTCATCTATTACTACTTACAATGTATCAGCCTGTAGAAGAATGGATTACATATGTATGACTGTGACTGCACATCCAATCTATCAACATGTATTACATCAACACCAACCTCACACATACACTCATTGGGGGTTACAGGTAGAATAACTTGTGGTGATATCACCATGGTAACCAATGGAATGTTCGTACTGATGTCTGAACTTTTGGAACTTTGTCCCAAAATTGATCTTTACAAACTTCGAAATTTCAGATCAGAAGATGCTGAGCTGTCAGTCAACGCGATGGACAGAGACAAAATACAGTTTACACTAATTAATGCTGGAATTAATCACCACCTGGTTTACAATAGTATTGTAAGCATATTTCACAATGCTATTTAAAAAAAAATGAATTAAAAAAATCAGACAAACAAGTACAATACAACACCCACAGTCAGGGCAACACTAGTAAAATAGCAGTTTATAAAGAGAACATTGTGACTTAAAGTTCGAAAAGTGTATACATTAGTCAATTAATTTGGTTTCTATGGTGATTACTCCATAATTGATTTTACACATAGCCCATCCAATAAGAGAACTAGTGATGTCTCCTGCTTTATCTCTAGGTTACTGATTGGTATTTGCTCATAGCAAACTTTGTACCAGTAGTAGATCAGCGGACCAAACCCACAATTAGATGGTCGATTACAAAGTTAGCTTTGAGAATGCAACACAGAAGAGACTGGTTAGAAATGATCAGGAATAGAATGTTCAGAGAAGAAGATACAATGAGACAGTCTCCTACCGTCTTGGACATGATGGCTGGAGTGAGTGATGAAAGGAGAGTGATCCTGTACTCAGAGCTAGACCTGTGTGAGTGTACAGACTCAGACAGGGGAAGCAGTTTTAAAGGAGAAGCAGACACGTAGCTAACCTCCAGGCCCAGCCCATAGCTTCCTCATCTTCATGTCCACTCCCTCCTTTAACCATTCTGTTTCAGGACACTGGGGTTTGGATACAGTGTGACAGCAGCGGGGATGGGAGCAGGCAGCAAGGCTGGGGTGGAGCCCAACATGTGTAACTCCTTCTTTACGCAAACTGATCTCCTCCCCAGAAATTCCTGTACTCCAGTGACTTGCTATTCATACAAACGAGAGGAATTCAATTGAGCAAATTCTAACATCTGCAGAGTTGGAAGAAGGTACAGACGGGGAATCTCACATTTATATATATTTGAGAAGTCAATGAGCTTTACTATAAATGTATAAAAAGACACAATTAGTGAAGATTCCACTCTTATATCAGTTAATGCTGTACAGCTGTTATATGGAATAGGTGTGTCTCACTCTTATCTCTACAGCCTGAAATGCTATATGTCCTGGGGTTATGTTTTATGGACAAAAGGCATCAGAAATAAGATAGAATGACTTTACTAAAGGAATATACTGTCAGCTTCAAGCCAGGCACTATCCGGTGAAAGTGTGGACTGCAACTCTCTTCACCGTCAGCCAGCTGATTTGCAGCTCAGAATCTTGGGTAAACAAAAAAAAATGTTATGTCTCCAGCTGCTGGAGCATGATCGGAGTCTGAGCATGATAGGAGTTGTATGCTATCACAGCAACTGGGTTCCAGTGGTTGGATAAAGTTATGCTTTACACATACCCTATCATACCTGCACCAAATGACAATATATAGCTAATGTGGTCAAGCAGCAATTAGTACAGTTTTGTTTTAAGGGGTATAGGAGGAGGATTAGTCAGAGGGGGCTGGGCTGCAATGTTTAGGTGAATTCCTAATCATTAATGTAATGCAGTAATAACAAAGAATTTTACTTAAACTAAGTTTGACACAAAGATACTTCTGGAAAAACAAAACCTGCATCCACAGTTTCCTTTATGGGGTTAATTTAATGTGAATGTGTATCTCGCTTTGTACCATTGTGGGTTAAGGTTTTGCAGAGGCTGGGAGAATGTGCTGATTTATGTTAATAGGAGAAAATATTAAATCTGCTTCATAATGAAATATTAAAGCTGCTACAAACACAATTACACCAAACAAAACACCTGTCCAAAATGTAACAACATTGTGAGGAACTGAAAGGGCATAGTGTAGGCTAACTAAGCTAAGGTTGAATAAAAATCAAATTAATTAAGTTAGAATTTAATTTGGGTTATTTTGCCTAAAGTTCTAGGAGTTCAGTTCACTACAATGCAGACTTCAGTAAATACACCCCATTGTACTATACACACTTCCCTGGACAAACTTGGCAAGTTTATCATTTTCAATGTATTCTTCCTTTAAAAACAAATGATGCATACATAAAATTGTGCCCTATGCTGCAGATGCTCAAGTATGGATTTAAAAATCTGGTTGGTAAATATATATTTACTGGAGTTGTGTTAAACATGAGTGTTGAGAAAAGGGAACCTGAGTTTGGAGTCACAAACATGGAATTACCTGAAAAGCACTACAGCTAAAGGCAAGGAGTAAAGTCTGCCTTACATGGTTTATGGACGAGAACCTATAAAACTGTTATAAAGGTTAGCTTGATCCTGGTGCAAATTACGCCTTTGCTATGATTACATTCTATTAATGACGCAATTATTCTGCGTTACTATCGGTCTCCTGCAATAGAGCACCAGTGTTCTTGTTAGTACAAAATAGGAATGCTCTTGTTAAACACAACAATGTTCTGGGGAAGCGGAGCACTGCTGTGCCAGATGCTTTTTCAATAAATTAATCACAGGTACTAATGTGCTTATTCAGTAGTTTTATACACTCGGCTGCCTTAATTACTCCTTCTCCAGATGACCACCAGAGAGTAGGCCTCATTCTTGCAGTAAAAACTTAGCACTTTGGAGGGAGAGTTAAGTAAACAGAATAACAGCATTTCCTTGTCCTTGTGCAGGTACTGTAACCCTCCTGGCCCTGAATGGCCTTAATCTATGTTATCAAGCTTTCCCCCCCATCCCTTCTACACAGTTGCATTTCCTTCATTTTGACTTCCCTCTTTGCATGTTACTTTACTGACAAAATTGAACAGCTAAGGAAAGAATTCTCCCCTCCTTGCCATTCTGTTTCTCAACTTCTAGACCCTCTTCGATCTGGCTTCCGCCCTCTCCACTCTGCTGAGACTGCGCTTATCAAAGTTACTAACGACCTAATCACAGCTAAATCCAAAGGGCACTACTCCATACTAATTCTTCTTGACCTCTCAGAGGCCTTTGACACCGTTGATCATGCTCTCCTTCTTCAAAGTCTTCAATGGCTTGGTCTCTGTGACTCTGTCCTCTCGTGGTTTTCCTCTTATCTCTTATTCCTCTTATTTCCTCCTCCTAATACTGATCCTCCTCTTTCGCTCTCCCTTCAAGTTTGTGGTACCCACATCAGTCCATCCTTGCAAGCGCGCTGTCTTGGCGTCATACTTGATTCTGGCCTCACCTTTGAGCCTCACATCCAGCATGTTGCCAAATCCTGTAGAGTCCATCTTAAAAAAACATAGCCCGTATCCGCCCCTTTCTTGCACCAGATACTACCAAGGAGCTTGTCCATGCTCTAGTAATTTCCTGCATGGATTATTGTAACCCTCTCCTGATTGGTCTTCCCAAAAGCCGTACTGCATCACTACAGTCCGTAATGAACGCTGCTGCCAGACTGATTTTACTCTCTAGTCAGTCCTCTCACACCTTACCTCTGTCAGTCCTTACATTGGCTTTCTGTATGCTATAGGAGTCAATTCAAAGTACTAATTCACACCTATAAAGCACTGAACAACTCTAGCCCCTCTTATATCACCTCACAGATCCATAGGTATGTCCCTTCTCGGTCTCTCCGCTCTGCCCGTGACCACCTCCTGTCCGTTGTCCGCACCCATACGGCCAACCCACGCTTGCAGGACTTCTCGCGGGCAGCTCCCTTCCTATGGAATAGCCTGCCTACCGCCATCAGACTCTCCCCTAGTCTTGCATCTTTTAAGAAGTGCCTTAAAACCCATCTCTTTAGGAAAGCTTATGGCCTCCCAGAGTAACCTCTACCTCACATACCTCTCTTGCTCTCTCCTAAAGGGCAGCCCACCTTATTTGACTGCAAATTCCTGTCCTAATGTGTTTTACACCCCACCTCCTATAGAATGTAAGCTCGATTGACCAGGGTCCTCTTCAACCTATTGTTCCCGTAAGTTTATTTGTAATTGTCCTATTTATAGTTAAATCCCCCTCTCATAATATTGTAAAGCGCTATGGAATAGGTTGGCACTATATAAATGGCAAAACTACTAATAATACATACATCTCCAGTGTCTTGTTGCTTTTACCCATTTTACCCCGTTGCCCTTCATCCCTCTGTTGCTTCCCCCTTTATTTTACCTCTGCTTGTCTTTAAACCCCCTTCTAGTAGTTATTCCTAATTTCCTGTAGAATACTGTTGTCTTTACAATGTATTTTTCCCCAATTGCTTTACTCTCATGCCATTGTTGACCGGTATTTTTTTTCACCTGTTTTCACATTTCACACCCCATTGCCTCTTTTTAACCCCTTCAGGACGGAGTCAATAGTACACGTTCTGATCAAAACAAAACGTAAACAATAACTGGAATTTGCGCTATATGTCTGTTCAACCGTAATTCACCGCTGTCACATGAAGTGCACCCACACTTATTATATATCATTTTGTTCAGGAGAAACAGGGATTTAATTTATCATTAACTATTCATATATGGAACATAATCTATTATGAATAAAATTTAAAAAAATGTGAGAAAATAAGATTTTTTTAATAAATTTGTATTTCCGTCTGACATTTTAGCTGTTAATGTCATAATACTGTTAGGTTTTACTGCAACAAAATGCACATATTTGTAATCAGCGATGTCTCCCGAGTACAACAATACCCCCCATTAACAGGTTTTATGGTGTTTTGGAAAGTTACAGAGTCAAATATAGCACATTACATTTTCAAATTGAAATTTGCCAGATTAGTAATGTTACCTTTGAGATGGTGTGGTAGCCCAGGAATGAGAATTAACCCCAAAATGGCATACCATTTGAAAAAGTAGACAACCCAGGGTATTGAAAGTGGGGTATGTTTAGTCTTTTTTAGTAGCCACTTACTCACAAACACTGGCCAAAGTTAGCGTTCATATTTGTTTTTGTGTGAAAAAAGCAAAAAACTAATATTTGGCCAGTGTTTGTGACTAAGTGGCTACTAAGAAAGACTGGACATACCCCACTTGCAATACCTTGGGTTGTCTACTTTTGCAAATGGTATGCCATCATGGGGGTAATTCTCATTCCTGGGCTACCATACGCTCTCAAAGGCAACATAACCAATCTGGCAAATTTCAATGTCAAAAAAATGAAATGCAAGCCTTATATGTGAAACTCTAACTTAAAACCTGTACATGGCGGTTACTGTTATTCTTGGGAGACTTCACTAAACACAAATATTAGTGTGTTAAAACAGTAAAACATAGTACAACAATAATATAGTCCATAAAAGTGCCGTTCGTTTGTAAAAAATGCAAAAAAATTCACTTTTACTTAAAATATCATCGTTGTAATACAATTTATCATTTTGAAACACTAATATCTGAGTTCAGCGAAGTCTCCTGAGTAAAACAGTACCACCTATGTACAGGTTTTATGGTGTCTTGGAGAGTCAAAGGGTCAAATATAGTGCTTGCGAATTAAATTCTCTGCACTTTCTCCCTGTGTTGTCAGGCATGTCAATCAAATTTTAATTAATCAAATCACATAATTATGTTAAAAGATTACTTAAATATACACGTAGAATTTTAATATATATGCATTTGTAGGTATTTAAATTCTACGTGTATACTAATGTAATCTTTTATGTAATTATATGTATTTATCTATCTATCTATATATATATATATATATATATATATATATATATATATATTTGCGGTTATTTGTATTTTATATATAGATAGATAGATATAGAATGTCATTCTAAGTGTATTTTGTTACCTATATATATATATTAATAACAAAATACAGTTAGAATGAAATTACATATGAATATATAATTTATATTAAATTTTGTTTCAATATTTTATTTATTTTATTTATTTATTATTGTAATTATACGTGTATATATATAATATATGTGTATATATCTATTATATATATAATATATATACATATTATATATATGTAACGTCATTCTAAGTGTATTTTAATACTAATATATGTACTTATATTAATATTAAAATACACTTTGTATGACGTTACATATATATAATATGTATATCTATTATATATATAATAGATATACATATATTATATATATAAAAATACATTTATTTTAATTTTACACATGTTTAATTCTTTTTTTTTTACTTTCCCACCAGCAGGGGGACTGTCTGACATTTCAGACAGTCCCCCTGCTGGCAGATCCACAGCCAGCTATAGGGGGCCATGTGATCGCTCTTTGAGAGCGATCACATGGCCCCCGGGGGCCTCATTTGCCGGGGGAGGGCTGCCTGGGCTGTCAGGCAGCCCTCCAGAAGAGGATCGCGGAGGAGGTAAGTCCACCGGACCTCCAGGGGCTCAAAGTCCTTTTAATGCGGGACGGCATAGAACGCCGTAATGGTGTTAAGGGTTTAAAAAACTATTTTATTGAGGTAAACAAGTAAATACACACATTCGACATTGTGTGATAAGTCAATAAGTATTGCAGACAATTTCAATACCTCATTTTAACATAAGAATATAATAAAGCATAAAAGACCTAGATTTGTAAAGCTAAAAAAACCTTCATCAAGGAACACAAGTAAAACATAAAATACAGAGCTCAAGTTAACACCCAGCTGGAGTGAACAGGAGGGGCCTCCTCAACCCACACCCATTCTAAAAGTGCTGCTGTGAATGCTATGGATCAGATGTCCACCAACGCAGACCAAGGCTTGAGTTGCAACCAGCATAATATGTCGCCTGAACAAACAGCTCAAGAAGTCCCCTGTTAAAATACTCGCTGCACCATCTTGACACTATGGTCTTCCCTTGAAAGGGTTCGCTGATGAGGAAGTCTTCTGTCAAACCCATGGAATCTTTGCCTAGAATTGAGCACAAATAAGATCAAATGACTCTACAATTTCTGCAATAGTCCCCTGAGGATTACCAGGCCCCTCCATCTGTGTTGCCTATCAGGCAATAGCCATCTTTGTGTGCAGCCACTATAAATAGGCCTCAAACTGCTGGGTTTCCAAAAATGATCAGAACGCCCTCGGCAGGTTGAATATCCTTCACGTATGCAATTGAGTCCAGTATTCTATGGTGTAAATCAAGATCTTATTAACTTAGTAAGCACAATGTTTTAAATAACATTATCACAATCTGGTCCTTAAAATTATTAGCAAGCATACACTAACCTGTGATCTTTAAAGGAGTATTTTTAGGACATTATTTTCCATTATTGGTATATAGGGGTTAAACATAGCAAAATAATGTTATCAAAATTAACAAAAAAAAAAAACAGTCATGAAATTTTGGTTTCTGGGACAGCAATGTTATTACTGGGTATCACAGTTATTACTGGGTGTCACAACCTGGTTAAAGCAAAGCTTCTGAAAAGAAATACAGCGCCAATTTACCATGTTTCTTAATAGTAACCCAAATTTCCACATTTAGTAAGATAATTTTGGCATCTGAGCCTTCTCCTCTACATTCCTTCTTAAAAGTTTGAATGCCTCAAACTTGAACGGAAGGCACAATAGACTTGATGGAGCTACACTTAATCCAGTGTCTGACTGATAATTGTGGAAGAATCTGAGGTGAATTTAACATCTCTGTTGAGGCTCCCTCCTGGGGTAAAGCTTGGTATTACCAGTCAGCTACTTATAGAAGGAATGTCCCATGATCCGAGTCCTACTTTCCCCCTACCTGATGGAGACGAAGGATCTTGTAGTGGAACTGGTCTAGATCTCAAGCTAGAAACAAGGCGACTCCATTGCCTTCACTGTATGCCCTGTAGCACTTGATGTGTATCTGTTTAGCCCCAAATCTCCTAAGGGGTGGAATTGCCTTCTGCCCCTCCTAATCCCATTCCACAGCTGTACCACTTATCAAAGTATTTGCGATCTGGAGACATCTTTGTCTGTGTTGTCAAAAATCATTGCACCAGCCCTGGGGAGGAACCAAGGACATAGATGCATTATGTTATCACCATGACATAGCAAGACATCTGGTCACTTAACACGTTCGGATAAATTGCACAAAACAAGAGACTTTAAAAGCAGCAATAAGAAATACAAGGGATACAGTCTTTAAAAGGGGTATAAGATAAAAAAAAAGAGGTAAAATGTTTGTTAAGAAAAGCAAAAGGAGGGTTAAGAGACACACAGGTCTACGTATGTGAAGATTCATTTTGGGTAGGTGACAAAATGCATCTTTGTCTGTGCAGTTAAAAATCCTTGCACCCAGCCTAGTGAAGCACCAAGTAAATACATGCGGTCTTATGTTATCACCATGACATGGCAAGACATCTGGTCACTTAACATGTCCAGACACATTGCACAAAACAAGAAACGTTAAAGGGAGCAATTAAAACCAGTAATAAATCGTGGATCTCATTTATGTAGGTATCATATCATGAGAAACATTTCAATAAATGTTTTATGCACTCTGAATACTGGGTTAGAATGTAATAATTCCGTGTGAATGAGTTCTCTGTATCTCTACAGTGGTATTACGAATCATTTCTGGGCAACTAAAAAAAAAAGTATTTGAGGTTGTGTACAAAGCTTCTCTTACACAGATATTTTAGGAATCAATTATAGTAACCTGTTAGGGTCCAAAGGTTCCTTAAACATTTTATGATGGCATGGATTGTCCTGTTTACTTATGGGAGCTCAGCTGAGCCATGCATTTGTTAAATGACTAGTACAGGGCTGTCAAACATATGGCCGGCAGTGGCCAGAATTAGTCTCGTAGCAAAGCTGGCTGTTCCCCTAAGCAGCTCTCAGACAGCAGTGCAGAGTAGTAAGAGAGGACACCGGCGGCTAACACAATGGACCTGCAGGTATTAATGAGGGGTGGTGGGCTGCTATGTCTAGAGGCTAAATAGAGGGACTGGTGGGGGAATCAGATTGCAAGGGAGTAGAGACTGACATTTGTTTTCTCAAATTGCCCAGCATACAGCTCCAGAAGCAGCCAGCCACAGAACCTGTGAGTGTGTAATAGTGTGTGTGTGTATATGTTAATTGTTACTATTATGTGTGTGTGTACGTGTACCTGTTTGTCACTTTGTGTGTGTACCTGTGTCTGTATGGAAGTGTGTGTGTGCGAGTGCATGCATTCAAGCAATCAAACATCATTACTACAAACAAACTACAATTAGATTTTTGGTTAATATTGCACCTTGTCTACATTCTACAAATTATATTATTATTATATAAATTCCACAGTGCTGTACAATAGGTGGATTAAAAGAAAACGTAATTGTAACCAGACAAGTTGGATGCACAGGAACAGAGGGGTTGAGGGTCCTGCTCAATGAGCTTACATGCTAGAGGGAGTGCGATAAAGTGACACAAAAGGTAATGGTAGGGTAGAAAACTAGGTTGCTAGAATAATATTCACTATATGACAGTTACAGGAGATGAATCAGGGTGCGGGGGCTAAACTATTAACAGTTTACTTGATATGCCTTCCTTAAGAAGTGAATTTTCAGTGGTGACTGGGTGAACATCAGAGAAGGGAAGGGAGTTCCACAGGAACGGTGCAGCCCTAGAGAAAACAGAGGATAGATGTAGGTCTTCAGCAGATCGTAGGGGCCTTGACAGGACATATTTGTGTATTAGGAAGGATAGATAGTTTGGAGTAGCATTATGTAGAGATTTGTAAACAAGATTCAGAATTTTAAATTGAGCAGTGCAGACCAATGCAGGGATTAACAGAGGGGGTAGACGTAAGAGGTGCGGGCAGGCAGGAAGATGAAATACATTTTTTAAAAAAGCACTTCTAGCGCTTCCGATAATGTTAGTAGGCAGCTAGGACAACCCAAGCCAGAGTTTTTTTCATCCTGGTAGTAGGTAAGATGCAAGATGAAGAAAGAGGGTTGGAGCGCATTGTGAGTGTCTTCTGATTAAGATGGTGCTCAGTGCATGTAAAAGAGCAGGAGACAATATTGTGTAGTAGGTACCTATACTTGGTGAAAAAAAATATAGAAATGCTCACTAATAATAATAAAAAAAAACAGTATTCAAATAAAATAAAAAAAGAGGGTTACTGAAAAAAGAAGAGAAAAAGTGGTTTTGCTCAATCCAAATAGCGTAGGTGGTAAAATTCCCACCAATGATACTTCTGGAGTCCTCTTGGATAACATCTTCTAAAAGCAATTAGGAGGGTCCAAAGTAGATACAAAAATATACACTTTTTGTTACATAACATATAAAAATACACTTGACTTGTTTTGTCAAATCACAGGGTTTTTAAAAAGTGTTGAAAAGTGATCCTGACATACTTCCTGGAAAATTGTTGCTGCACCAGTATATCTACAGGCAGGGATCATACCGCCCAAGCGCTACTATTTGGAGCTGTTTAGAAGCTCCATAGAACTGTAAGGGCATTTCTTTATTTTCTTCACCAGGTATAAGTACCTACTACACTATATTGTCTCCTGCTCTTTTACATGCACTGAGCGCCATCTGGATCAGAAGACACTCACAAGGCGCTGTGACCCTCTTTCTTCATCAGACAGGAAGTTGAGTCTCGCCACCACACTCATTATAGACTGTAATGGGACAAGTTGGGAGCACGTAAGACCACTGAGAAGTGGACTGCAGTAGTCTAAGCGAGAGAGGATACCGGCATGGACCAGCACCTTAGCTGCATCCAGCGTTAACGTGGTTCACCTTCAGTAAGGCTTTCTCAAAGTGTTTACTTGAACACTTTGAGAAAGCCTTACTGTAGGTGAAACACATTAGTGTTTTTACTATTTGACTCCAAATAAAGATAGTCATTTTATGCAATTTGGAGTTTCCTGACCTATCTTTGGCCTATTTGGATTAAGCAATACCTATATTTGCTCTCTGTTTGGCAGTATACCTCTTTTTTATCTGATTTTTTTTTCCTTTTAAAAAAAAATATTCAAAGAGCACTATATTTTGTTTTTATTTTCCCTCCTATATACTGAGGACATCTGACTGCTGGAGTACTGCACATCAAATAAGAACACTTCTACAACTGTGAAAGATGCCTCTGAATACGCACAAGAACCACCAACATATCCACAGACGGGGATTGTACAGTCGACAAGGTGACTTTCTGTATCAAAGTTTGTTCTGTTCGAGTCCACCCTTCCAATGTTCTATTCAGGAGACACTCCTATGGAGTTAAGTCCAGTCGTCTATTAAAAAGTTTTTCCAGAACATAGCCTACTGCAGACCAGAGTAGCCTAATCCCACCACATGTATAGGTATGTGCCTTTGAGGCTGCATCCCCTCCAGCACAAGTTAGTTGGGGTCTGGTGCATGCGATAGTTTCACTGGTTTCAGTCAGAAACAGCCTCTCATAAAAGGTCAGAATTTATTCTCGCGGTCTCTTTAATGCAGATTGCAAAGTCCCTTATCTGTAAATAGCGAAAGAAGTCAGCTGGGGTAAGTGCAGGGCTGGACTGGGGATACAAAGCAGCCCTGGAAAAAAAATTTGTGCCAGCCCCATAAGTCACTGCGCCATATATTGTCGCGTGTAATATGTAAGGCTATGTCTTGCCATGACAGATGATTGAGTAATATATATATATATATATATATATATATATATTTTTTTTTTTTTATTTTTATTTTTTTCTAATATAAAATATTGGTGCCTCTGATGCATTGAATCAATGTATCTCTATGGGGAACGTTCAGCAACTACAGAGTGTGGAGGCCCTGAATGTAGGTGCACTGACACATGAAGCACCTCTAGTGACCGTCTGAGTGACTGTCACTAGCAGTGCCACTTTGAAGCAATGTAAACACTGCCTTTTCTCTGAAAAGTCAGTGTTAAAGTTGAAAAGCCTGTAGGGACATGCTATAGACACCAGTACCACTACATTAAGCTGTGTGTGTGTGTCTGCTAGTGAGTGAACTTGCTTGCATGCGTGTGCCTGCTAGTGAGTGAGCTTGTGTTTTTATGTCAATGAGCTGATGTATATCAGTGAGATTGTTTGTCTATGAGGCTGTGTATCAATGAGCTTGTGTGTGTCCTTGAGATGTCAGTGAAATTGCCTGTGTCTGCATGTGAGTATGCTTACTGTATAATTAAACGTTTTACCCTGAAAGGACCAATATTTTATATTAGAAAAAAGAAAAAAAAAAAAAAATATATATATATATATATATATATATTACTCAATCATCTGTCATGGCAAGACATAGCCTTACATATTACACGCGGCACCTGGGGCCGGGCAGGTGTTTGCCTGGCCCCAGGTGCCGACGGCCCACCGGGAAATTTCCCGGTATCCCGGTGGGCCAGTCCGGCCCTGGGTAAGTGTGGTGCGTATCTGAAGTTTATCAAAGGACACTATCTGAGTCCCTTCATATAAATGACAATATATCTGGAGGCCTGCCCGTTCTATATTTTGGAAGTCGCAGACTGACATACCTGAAGGGAACGCCTGGTTTCTGAGTAATGGAGTGAGTGGGGACGGGGAAGAGGATAAGCCAAATTTAAAAGCTATTGCATCCCAAATTCTGAGAGTTAAGTATAGCTGGGCACGTGGACCGTAATATCACTCTGCTATTCCGAGGAACCCACATATAATATTGGGGAAGATCTGCTCCTGTCATTAAGGATTCCAAGTCAACCCATTTCCTAACATCTATGATTACATGCAACATTGCTATGTGAGTAAGCTGTGCAGCTACATAATAATAGTAAAGATGTGGCAGTCCCAGTCCTCCCCTTGTTTTTGGGCGGTAGAGGACGTTTCTGGAGACCCTGTGCCTCTTGTTCTGCTATATGAATGAACCTATAGCACTTTGTAGAGGTGCTAAGTCTGCTTTCGTAATCTTAATCGGGAGGGCCTGGAACAAGAATAGAATACGCGGCAATAAGTTCATCTTCATGGATTGAACTCGGCCGAACCACGATATTGGTTTATCCATCCAATAGTCCATATCTTTAATCAATGTTTTTAATAAGGGTTTGTAGTTCATTTTGAACAATTTAGAGGGATCAGCCATTAGTCCCCAGGTATTTGAGGGAGCGCTGTACCATATGAATGCTATAAGTGGATTGGAAATATGCCATGTCTTCCACTTACATGCCCAAGGGGAGGGCGCTAGATTTATTCATATTCGCTTTATAGCCTGAGATGGAGCCGTACGTCGCCAAAAGATCCTGGAGTTCTGCTATTGACCCTACTGGGTTGGTAAGCTAGACTAAAAGGTCATCTGCATATGCAGATACCAAAAATTCTGAAACCCCGACCATGATCCTGTAAATATCCGGATGTTCACAAATAGCTTGCAGAAGGGGTTCCAATGATAACACGAACAGCAATGGAGAAAACAGACAACCCTGCCACGTACGGTTACCCAACTTAAAAGGCATATTCAGAGCTCCCAGGATACGAACCTGTGCAGTCACATTGCTGTACCATGGTGAGATAAGATGGTAGAAGCCTAAAAAGACAAGAAGACCAAAAATATAGGGCCAGTGGACCCTATCAAAGGCCTTTTCGGCATTTAGGGAGACAAGTAAAGAAGGGATCCTGGCGGTGACTTCTCTTCAGATCAGATCTATATTCCTGCGTGTGTTCTCAAATAATTGACGCCCAGGTATGAAACCCACTTGGTCTGCATTGATTAATTTGGTTAAGTAGGGGTTCAACCTGTCCGGTAGAATCTTGGCCAGTATATTGGAATCATGATTGATTAGAGAGAGATGGGCAACAGGGGTCCCTGTCCGGTTTTGATATCAGGACTATCGTAGCTAAAGACATATCCCTATCTAGGGACTCGCCTTCCTGTAAATCGTTAAAGAGCAATTCGAGCTTAGGGGTCAGATCTTCCCGAAACACCTCATAGTATCTACCATCAAAACCATTTGGTCCCTGAGCTTTGTTCCCTTTAGGGGTCGAGATCCCTTTGCAATCTCCTCACTAGTGATCTTATAGCCAAGCCTTCCAAATGCATCTGGGTGTAGTTTAAGTAGATTTAGTTTAGAAAGAAAAGAGCCCACGTGCCCGCTTTGTGGGCTGGCCAAATTGTGTTTGGCATGAGATCTCACGTATCGTTTTAAAAAAAATATTCTTGTAATTCTTTATGAACAGCTGAAATGATTGTAGGGTCCCTCAACAATTAAGCGTTCACTTTCCAGGACCATGTCGAGGCCGTACACAGATTGCCTAACTGAAGGGAAATATCCGCATGTTCTGACTAAGTAATCGAACCGATCTCGGAGCCAACGACTCAGGCTAGACAGTGATTGTTAACTAGGAAATAAGCTATCCGGGGAAATGAATCATGGTGCACTGAATGGAAAGAATAGTGCACGTCTGTGGGATGTTGTGCCCTCCAGATGTCTATAAGCCCGGTATTCTGTATGAACTTATGGACCAACTTGTCCTGATCCCCTCTACCCTGTGAATGTTGGAGTTCTCTGCAAGAGCTGCGGTCGATGGCAGGACACGGCACAGCATTAAAATCACCAGCCATCAGGATCATGCCATGTGGTAAGGCCCACACTCTAGTCTCAAGAAAATCCCAAAAATCTGGATTGGGGGCGTTAGGAGCATAAATATTAATTTAATTTTAATTAATAATGGGAGTGCAGTGTGCCAGACAACATCACATATCTGCCCTCTGGGTCCAACTCAGAACTAGTGAAATGGAAAGGACATCTATTATGAATCAGAATCGCCACCCCATTAAATTTACAAATGGCTCTAGCATCACAGACTACACAATAGGAGTGATCCCTCAGTGGTATGCCAGCATGTTTGGGGAGGTGTGTTTCCTGGAGAAAGGCTATGTCCGAAGACAGACATTTCAGTTCCCTAAACATAAGCCATCTTTTCCTAGGGGCATTCAGACCCTTAACGTTTAAAGATGTAATCTGTAATGTCATTGTAGTCGATAAGTCTGCAAGCTACCATCTGTGTCAAAAGAGTGATAAATAAAAAGTAGCATTCCCAAACCCATCCTGACAACCCGGCACATGGACCCCCCCACTGCTGCCCCCCCAACCCTCCAAAGCGACCAGAAAAATATATTGAAGGGAGAGGAAAAGGAAGTAAAAAGAAACAGAAGAGAAGTAGCACAAACTAGTAATGCTAATCGCCTGGACGTACCAATCGCCAGGCCTCTATGGGGTGCATGACTCAGCACCTCCAACCCGAAAATCATGAGCGGGAGTCGCTGACCCATAGACCCGGACAGAACCACATATCTTGCCATAACAATCAATACCAACTTCTTAACTCCCTTCACAGGTGCTCTGCTCAACACCAACCTGGAACGCCCCCTTATAAGGAGGGGAAGAGAGGGGGGTATCAAGATCATGAAGGGTCTGAGGGAGAAAAAAACCCTTCCCCTTCAAAGTGTATCACTGCCCCAGGGATCTAGAAGCTTGGGACCCAACCTATTGGAGCAACACAATTCCCTAGAGATCTAAACCCATCCCCCATCGCCTACTGTACGCAGGTGGGTACCTTGTAATGTTTATCTAAACCGCCAGATAATATCCATACCAAAACTATCTCCAACCTTTTAAGAGTGGAGCTCACATTGAACAGTGTTCTTTATGTTGCATGATGATAACAGGTGGACCTCATAACTATGGTCTACTCTACAATTTCAAACCTTCACGGAAAGCATGGCCAATTGCATCACTGGGTTGATTTTTAAAGCCAATATGGATGCTGATAGGCCCACAATAGACTGTCAGGGATTATGTAACCAAGCCAACAGAACCACTGTGAAGTTTCGCAATTGACCTTGCCTCGCAATGGCGTATAGACATAACCTTTAAACCAGAAATTCCACTAAAGATATCAGGGCAAATTTCTGTCAGCAAATGAAATATTCCACATCTACACCATGCCTGCTCTCTCCCCTGTGATGCCATATACTCAGATCCTAAAACACTGGGTTAAACATAAAAAAGTAAATGTCAATATGGCATCTCATGGTCCCCCTCCTCTGTGGGTAATCGCTGAGTTGTGTGCCTCCGTCGTGACTTCCAGCTGGTGCTCCACTCTGGCCCTCCAGGTGCCCAGGGCCTGAATCTCCCCCTCAAGACTCCTGT